CCCCTGCCCTGCCGGCCCCTGCTCTCCTGCCCCTGCCCTGCCCTGCCCGTCCCTGCCCTGCCCGCCCCTGCGCGCCTGCCCAACACGCCTTCCGTGTCCCAGCTGCAGGAGAAGTATTCTGCGATCGTCAGAGACAAGGACCTGGACGTGGCTGGCGGCAAAGAAGCGGAGGCGGACGCAGCCGAGGGCCGAATGGGCAGGGGGGAGGCTGCGCCCAAGGAGGGGGGTGAGGAGGAGGAGGCGCAGCTGGAGGAGGAGGAGGTGGTGGAGCTGGCGGAGGAGGCGGCGGTTCCGGAGGACAAGACCGAGTGCGTGGCGAGTTCGCGCTCCCTGGAAGAGGCTTTCGAGCAGGAGCTGATGGCCCAGCTGGAGGGGTACGAGCAGGTGATCCAGGAGGTCCAGGAGGAGCTGGAGGTGACCAGGGCCAGACACTCGCTCTCGACAGGTGCGGCCCAGCCGGGAGCCTGGGGGGGGGCCCTCAGAGCGGCTTCTCAGCGCCCCCCCCCGTCTCCCCGGGGTGCCCGCAGGCACCATCATATCTCTACAGCGCCACGTGGGGTTCCAGGAGTCCCAGCTGCAGCGGCTGCGCACGCAGAACGAGACGTTGCAGAAGGAGCTTCGCGAGCGGAAGGACCAGTTACAGGCCATGTCCGACAAGGTGGCCGTGCCCGTCACCCGGCCGCCGCGGGGCCTCTGCTGGGCACGGGGAGTCACTCCACGCCCCACGGCCCCGCACCAGCCCCCCCGGGCCGCGGCCACGGCTCCGGGTCCCCGGGCCCCTGTCGCAGGCCGCTGCCGCCCCGTCCAGCCCGTCCCTAGCGAGCGCTGCCTTTCATGCAAGTTATTCGCAGACGCAGCGTGAAGATTCGAGGAGGCGACAGGCTCGTGGCCCCAGCGGCCGCGTCCACCCTCCTCCCTCTCGTGTGCCCCTCCCCCACAGCGACCGCTCTCAACTCTTAGGAACTGCTCTGCGGTTCCCGGGGGCCATGCTTCCAAAGCTCATTCTGGAACTTTCTGCATCCTCACATTATCTATGGCTTCCTCCTTCCTCCCCTGCCTGGGGCCCCAACACAGGGAGGTCCACTTCCTGCCAGTGCCCCCCCCATGTGGGGTGGGCGTGGGGGCACGTTGCTAGCAGCGCGCCTGCCTGGGGCTGAAACATGGGTTTCCAGAATCTGGGTTAAGTTCCATTCTCTCTTCTGACCTACTCCCGCGTTTTCATCGGAGAGCATCCTGCAGCCGTTCTTTGGATAAAAGAATGAGTAGGTGTAAATCGGGGGAGGGCACCCTACTCTGGGAGTGGCCTGCTTCTACACCGCAGCGAACTCGGGCTGGACGCGGGCCTGAGGCCGCCGGAAGGTGCCTCCCGCTTGCCCGGGGCCCTGACGCTTGGCAGAGCTGTGCCTCGGACTGTTCGCCGTCCCGGCTCCAGGGACCAACCGGGAACGCGCGTCCTTCCGCCCTGGAAGCTCACGTTGTTCATCTCGGTTTTCCTTTCCTCCTCGTCTCTCCCGGGACCCCGTTCCCCCTCCTTTCCCGCCCGCTCCCTCCTGCTCCCGTCTCCCAGTCGGTCTGCTGTCTGCATTCCTGGCACTTTCTCCACAGCCCCTCCTCCCCGCTGCCCCCTCCCTCTCCCTGCGTGAGATGCGCCCTGTTCCCTGCACGTCCATCTATCTCCTTTCACCCCAAGATGCAGTGGCAGGTCTGACCCCGTGGAACGCCCATGGCCGCCGGGCTCCATTCCCGCACCGTTTCTCTCTCCTGCAAGTGCCCTGTGTCACCCCGCTTCGGTGTGTGTCGTTCACAAGAGGGCTGTGCGCCAGTGTCAGGGCCGCGCAGCGCGGCCATATGGTGGTCACCTCGTGTTTCACGTACAAGGGCACAGGTGCCCACATCAGCTGAGCATCCAAGGTCATCTCATTAGGTCCTTCCCCTTAATTCGCTCGGCTTGCGCCAGAATCTGGCACCTGGGAGAGTTTCTTGCCTGCGATGTAAAGGCCCAGTGACTGGCGTTCCCCGGAAGCCCAGCGGGGAACACGGCTGGGGGGTCCACATTCAGCCCCCACGGCCCACATCTGGAGCTTGGGGTCTCGGCCCCCAGTTGAGCCTGGCACCAGCCCCCCCCCAGCCGGAGCCCCTCTGCTGAGCCCCGGCCTCCAGCCTCCTTCCAGGTGGACAAGGGGCAGGCTCCTGGCCGCTCAAGGTCGGGGACCTGTCTGCCACTCAGTTTCTGAAGTAGTCTCCGCAGACCCTCCCCACATTAGGCTTGGCGCCCAGAAGAACCCCTGCCACCACGTTCTGAGGCTGGGGGACGCTGGCTCGGGACCCGGCCTCTCGCGTGTTTGCAGCTACCCCCCCCCACCCTCGGCAGCGCCCTGCGGCTTTTGTGGCGCCAAGGCTCCGGGAGCAGGGTGTCCCGTCTGTCCCCTCGTCCCCTGAGCCAACCCCCCTTCTGCCTTCCAGTTCTCCAACCTCAGGGAAGACAAGAAACGCGAGGAGATGATGGGCCTCATTGAGAAGGACAACCTCCTCCTCCGCCAGGTGACCGCCAGGTGTGGTTAAACGGTTAGCAGGTCGCTGTCCTTGCTGTACGTCCTGACCCAGCGCGCGGGAGACAAGCCGCACAGCCCCCTTCGCAGCGAGGCAGCACCCTCCCCCCCCCGCCCGTCAGCAGCGGCAGGAGTGCAAGCGCACAGGCTCCTCACTGTTGCCGGCTCCGCATCTGGCTAACTCGTGACATGGGCTATCTTAGGGGGCCGAGGGGGCGGGGAACACGGGGGCCATCTGGGCTAGGAGGGCCTACTCCCCTGCCGCCCCCCCCCCCGCCCGCAGCACGTGGTGGAGCTGCAGAGCATGCTCACCAAGCAGGAGCACACCATCTCGGAGCTGGACGCCAAGGTCAGGCAGCTGCAGGGGCAGGTGAGCCAGAAGGAGGAGCACGTGCAGAGGTGGCAGTGGCTGCAGGAGGAGACGGCGCGCAGGAAGGAGCAGACCCAGCAGGCGGAGCTGCAGGCCCGCGTGGCCCTGGAGAGCGCGCAGTCCCGGGTAGGCCCGCGGGCGGAGCGCCAGCGCCCTGGCCCAGGGAGCCCGCAGGGGATCCGGCTCCTCCCCCCATCTCCTGGCCCCCCTGGCGCAGAGCTGCTCCAGAAATGGTGGTGGAGACAGCAGAGGTGTGAGGGGCTTGCACACTTTGACCCCGGGGCGGGGGCAGCCTCGCCTGCCGTGTGGACGGATTTGCTGCCTTGTTTTGTGCCGTGAATGGGCACCAGGGTTTGGGCAGCCAGAAAGGGGGGCTCTGCGCTCACGGGGTGTGATAGTAACACCACCATCTGCTTGTCGTTTGCGGATTCCTGCCGCGGGCCCGGCGCTGTCCTAAGCAGCTCTCTAAACTCTTGTAACCCTGTGAACAAAGCTACGAAGGAGGTATTTTTGGCGTCTTGTGCGTGTGAAGGCGCCTGCAGCGGGGAGGTGACATAACCCGTCCGGGCCCCCAGGGCTGCGGAGGTGGGTGCTGGGATTTGAACAGCAGGACCCCATTTCGGAGCCCCTACCCTAGACGTGAGCAAAGGCACAGGGGGAGGCCGAGGTGCCCTCTGCTGTGAGGGGCCCCGGGCAGAAAAAGAAATCAGTGCAAGAGCCGACTTGATTTAGAAACGAAAACCAGCCAAAGGAAAGGTCCTGTTTCCCACCCAGCATGCCTGTGGCAACCCAGGTGCGCCCTCCTCCCCGTGGTGGGGCAGCCTCCTGCGGGGCGGCTCTGACCCATCACTGAGGCCCCTGACCCTCACCTGCTATCCTTCACGAAGTGGTGTCCCGTCCTGCGGACCCCCCCCCACCCCCCAGCTGGAGTGTACACCGGGCGCTGGTGTTGGGGTCTGACGCCTGTGCAGACTGCAGTCTGGGAGAGCCCGGGGGACAGCAGTGAGCCTAGTCTGGGGTCGGCAGGAAGCGGTGCCAGCACCTGCGAGTGACGCCTGAGACAGCCCGGGCGTGAGGCACTGTGGCGGGACACCCCAGCTGGCGGCCACCTGCAGTACAGAGGGCGAGGCCCCCCCACCAGTACGGGACCCAGCACAGAGCATCAACCCACACTGGAAAAGACAGAAGCCCCCTCCCCACTCAAGGTCCAGGGGCTCCTAAGCCCCCTCTGTCCCGGAGGCAAAGTGGACCTGCCCGCGGTCCGCTTTCAGCAACGCAGTCTGTCAGGCTGGTTCCTGCCTGGCACTCCCGCTCTGCCGGGGCTTGTGGGCATCGAGGCTGAGCAGCTGGTTACGAGGGGCCCAAGGGCTCGTGGGGCGCAGGCTGGAGGAGGCCGGGGCCCTGCACACGCCTGGCGCCACCAGGCAGCCTGAGCTGCATCCTCGTCAACACCCGGTTGATGGCTGTTAGCGCTGGTTACCCAGCAGCACCGAGTGCCTGTCCATCACAGGGCAAGGAGGGCGGGCTGGGGTAGAGCAGGGAGGGGCCCCGAAGTGTTCCCTCCAGTGCTAACAGGGCACGCAGGGTGCTCCCAGGCCTTGGAGTCTGCCCTGGGGTCAGGAGGGGCCGTGCCGGTTCCCTTGGGGAAGGGGGTACAGCCGGGTGAGGGGCTGTTCGGAGCTCTGGTACTTTTTTCCCTTTTTTAAACCATTTCTTTTTCAATTAAAAAGAAAAAAGCAGTAGAAGGTCCTACAGCCTTGGCGTCAGGCCGCGCTGGGCCAGGGCTTTGACCGGGCACCTTGCAGCTCACGGGCCGAGCAGCCGGGGCCTCTCCAGCCCGCGGCTGTGAAGAGCTGTGAGGAGCTGTGAAGAGGAAGGCCACATCCACCCTCTGAAGAGCTTCACACAGGGGTGGGTGTGACTCCTTCCCTCTTGCCTTTGCTCACAGCTTGAAAGACTAAGAAACAAGATCCTCCAGGCCACCTTCAGCACCTCCGGGATCAAGTCCGTGGCCACCGAGATCTCTGACAATGACATTGTGGAGGGCTTGCAGGTATATTTGGCGCGGGCTGCCTCCTGGCCCCCGAGGCCGCGTCTCGGGCGGGAGCTGGCGCATCTGCAGCCGGAGGCCGAGGGGAGAAGCCTGCGCGGAAGCCAGGGCTCCCCCGTTTTGCCCAGTCGCTGTTCACGGCCGCGCGGGATCATCCTTACTGTCTGCTCAGGCGGAGGGGGACCAGACCCCCCAAAAGGGTGGCCATGTTGTACGGCTGGTGAGGCTTGCCGACTGGGCCCTCGGTGACCCCGGCAGCAGGTCCTGGGGGTGCAGGGGGGAAGGGGCTGAGCTGCTGAGGTCCTGGCAATCCCCCTGCAGCAGGAGCCCTGCTCAGGCCCTGTCCCTCCAGCCTCTTCGGGATGCTTCTCAGCACCTCGGCGTGGCCTCACCTGGGACCCTGGCACGGACCCCTCCCTGGCCTTGGCTGATGTCGTCATCTTGCTGAGCCCAAGCAGAGGCCTCACAGGGGTGGGGGTGGGGTGCGGGGGACATAGTGCAGGCGTTGGGGCCTGCAGGGGTGAGTCACCACCCTGTGGTCCTTGGCTGAGAAGCTGTGGGGGGGTCACTTGAGTTCACTGAGCCACGGAACTCGCCTGTGCACATGGGAGGGAACACGTCTGCCTCCTGGGCGTGGTGGGGAGAGGACCCCGGGAGCCGAGCCCTGAGCCCTGACCGCAAGAGCTCTGCGCGGCCCTGTGTGCTGCTCACAGGGGCTGCTCCTGTCCCCGCCCCCGCGGCGCAAGCCTCCCACGGCAGGGCCCCTCCCGCCAGCGCCCACGTTCCCCCGACACCTGGTTTCTTCCCTCTGTGCCGTGGGGTGGGGACCCTGTAGGGTGGTACAGGTCTCAAGGGAGGGGCCCTGCGTGAGGACCCAGGGGGGGGTCTCTGCCGCCTGGCACCAGCTTGGGTGAGGGAGAGGGAGGGAAGAGAGAGGGAGGGAGGAGCCCTCTCCTCTGCCCATCACAAAACAGTGACGGCAAAGCAGGACGGGTGAGGGAGGGGACAGGCTGTCTCCCCACGCGCAGGACAGAAGGGACGCAAGGGGCAGGCTCCATGGGCTCTGAGGTCTCTCGGTCAGGGCTGCTCGAGAGTCTCCGAGGACGTAGTGGATTTAGTGCTGTTTCAGGGGAGAGTGACCGTAGCCCAGGGAGGGGGGGCCTCTCTTCCCGCTCCGGGTTCTGTGGCTTCACCTCCCCGCCCGTCAGCAGCAGCGGTGGGAGTGCTTTCAGCACAGAGGTTCGCAAATGCTGCACGACCGACCGCAGCTTTTCCTGCTGGAGGGCAGGCGGCAGCGCTCGGAGCTCCGCGCAGGCCCCGCTGCCGCCTGCCCTTCCGGGTGTGGGGGGAGCACTGCACCCCCACAGCCCCGGCCTCTGCTCCTTCCCAGAGGATCATCTCTGAGCGGGCAGATTACTACAATCAGCTGAAACAGAAAGGCGTCAGAATGCCTCCCCTGAACCAGTCGGAGGGCTCATCCTCCCCGGGCAAGGCCAAGAAGACAGCCTCCAAGTAGACCCGGCCCGGCCCCAGGAGACGCTGGGGCCCAGCTCACCCGCCACCCCTGTGCGGCCCGGTCTTTTCGCTTTAGAATTAAACCCTGTCCTTGGCCATGGGCTCAGCTTTTCCTTCCCCCTGGGGACACGTGGGGGCTCCGGCTGCATCCACAGCTCCCATCTGCATCCCTGGCTCCTTCCTGGGGAGACCCCCGTACGGAGCAAGGGTCCGGAGGCCGGAGACTGGGTGCCTATCCACTCCTTCAGTTGGGCCCACTGGGGGCCACCTCTGAAATGGGAGCCTCCCTGGCTGGGGCGACCCCTTTGGAAGAAGGTGAAGGAGTTTTTCTCACTGCTGGCGCTTCCCATCACTGCTGCGGGGATGACAGCTCCGGGCGCCCTCCCGGCACCTCTGTGTCCTGCACACGCAGGCTCTGGGCACATAAACACCATCTTCTCTGCTCTCCACCCACACCTCTGCTACGCAGGCTGCCTGCCTCAGGCCAGGGCGCCACCTGGAGGGTCTCGGCTGGGGGCTCCGCAGGCCCCCCGCCCCCCTGCAGGCTGCCTCAACCCCCAGGCGCCTCGGGAGGCCCCAGGCCCGTCTCCGCGCAGTCTCGGTGGAGGACCCTGGGCTCCGTCGCCTGGGACCCCAGAGGCCCCTTCGGCCTCTCTCCCCAGTCGCCCCTCGCCCTGCGGCCCCCTTAGCACTGCAGCCGCCTAGCCCTGCTACGCCCTCTCCCCTGCCGCCCCAGTTCCCGGGAACCCGCGGCCCCCTCGCCCCTGCTACGCCTTCCCGCTAACGGCCTCTCTTCCCCGAGGTCCCCTGCCCCCGCAGCGCCTCTCCCCTGCAGGCACCTCGCCCTTGGCACGCCCTCCCCCCTACGGCCCCTCTCCCCTCGGCACCTACTGCCCTCCTTCCCCGCAGCGTTGACGCCCTCCGTCCGCGCCCCCGGGAGCACCTGCGGCCTGGGATCGGCTTCCCAGCTCGCTTCGCCCCCTCCCCGCCCCCGCCCCGCCCCCGCCCCGGCCGCGCCCCTCCCGGCCCCGGGACACGTCTGCGCTGCGAGGAGGGCGGGGGGCTGAGGGTCCCTTGGGACCCGCGTCGGGACGCAAACCCCTGGTGCCGGCGGAGCGCGGAGGTGGGCCTGGCCGCGGCCCCCCTGGCCTGCGAGCGGCCGCCCGGGAGAGGAATTGCGGGGTAGGCGGCGCGGGAGGGTCTGATCCGGCCTAGCGACGCCCCCCCAGCCCCGGCCCAACCCGTGGAGGGCCGGCCGGGCGCCGGAAAGAGCTTCCTGGTTCCTGCTGGCGGCCGGGGACACCCCGGGGCTCCGTTCCCTCCCCGGCTCCTGGCAGAGCCAATCCTCTACACTTCTTCCTTATTTTCTGTGTTTTTTGTTTCGTTTTTCAGGTTTGAGACATCCGCTGCACCTCGGACCTTGACCTGTGGCCTGGGAGGGGGTGAGATCTACTCTGACCACCTGACCGCCTTCCTGGGCGCCCGAGTCGGGGCTTCCACGCCAGGACTGTCCCTTTGTAAGTTGTGGGCTCCTTGGAGGTGCTTTGGGAGCGAAGGGGTCCAAGGTAGGTGGTGGCACCCACTTGGCTGGCGTCTCTAGGGCACAGCCCCAGGCTCTGGCTACAGGGCGGGACCCTCCGGTGGGGGGCTGGGGAGTGAGGCTCTTAGGAGCCCAGCTCGCATTTCCCCAGCTTCTAGTGGCTTTGCCCAACCAGGGTGGCTTGAGAGCTACCGGCTCCATCAGTTAGGAGTGCTTCCTGGGGACACGTGACTGGAACTCATTGTCCCAGGCTTGAACAGGCGGGGGCTGACTCTTCTCACACAGAGAAGCCCGCAGGTGGGTAATTGGTGTGGATTTGGAGGCCACACCGTCAGGGCAGGTGCGCATGGGTATCCGGTCGCAAGATGGCTGCTGTCGCTCCAGCCATCGCTGCAGGACAGGAAGAAGGGTTGCTGTTTCTCTTTCATGAGCAAAAATCCCCCAGCTTCTGCTCCACCCAGGGGCCAGGGTATTAAGCTTGTCTTAGCCCCAGGCTGTCATTTACGGTGGCACCTTGCTGGATGGAACGGGATGGGCAGCCCAGAGGTGGACAGCTAACAGTCGGCCCAGCAGCCCCTTTCCCAGACACACCTGGGCAAGCAGAGCCCACACTCAGTGGACCCTTGGCCTCCCTTGGGCCTGAGAGCAGCCACTGGCCTGAGTGGCTGCCGCAAAGCAGGTGGGTCCCTCCTGAGAGGCAGGCCTTGTGGGTCTGAGACCAGCTCCCTTCCTTCCCCCCCACTGGCCTGGGGAGAGACCGAACTCAGGAGTTTAAGAACTGCTGGGTTTCAGGAGTTTCTGGGTTGGCGTCTTGCTATTTAGTGGCCCGCTGGGCCTTTAAGCCCCTCCCCAAGATTCCGTGGGAGGGGCTCCGAAGCGGCCCCTGCCCCTGCTTCTCCAGCGCCGGGACTCCCTGCAGGCCCAGGAGCCCCGCCCCCAGGCCCCAGCTTCTCCCCCAGGCGGTGTCGGGGGAGGGGCTGCAACTTGCACAGGACTTGGGACACAGCTGCGGGCAGCCGGGCGGCCAGACAGGCTGTACCAGCCGCTGCCCCATCCCTCTCCTCCCCGGCCTCCAGGAAGTCCCGGCCTTATCTGTCAGGAATGGGAAGGGAAGAAGCAGTTATCAGGCCAAGGACCCTCGGTGTCCGGTCTCCCCGGGCCCAGCAGCTGTCGGGGGCGGGTGGGGGGGTGCTCTGCCCTGCCCAGGACTGGGTGGGTGGAGGCAGCCACCCACATTCCTGAGGGGAGGGTTGGGCGGCCTCCCAGCCTCCCTGGGTTGGATTCCCGATTCGCTGCCTCCCACGTGACCCTGGGCCGGTGGCTTGACCACTTGCCATCCGTCGGCATGGGAAGCCAGGTGAGAGGGTTCTGGTGAAGGGGCCACCCACTGATGCCTCCCCACCCCCAGCCCCACCTGGAGCCCTGGCCGCTTCCCTCACCGGGTCCACGCTTTACAGGGATGTCAGGGGCCCGAACGTCAGCCCCAGTCTCCCCACCCGTGAGTGCCTGAGCTCCGCCCCCCTGTCACACCCCCCCCCAACATGCAGACTGAGCTCACCCCCTGCCCCCCCCCCCCGGCCGCAGCCCCCCCAGCATGCAGACCCAGCAGAGCGGCGTCCAGTACAGCAGGTGGGATGACAGCGGCCAGGACGAAGTCCACGTGGCTGCAGTGTCCAGCCCGGAGGAGGCCTCGAGCTGGGAGAGGTAAGGGCTGGGGGAGGGGCCCCGCCGTCTGCTCGCCCCTCCAGCGTCTTGTCCCTCTCTCGGCCGCCCCCAGCCAGCTCACCTGGGCTCTGAGTCTCCTCCCGCGCTCACCTCCCTCCTGCCTCTCCCCCACCCCCTCCAGCAGAGTGCCAGGCCCTCCTCCTGGGCCTGCCTACCCCAGGGCCCGCTGCCCCCCAGCCCGGCCCCTCCCCCCACCCCGGTCCCCTCTGGCTCAAGTGCTGGCGGCTCTCTCTCCAGGATCTCCCGGAAGCTGTGCTCAGGCAAGCTGGGCGTCACCATGAAGGTGCTGGGCGCAGTGGCCCTCTTCTGGGCCGTCTTCATCCTGGGCTACGTCACCGGCTACTACGTGCACAAGTGCAAATAAGGCTGCCCCGCACACACGTGCCTGGGGACACAGCCGGACGGACACTCCTGTGCACCAGAACTCCGTGTGTGTGCACAGACCCACATGCACACGGACCCTCGTACACACGTTTCCTCCATGTGCACACTCACGCCCACCCACGGACCCCGGGGCCACAGCAGTCACTGGTCACCACAGGGCACACAGGGGAGCAGGGACACAGGTGCACGATGGCACACACGTGCCTTGCGCACGCAGCCAGCCAGGGGCACACGTGGCCGGGAGATGTGGCCCAGCCTGAGCTGGGGCTATGGGACACACCCTCTGGGTCCTCCCTGAGCGGGAGATGTGCGGGGCTGGGGGCACCTGGGTGGGGGCCGGGGGAGGGGGGTGCTGTGCACGTGCCTCTGCCCAGCCTCCCAGGGCTGAGACCCCATCCTGGAAGTCGGTGCTGGGCAGGGTGGGGAGCGGGACCCACCACCAAGTCTTCCCTGCGGCGAAGCGGGCATAGTTGTTCAGGGTGCGGAGCCGTGTGTACCAACATTAAAAGTCTGTTGACGGAAGGATGGTGAGGGCCTCTCCCACGGCCCCCGAGCGCCTGCCCACGTGAGGCCAGCTGCAGGCACTTGGACAGTGGGAGGCTTGTGGGAAGGGCCGTCCTCCTTCCCTCTTGGCTCTGGGCCTTGGAGTATGTGTGCCTGGCCGCCGTACCCTCTGGTGGGGAGGGAGCCCCTGTGGGTTGGCCCAAGGGCTGGCGGGACCTGGGCCTGCCTCGCTGACCGTGGAGGAGGCCTCCTGCCCTCCCAGCTCGTTCCCGGTCCGTGCGCCCTGGGCCTGTGCTCGCCCCACGCACCTGCTGCTCACATCTCTGGCCCCACAGACCTTAGCAGAAACGTTAGGAGACTGCCTCTTCCCCAGGAACTGAGGGCTGGAGACCAGAGGCCACGTGGCAAACCTGTGTGCCTGAGGCCATGTGGCAGGGAAGGGCAGAGACCACCCACCAAGGTCGGCCTGCCCGTCGGGAGGGGCTGCACCCTCTGGGTGATCCCTGGCTCTGTCCCCCAGGAGAGGGGAGCACCTGGTGGGCCTTCCCAGGCTGGGGTCTCCAAGCAGGGATGCTTCAGTTGTGACCTGCTGTGGGGTGGGGCAAGGGGAACTGGTTAGGGGGCAGCGGCAGCGGGTCTGGTCCAGCCAGCCCTAGTCTCTGGGCCTCAGCACCTGTCTCCAAAAAGACCCCACCTCCCAGCCTTGTCTGGGCTTCCACACTCGAGTAGGGAGAGGTGCGAGCCGGCCCACATCCGCCCAGCCCACCTCTGCTGGAGCCTCCACAGGATGGGCGGGTAGGGCACAGGTGGGCTGCGGGGTCCCCGTGGGCTCCAGGAGGTTGGCAGTGGGCACCTGAGGTGCGGGGTCTGGGCTTCCCCATGGCTGGGTGTAGCCGCTGCCAAGAGCCGGGCTGGGGTGCTGGACAGAAAGGAGGGCCCTGGCTGCTGCCCGCCCCCGGCTACCCCTGCTGGGGCTATCCTGGCCTCCCCAACTTGCGAAGCGCAGGCTCTGGGGCCGTGCTCCCTGGGCAGCCGTGGGCAGGACGCAGCGGGTCTGCTGAAGGACAGGTCAGGAGGAGCTGGCCAGGGACGAGGCCAGAACACGGTGGGGGATAGGATGGTCCAGGCACGTGGGTGCTGCTGGGAGCCAGGGGAGGGAGGTGCCCTCGCAGCCTCTGCAGCCAACCTAGTGCTGCCCAGTGAGCCCCGTGGGTGCACACAACCACCTCCTCCCAGGGCTGGGGTCCCCATGGGGTACAGATGTGGCCTTTGTGCCATGTGCGCCCTGAGGCCCGGTGAGCCTCTGACTGAGAGCCAGATACACGCACATGCCCCCTTCCCCGGGCTTCGCCGGCATCCAGGCCTCTGGTGCACACGACCCCCGCCAGGTGTGGCCCCCAGGCCCTGACCAAAGCTGAACCTCCTGCAACAGAGGCAGTACTGTACGCTCCACAGCACGCCCCCCAGGGCCGCATACCCTGGGAGGCACCCTTCTGGCCTTGGGGGTTGGGTGTGGGGAGATGCTGGGAAAGGGATGGCCAGCACCCTGCCCACCTGCTGGGCAGTCCCCTCCCCCTCCATGCCTGGGGAGCCTAGCAGCTCTCTGGGCTGAGCCTGTGATGGTTCAGTTCTGGCAGGCAGGGGTGGGCTCAAGTCCTCAGTTTCCCCACAGACACCTCCCTGAGATAGTGGCAAGAAAGGATTCACTGGTGAGGAGCAGGGATGTTTGTGTTAAACGTTTATTAGAGGGCTGGGCTGGCAAAGAGTGTCCGGGTTTATGAGCGGATCGGGACGGAGAAGAGGAAGGACCTCAGGCGTCCCGCAGTGAGGTGAGCACATCTCGCACCTCGCCCGGGCCGGGCAGTGGGGCTGGCAGCTCTGTCCACGTTGGTGAGGCCGCCCTACAAAGCAGGTTGGCTGAGCTCCGAGAGAACCGTGTGGCTTTGTAAGTGTGGCCCCCACGTGGAGGCTCAAGCCTCATGGCTGAAGGCCTGGGTTCAGCAGGCCTCTGGCAAATGTGCCCCAAATCAGCAGAACACACAGCTTGTCTTGTGCAAGTCACACAACACCAAACAGATGGGGTCAGTGCCAAAAAGCCAGGGTGTCAGTTTCTCATAATCCAGGCAGAGCAGGAGGCAGAGGCCAGTAAGCACCACCTACCCTGTGGCTGGCTGGTGCCTGGAGGGGTGCGTGTGCTCACACATGTAAACATACACACACACACACACACACGGTCTACGGCCTCAGACATTCAAAACTGTTAATACCTAAAACAAAACGCTGCACAAGGCTTCACCCCTCACGCAGCCGCGGCCACGGTCTGTCCCCGAGCCAGCTGACAGCACAGCGGGCCCGCACACGCAGCCTGCTCTGCGCTGGAAGCCGTGTGCTTGCCCCGCGCCACGCTCCCACACCTGCCCGTCCCTGGTGCCCATGCAGACCAGCAAAGCCCCGGTCCTCCCTGCCCTGCTGGGGGTGCACATGGGTACCCTGCAGCCCACCCCTAAAGCATCTGCAGTACTAAGAAAAACGCCTTTGCCAATTCTAAGGTCACATAAAAATATTTTTCTTGTAAAAAGAGGATGGTTGGCAGCCGCCTGGGGACACGGGGTCACCACAGGTCCCTCAGCTGCACGACTGCTTCGGTGCGGTTTTAAAAGCTGCCCCGTTGTAGAAAAATAATCGTGCGGGTCTGTAAAATACACGTTCAGCTCCCCGGTTTAGATCTGAACAGTTAAACCAGTCAGGACCTGTTCTCCCCAGAACAGCGTTAGTTGCTGTGTCTGCGTGATTCCGGAACAAACATCAGTCACCCCGTATCTGGGGAACTTCTCACAAAGCAGTAGCACAATCAGCGCAGTGCTCAAAAGGCAAAGCCACCCAAGCACACCACAACACGGCATCATCTGTGCCAGAACCTTCTGGAAAAGAGAGCAAGGGACGTGCATCTCAAAAACCACCAAGGTGAAACTTAAAACAAGATGACAGCACCACACGCCCTCCGCCATGGCCCGGGGCTCAGCGGATGACGGTCACGTGGGGGGCGGCGAGGCCCAGGTCCGTCTTGGAGGGGTACACCACCCTCAGGTGTCCCTCCTCGTCCAGCACCCGGACCTGCTCCAGCAGCAGGGACGCGGGCCGGGCCTGGTCCGCACTTGTGCTCGCGCCGGGGTCTGGGAGCCGTCCGGAAGCTGCGTCGGCCTCGCTATCTGAAACTGATTCGTCCTCTTTATTTTCTAAAGTGTATTTGGTGATTTCTGCCATTTTCTGCAAATGAAAAATATCTGTTTAGAGGTGACCAGGGAAGACACACAGCCAAGGCGGCCGTGCGAGGGGTGGAGGGAAGGTGGGGGGACACGCCGCCCAGGCCTTGCAGCCAGACTGCCGACTGGGCGAGGTGATGAGGCTGCCTCACCAGCACGAGGGCGTCCATGGCGTCTTTACAAATCTGCAGACTCGTGGCGCTTGTTACTTCCAAAAACAGATCTGAAGTCGTTTTCTTGATCTTAAAAGGAAATTAAAAGGATTTCAGAAACAATGGAGTTATCGAGAGTAAGACATCAGCAGCTGCACCGAAGAGAAACTCTAAGACCGTGTCCCCTCCTGAAGGCAGGCAGGGGCCACACCGCCGTGCACGCGGCGGCTCCTGGTGCGCCACCGAGTGTGACAGGGACACCCAGCTCCGTGCGAGCGGCCCGGGCTCTCGGGACGTCCCATCCCCGTGCGGTGACTCTGCAGGCGAACCAGCCCCAGCCGGGCACACAAGGCCCTACCTTCGTCTTCTCGCTGTTGGTTATGGGCGGGAAGGAGATCACGTCTCCATCTGCGTCCACGAGGCAGGGGTACCTTTCCTTCCCGTCCAGCAGGTGAAGGTACCTGAGGGAAGAGACGGTGGGGTGGAGACGACGCTACGAGAAAAATGGGCCTAGAGGTAAGAACCGGACAAATCCAAGTTCTTTGGCCAAAGTTGGAACAACATCAGGGAGCGTGTCCCGAGCTCTGGAGGAAGGACCTTCCACAGCCTGCGCCCACGTGGGCGGGCCACGCTCCTTCCTGGCCCCGCGGGTCCTGGCCGCCCGCACTTGCCCGAGCCCCACGGCACGTGGGCAGAAGGCTGTGCGCTTCCCTGCCTTCCTGTCGCTAGGGGGCGACCACACCGCCCTCCTGCGTCCCCGTGGACCCTGCTGTCCCTCCAGACGACAGAGCCTGTGCCTGACTCTCCCCAAAGCAGCGCCTGAGCCCGGAGCCCCTGAGAGAACAGGTCTGGCAACGCGGCCTCTCCCCCCAGGCAAGTCCCTAACGGCCCGGGGAACGAAGTCTGGAGGTTTTCTCCAAATCCGTAAGGACGCAAGTTCGGACAGCCTGGGGGTGAGCGGGAGGCCCGCTGACCTGTGCAGGCCCGAGACGTTCTGCCTCTTCTTCTGCTTCCTGTGCTCCTCGGCCTCCAGCTGTAGCTGCCGCACCAGGTCCTTGGCCTTGACTTCCCGGCGCCCTAAGGGGACGATCTGTGGGGCAGACACGGCTCCGTGAGCTCCCGCGGGGCCTCCCGTGCTCACTGGACCGTCCACACCAAGGTCCCCTCGCTCTCCCTCCGGCAGCCTTGTGGCCATGGGGCCCCTACCCCACATGCGTGAGCGCCCTGGGGAGCAGAGCGTCCAGCCTGCCCACACGCATGGCATCTCCCAGGCCTGGGGCCCCCTGAAGGCCAAGGGAGGGGGGCAGACCCCGGCGGGACCTGGACCAAGCAGGCTCATGAAGCTCAGCTCCAAACAAGGGGGTCTCACAACTGGGCCAGAAACCACAATTTCTGCCTAGAAGTGAGTGAGCGAAGGAAACCACTTTCCAGCGACCTTCTCTGAGGAGTTCGCTTTCAGAGCCAGGAGCAGCCTCAGATTCGCCCCAGAATGCGGCGCGGGGTCGCCAGTGCGCACGTGTCAGGGGACAGGGAGGGGACTGCTGCCCGGCGAGCAGGGCGGGGCAGGCGGCGGCACCTTGAGGTCCTCAGGTGGGCGGGTGTCGTAGAGCAGGGGCCCGCGGACGGCTCTGAGGTCGTGGGTGGCGATGGTGGCGGCCGTTCTCTTCTCGCAGAGCTCCTCGTGCAGCCGCGTCTGCAACACACGCCCCAGGCGCCCCGCGCTCAGCGCACCCCGGCCCTGCCCCCTGCCCCCCCCCCCCAGCCAAATATGTGTTCTGTGACAACCTCACCCATGACTATCTGATCTGCTCACTGGCAGAACGTCTTCTCTGACTCTGGAACAGAGCACGAGGCTTCAAAGAACCTTCTTGAACTAGAACTTACGACTGAACAACGGTTTGACTTAGAAAAATATCCCAGCATATGGTCTCCTTCCAAAACACGGATCTTTGGGATTTAATCTCCTGGCTGGGAGGGCCCTCTGCTTCCCCCGAACACGAGCTCCCAGGAAGCTGCCTCTGCCCCCACAGGCCACACTGGGGGGCCTGCACACCTCACAGATGCGGATTTTATCGTAAGAGCTGGCAGACTGCAGAGGAAAGCAAACCGGGAACTTTGTCTCACTAAACCCCAACAAAAACTAACCAGCGCCCGTGAGATCAGGCTGACGACCTCAGTGCCGTCTCCCACGAGACTAACCGTGTAACTCGTCACGGAAACCCCAAGCCCCCCAGACGCCAGACGCGCAGGGAGCGCCGCTGCTTCAGGCGTCACGATGAAGCCTTCTTCAGGGACCAGGCAGGCCTGGGAGGCTCTCTGCGCGCGAGCCAACGGGCAGGCGGCCTCCCGGGCCCGGAGCCAGGTCCCGCTGCGCTCCCGCTTCCGGGTGGGAAGACGCAGGGGCCACCGTGGCACCAGGCCACCGGCCCCACCCCGCCCCTTACCCACGGCCGCGCGCACGCACCTGGGAGGTGAGGAACCGTTTGAGCGCGTTCCCGGCCTGCAGGTCCATGCCTCTCACGACGGCCCCCACGATGAACGGCCGGACGTCCCTGACCGAGGGGCTGACCCGCACGGTCAGCGGGGCGGGGCTCTCGGACACGTGCAGGACCCGGAGCAGCAGCCGGCCGGCGCCGGCCGCCTCCCCCCCGCCCCCCTCGCCGCTCTCCCTCCTCCGCCTGTCGCGCCGCCTCCTGCGGGCCTCCTCCTTCTCGGGGCCATCCGCCTTGCCACGGCCGCGAGCGCAGCCCCGGCCGCCGCCGCGCAGGTACTCCAGGATGGACCGCGTCTGGCAGCTGCGGACCATCTTCTCCAGCCGCCTGTCCGTCAGCCGGTTCCCCCGGAAGTTGACCTCCTTGAGCCTGGGGCAGTCGGCCAGCTCCGCCGGGACCTCGCTGAGCTGGTTGTTGGAGAGGTCCAGCGTCTGCGAGGGGGACGCAGGACTGTGGTCACGCGCAGCCGCGGGGCCACGCCGCCTCCCCGAGCACCCCCGCCCCCAGCAGACAGCCCCGGGGGCGGGGGGGCTGCCAGCGACCCCCACGGAAGGCCTGTCTGCCTCTTCCTGCTCCCCTGCGAAAACTGTCCCGATGGACAAGGTTAGGGGAACACAGGATGCGGGGAAGGTGTGGGCGTGAACCGAGATGGTTAAAAATTCTAGGAACCAAAAAAACACGGCATGACACGCATCACCGCTCACACAGAAACACGGCCCTGACTCCACGTGCAGATAACGGGGGAGCGGGTGGGACCCTGGCCTGCTCTCAGCCCTGTCCCTGGACCCAGGAAGCGGTGCCGCACCAGTGTCCCGCGTCTGAAGAGGCGCACAAAAGCCATGCAGGAGAACCCGTCGCCGCTACTGCTGCCTGGGCTTTGCCAAAACCGCGCATGGGTATCAGCAGCACGGCGACGCGTCATCAACGGGCTGGGCTGCCTCGTGGGGTGGGCAGGAGCAGGAGGGGTCAGACCCCAGGACACTGATGCAGCGCCTTCCAGTCGTGGGGTCTGGGGTCGGTCCTCGCTTCCCCTTCCACAGCTGGGGTAGAGGACAGGCCCCCAGCAAGGGGCCAGGCGCCGCCCCCTCTGCTCTCCGTCTGGGCGGCGTGGGGCACCGTGCACAGGGCCCCTTTCTTGCTCTCCTCCTGGGCCAGTGGGAGGCTCTGGACTGGCCTTGCTCGGCTCAGCTAAGAGCAGACAGGGGGCTGGAGGCCTTGGTAGGGTGGCCTCGGCCTTGGAGAAAGTCTCTTGTCTGGTCAGTTAGAGTGAGCACAGGGGGCCTGTGTGGACCACACCTGGGGTCAAAGCCACACTGGCGGGCCGCTATCTGCACACATGTGCATGTGCACACACACGGCAGGTGCTCACACTTGGTGGGCGAGGCCGCTGACCAGTCCTGGTTCTGGCTGGGATGTAACGGCCCCGACAAAGTGGTGACAGCCTTCGCCATGAGCTGGGAAGGGGACAAGAGCTCTGACTCTCCAGAAAGTGCCTCCACTCTGGCTGGTACAGAGGGCGTCGGACAGAACTCCACGGGCTGTTACAAAGGGGGCTATCCTGTGGCTCAGGCTCTCAGGCTGCCAAGAAGCCAGAGTGGAGAAGGGGTCAGAGCCGGGGGATGTGACGGTGCCACCGAAGTGCCTCTAAAGCTCTGCCAGGGCCTCAGGAGGGCAGCAGGCTCTCATCTCGCACTCAGGATGGGGGTGAAGGAAGGAGGCACGTTAAGCCAGGTTTAGTCACCTCGGGGGACTGAGGGGCCTGAGACCTGTGGGCAACGCACTTTCATACAACTGTGTCCATTTCGTGCCTTGCTGGGCCTTTCCCTGCTGCTCAAGTGGGACGGGGGTGGGGTGTGTGTGTGTGTGTGTGGACTGTGTCCCATGTGTCCCAGCCCGTCCTGATACCCACCACACCCACACGGGAGCTTGTGAGCGACAGGGAGGGGCTGGTGTTCCGAGGTCAGCTCCATCCGCACACGCCAGCTCTGGGGTCGGCTGCACTGCCCGGGGGGCTCTGGGCAGCTGGAAGACTGCCCTGGGGGGGCCCTCGCTGCCGCACGGAGCAGGCCAGCTGGGTGGACGGAGTGAGCAGGCAGCAGAGGAGAGCTGGCAAGGAGAAGAGGGGTGGGACGGGGCCTCGCTGTCCGCCTGCCCCAGCTGCTGCAGGCCAGCGGGCCGCTGAGGCCTCCACAGGGGACAAAGGTGCGGGGTTCAGGGCGGGGGGGGCTCTGCTTTCAGAGGTGATGTGACCGAATAACAGGCGTTTCAGGCCTGGGGCCGAGGCTCTGTGGGAGTGGAAGCAGGGAGGGGAGGCAGCAGGTCAGTGATCCCGTGCCAGGCTCTAGAGGCTGGGGGCCCTGTAGGGGTGTAGACACCCGTGCGGGAGAGGACAGGGCGCCCCACACCAAACCTGCGCCCTGCCAGCGCCGGGCACCAGGGCAGCAGGCTCCGTGGGGCCTCATGCCCAGAACAGCAGTGCTAACGAAGACGGGAGCGCGTGAAGCCACACGGGACGGGGAGCAGAGCTGCCGCTCTCCGACAGAGGAAGCGGAGTCTGCACTGTGCGTGCCAACCCCCAAAGGTGCGAAATCCACAGAGGCCAAAGGGAGGGCATCAGGAACCTGCCTCTGCCTGGAGCCAACCTGCGAGGACCCCCGCTTACCCCTCTCCTGCCGCTAACACCAGCACCTCTGACCCGGGCAAGGCCGCGAACTGCCTTCTGGGGACTTCCCTTCTGCTGGGACGCACTGCAGGGAGGGGCCCTAGATCCCTGGCTGGGCCAACCGGACACTACATGCCGGCCAAGGGCGTGTCTGCTGAGGGGACCGGACATGACCTCTGCGGGTGCCGAGAAGACAGAGAATGAAGGGCTCCTTGGGGCTGGACACGGGTGCCACGTGCGAAGTTCAGTTTCTCTGGAAACCTGACCACAGCGGGAGTCCCACCTGAGAGCCACCTGGACGGTCCCAGTGTCCCAGGCTGCCAGGCCCATCCCTCCATCAGCCCCGATGACCAGCGCCCCGGCCTGGGTCAGTCGCCTAGGCCCCGGGCTCGGTACGAGCAGGTAAGCAGGTGGCGGGGTTATGGTGTGGTGGGTAAACAGTGTCTCCTGGGCTCATAGGTGGCCGGAGTAGGGAAGAGGGTCTGGGGCCCCATGTGGGGCTGCTCCCTGGGGGAGGGCACACGAGGCAGTGGTCTCCCCGTGCAGAAGTGAGGGGACAAACGGAGTCCTGTGGATGCTACTCAGGCGGCCCCTACGGAACCGTGCCTCCGGGCATTTACATCCCGTGGGGCGTCTCCCCACGGTCTGGGTGGGGTTTGGCAGGAGCCAGGGGTGCTGGTTCCGAGCCCGTTCCCCAGGGAGTCCTGCAGTCGTGTTAGGGGGAGGGGTGCTGAGACGACATGGGGACAGGGGAGCTGTGACGGCATCGCCGCAGAGCCCAGCCCCAAGCACAGGTAACAACGGCAAGCGAGGGGACTGCTCAGCGGGGTCACAGCCCGGGATGGAAACCAGTCAGCATGTGACTCGACTGGTGGTGTTTTCGGCCACAGGGTTCTGGCACGGTCCTCGGTCACGGGGACCGCAGCGACACCGGCCCTCTGTCCATGGCACTGTGGCCGTCCCGTCTCTCTCACCCGCCGGACCCGGCAGCGCTGCCGGCACACAGTGAGGGGACTGCCACCTCTGCCTGAGCTCAGTTCTCCACGCAGCCACCTTCCTGTGAGGACCAAAGACAAGGACACATCTGTACTCAGGAACCCAGCACGCGCACAGCACCGCTCACGGGGGCATCGTGTTAGAGCGGCCCCGAAGGACACCTGAATCCAAGAGGGACTCCAAGCGGCTCTGGCATGACCCTCCCCCAGAAACAGGCGTCTTCGTGGGGAAGAGATCCGATGGGGGCTCAGCAGTGGCCAGAGCGGAGCAGGCGCGGGGGCTCCCTGACCCGAACGAGGCTGTCTGCACACAATTAGGCCACACGCGTCGCTGATGGGCCCCGCAGACGCGGTACAGAACGTTTACAACGAAGCAGATGCACACGCTGGCAAGCCACCCTGCGTCTGAAGTACAACACCTGACCGTGCACTCGGGTGACGGCACTCGGCTACGTGTCTGGTCCGCCAACCTCCCGGAAAACCAAAAGACCAAAAGATGGGAGCGAGCAATGTTGTGCGTCACCTGCCACGCCTCTGCCATAAAGGGACGCCTACAGCCCTGGGTCACCGTGTCCCAGGAGCGCCCGCCACAGCCTCTTTCTGGAAACGCCAGCAAATGCTCTGCTGAGTGGCCTCCTCCATTTCTCTTGATCACTCACACTCACTCACGAACACAAGCATACACAGAGACAACATGCCCCTGAACACACAGGCATACACACAGACACACAGGCCCATGCACACACATATACACAGACACACACACACCCATGCACACACATGTATACACACTGGCACAGAGACACCTTTACACAGACGTGCACTTTTGTAAAATCAGTTGGCAACATCTTAAGAGTAACTTCGGCCAGAAACAGATCAGCTGCTAAACTGCATACACATTTTACTGTTTTAAATCTCTGCATGTGCCCCCACCCCGTGGCTCCCTCAGTTAAGTGCCTGACTTCCTGCACACCTGTCCCAGCCACACATTACCCAGGGCCTGGGGACCTAAAGGAGTGAGTTAGCAGCCCCTGGACAACATGGGCTAGAGGAAAGCCCAAATGATTTGTTGTGGACTCGGCAACCCCTTCCGGCGAGAACTCTGATCTTAGAAGGCGGTGGTCAGGGTGAAGGGGAACAGCATAGGCGGAATCACATCGCTTGGCGTTATGCGAATTCCCGTTGTCACATCTCCGGGCCTTGCCTGGGGGCCCACCCCCCGCCCCCCAAGGTCACTGAACCGTTTCATAAATGTGTGAAGACAGAGAAATTCTGGCCTGGGGCCCTGCTGTCGAGCCGCTCCCGGCCGAGCTTGCTAACAATTCCGGAGCGTGGGGCCGGCTGAGCCAACCACGCGGGATAGGGACCCCGTCATGCGAGTGGGGGCGGCTGGGGCGTCCCCGGGGCGGCTCCCTGCCCGCTGCTCCCCCCGGGGCCCCGCGCCGGCCCGCGGCCCCCGCTGACCTTGAGTGAGGCCAGGTGGGCGATGTCGGGGCTGAGCTCTCGGAGGCAGTTGTCGGCGGCCGCCAGTTCGCTGAGCAGGGGCAGCGCGCCGGGGCGGAAGAGCGCGGCGGGGAAGGAGTCCAGGCGGTTGCCCGTGAGGTTGAGGGTCTGCAGGCGCGGGGCGCAGAGCGCCAGGTCGGCGGGCAGCTCGCGCAGCCGGTTGCCGCTGAGGTTGAGGCTCTGCAGCTGCGGGAGGCCCGGCGGCTCGGCGGGGCCCAGGCCCTGGCCCGGCGGCAGCGCCTCCAGCGCGTTGCCGGACAGGTCGAGCACGCGCAGCGCGGGCAGCGGGCCGAGCTCGGGGCTGAGGCCGGGCCCGAGCGCGTTGCGCCGCAGCACGAGGCTGTGCAGCTGCGGGAGGCCCTGCGCCAGGCCCGGGCCCGGCTCGCGCAGGCTCCCGCAGCCGCTCACCTCCAGGTAGTGCAGCAGCGGCAGCGTGAAGAGCCGCGGCGGCAGCCGCCCGCCCGCCGCGCGCACCCGCTGCTCCAGGCCGGGCCCCGTCAGCAGCAGCTCGCGCCGCCGCTCGCGCTCCGCCAGCTCCAGCTCGGGCCAGGCCTCGGGCACGGGAGCCGCCGCCGCCGCCATCGCGCCGCCGCCGCCGCCGCTCCCGGGGCGCTTCCGGGGCACGCCGCGTCACTTCCGGCTCGGGCCGGAAGGAGAGGGCGCGTGGGGGCGGGGCGGGGCGTCTACTGGAGAAGAGAGGCGCAGAGGTGCCCCCTGGCGGCTGAGGGCCTCTGCCGGCGCCCGGGAGTCGTCGCCTCTCAGAGTCGCCGCAGCGGAGCGGCGCGTCCTGGGCGGAGACCCGTCCCCCGAGTCCAGCGCCTCGCCCCGCCAGCCCCGGGTCGGGTCCCTTGCCCGGATCGCCCTGACCACCCCTCGGGTCCAGCCCCGCGCCCGGATCGCTCGGTGGGCCCGCCCCGCGCCCCCCCATCCAGCTCCGCGGTCCGGCACCACGCCTCGCTCGCTCCCCCCACCCCACCCCGGGTCCGGCGCGGCGCCCTGAGCGCCCTGAGCGCCCCCGCCTCCACCCCGGGGCCCGCCCCGCGCAGCCCTGGATCCGCCCTCGCACAGGGGTCTGGAATCGAATCTCCGGGTTTGCGCCCGCACCCCGGGCAGCTGCGTCGTCCACGGATGAGCGGCTCTCGCATCGGAAACGGGAGATAACCGGTGACCGAGACCTGACCCCCGGTTAGGGAGAGACCCTGGCCTAATTAACGGCCTGGGCGGCGGTCGGCCCGGGATTGCCCCCACTTCCCAGGTGCTGAGCGGGTGGGCAGGGCTGAGAAGGTGCCTGGGATGGGTCAGTTTTCCCGGCCAGGCACCACGCCAGCCGGGCGTTGGAGGAAGGGGAGGGGGTGCCCAGGGCCGCTGCCCCCCTGCTCCGCACCTGTTTTCTTGACCGCCCCACCCCAGTGGGCTTTTCCGTTGCTTCATTTTGTTTTGGAATTTCTGAACTTTGTATTGGAGTGTGATCTACACCCAGAGAAGTGTGCGCACAGCATAAGTGGACTTTGCCCCAGTTGAGCACATCCGTGTAGCCGTCATGCGCAAGAAACAGTTTATTACCAGTCTTCTCAGAGCCCCCGGAGCCCCCAGAGGCGCGGCCAACACCTCGAAGTTTTGCGGGTGCTGCACTTCCTCTGTGATGTGCGGGGTGTTCCCCGGTGCCTGGCTGCTCTCCTTCCACATGGTGCCTGTGGGGTTCATCCCCCAGACAAGCAGCGGTGGACCGGCTGGTGTCCAGCATTGTAAACAAATTGTGAACACACAGTATTTTTCCCCAGCGGGGTCCTCGGGCTGCTGGGAGCCGCCCCGGCGTCGCCGCCCCGGCCTCGCTGAGCACCACCCAGAGAGAAGACGGACTTTTGTCTTGGTTATTGTTGTGACCGACCCCATGTGTGAAGGACGGGCGCCAGCGGAAGCAGAGCTTTGAGCTCGCGTCTGGGCCTCTTTCCTGAGCTGCCTGCAGCGGCTGCAGCCCGCACCCCCAAATGCTAGCAAGCTTCTGGCTTCCCCAGACAGTTCTTGGACAATCGCACACACGGACACAGCCTCATCGGTAGCTTTTAGTTCCTGGAATCTATGCGTCTCCTTGCTTGTCTGTTGGCTCTGGAGCAGATCGCCGGGGATGGATCCTACAGCTGCTCTCCTGGCGGCCTGTGAGGACATTAACAGTTTCATAGTGGCCGACGCTGGGAACAGCCCCAGTGCCCATCAACAGCAGAGTGGATCAGCACAGGCGGACGCATCTCCTGAAGTGGATGGCACGTTGGGAGCGAGTGCCCGGCTGCACACGACAGCGCGGTGACTATCAAGATCGCTGTTTCGCTGTTTGGGGAACAAGGCAAAGCACAGATGTCCCGTGTGGTTCCCTTTGCAAGGCTTACACACATGTCAAGCTCAAGATTGTATTATTGAGGGGTACGCTCGTGTGTGGCAAGTCTATGTAGGCCGCCAGATGTTGAGACTTGTTCCTGGGAAGCGAGGCCGAGTTTAGTCCCCCGAACGGTGCACACAGGCCTCCAGCAGAGTTTGCAGGTGGTTCGCGAGTGATTTGTTTTTCTGGAGCCCTGCTAATGCCTCCAAGCCAACTTTGTGACACTGTGTGGGCCGGCTTTTTTTTTTTTTAATTTTTTTTTTAATGTTTTATTTATTTCTAGGAGAGAGAGAGACAGCGTGAGCAGGGGAGGGTCAGAGAGAGAGGGAGTCACAGACTGAAACAGGCTCCAGGCTCTGAGCTGGCAGTCAGCACAGAGCCCGACGCGGGGCTCGAACCCACGAACCGCGAGATCATGACCTAAGTGAAAGTCGGACGCTTGTGTGGGCCGGCTTTTAAAGAGGGAAGGGGCGGGGCGCCTGGGTGGCTCAGTCGGTTCAGCGTCTACTTTGGCTTAGGTCATGACCTCGCAATCTGGTCCGTCAGTTCAAGCCCTGGGCTGACAGCTCAGAGCCTGCTGCTATTTTGCCATCACGAATCTTTGTTAAACTTTTTCTGAATACCCTCCAGGTTGCGAGGGCCTTTTTGAAACATGTTGCAGACATTAGGTGTGTGGCAGAGAGTAATGGCCCCTACGCAGTCCCCATCCTCACCCCGGAAGTGGGAACGTGTTAGGTTTTACCGCACAGGGGAAGCCAGGCTGCAAACGTCAGGAAGATGGATAATCGGTGACCTTGAGTTGGGAGAGCGGCTCATGGGCCCAGTGTGATCACAGGGTCCTTAAAGTAGAAGCGGAAGGCAGAGATGGAGAACCAGAGAGGTGGCAGAGAAGGCTGGGGGAGCTGCTGGCCTTGAACGTGGGGGCGGGGCCCTGAGTTCGGGGAAAGGGGTGGCTCTGGAGGCCGGGAAGGGCGAGGAAGGGATTCTGCCCTGGGCCCCCACCAAAGAGTGCACCCGGCTGAGCCCCCGTCCTAGTCCCCCGAGACCCTGGCAGACTTGCGAGCTACGAGGGGGTGGGCGTGCGCTGGTGATCCGTGGTCACAGCAGCAGCAGAGCTCTTGGGATTCCTTGGGTTACTTACCCTTTTCACTCACACGGAAGCCTGGCTAGAGGCTTGCTTGTCCCTTTCCTAACGATACGTAGGGATTCTGGGCCTTTTGGGCACTAATCTTTTGTGGTTGCTTGTGTTCCCATCTCTGTAAGGTGTCTCCAATGACGGGTTGCTCCGTTGTCGTGTTTTGTCTTGTTTCACAAATCTCTACCTCGTTCAGGGACAGGAAATACAAAACATCAGCTCCAGGTAGATTACAGATGTCAGTGTGAAAAAGCAAACTTAAAACTGAATAGGAAGAAGGTACGTGATTATTTTTCTGCTCCTGGCCCTGTTCCGTCCCAGCCCCGCCCAGGCTGAGGCTTGGAGCCAGGTCCGGACGCCCGCAGGCTCGCCCTCTGGCCTCCCCCAACTACCAGGGACATCGCCCCCCCCGCTCCAGTCCGGGACCCGGAATTCGGTAAATAGTGTTCCCAAGGTGCTCCCTACCCCAGGGGGAGGGAGCTCTCCATCCAGACCCCTGGCAGTGCTTCCCACAATGCCCCCCACCTTCGGGCAGGACACTGCACCCGTCCCTTTCCGGGTCTGGTCCCGGGACACCGAGGGACAGGACCTCTCCTGGGGGGTCCTCAACCTGCGGGACCAGGGGGCTTTGCTTAGGGATGAGCTCCTCCTCCTGCACACAAGGAAATCTACCCATCTCCCTGCCCCTCCCCTGGAATCCCAGCACCGTGACTCAGGAGGGCAGGTCTGGGGTCTGGGAAGCTCGGTGGGGTTCCGAGGCCTTCCGGGCAGGTGGTGGTCCATGCCTCAGTCTCCCTGTTCCCCAGCCCCTTGCTGGTACAGCTTGATGAGAGATGAAGGGGTGGGGGGCACCCCTCAGCCTAGGGGTGGGTCCCTCCCCGAACTTGCAGACTCCTTCCCTATTCGGCTCCACTCCACAAAGGGGAAACTGAGGCAGGGATGAGCTGTTGTCCACAGGCCTCCCTGGGCTGTCCCACCAGGACCCGGGTTCACATCTGGGCCCACTGCCTTCCAGGAAGCTGGCGTCCCTGCCTACCACTGGCAATAACCTTGCCTGCGTTGTGTGGTCCTTGAAAGGTTCTGGAAGACCCCAAGGGGACGCGCTCTGCCAGAGCAGCAGAGAGGGGCGCCCCCGTCGCTGACCACTCTCTCCGGTGGCCTGCATCTCAGAGCCAGGGGGCTCAGCCCGTGGGTGGGGACTTCCCGGATGAGGTGGGTGGACCACCGAGGGGTCTTTTCCTTCTTGCACATCTGCAGGTGTGACCGCGGCGCACGCCCCTGCTTGTCCTTGGCTTCTTTGGAGACCGCTCTTTCATCCTGCACTCGTGCAGTGCACACACCGGGCCCCTGTACCTCAGCACTTCAGAGTGGAAGCAATTACACCTTTACGAAAACTAATGGAAGCTTAAAGTCACTTCTCAAACGGACAGAGAAAAAACTGCCGTTTTACTAATTTGAAAGCAAAATAGCCTCGTTGGCTGGTAAAAGTTCTCCATCAAAAGGGAAGAACCCGGGGCGCCTGGGTGGCTCAGTCAGTTAAGTGTCCGACTTCAGCTCAGGTCGTGATCTCGTGGTTCATGGGTTCGAGCCCCACGTCGGGCTCTGTGCTGACAGCTCAGAGCCTGGAGCCTATTTCAGATTCTGTGTCTCCCTCTCTCTCTGACCCTCCCCTGCTCACGCTGTCTCTCTCTCTCTCTCTCAGAAATAAAACATTAAATTTTTTTTTAAAAAAGGAAGAGCCTGCACGGAGACTGTAAAGCGCAGCCTGGCAGTGGGCACAATCACACCACCTGTGACTTTATCCCACTCAGGATAAAGCCGGTCAACGATTTTCTCCAATTTACATGTCACTTAAAATTCTTTAGCTTCTTCATCCGGGAAACTCCTTTGGACACATCATATGTGGGGCCGGGCTCTGTCCTGGGGGGTGGAGCCCCCTCAACCGGACCAGGCCACACCCTGTGTTGGCCGATGGTGGCAGATAGTTCACCTTTTAATTGTAATCTTGAAATAAAAGTGACAGGACATTTAGTGATCTTTTTATTATGTTAATATGCTCAGAGTGAATTGACCCCTAGGCCCTGAAATAACAAGAAAAATATATTGGTTAGATACAATTCTGGTATCTGAAATAAAGACAAATAGAAAACTACATTAAAACATTAAAAAGTTGCAAATTTTCATTAAAGGTATTTACATGTGTATTCTGACGCCAAATTTATAGACACATTTCTTTTAAATTAGATAAAGTATTTTGAAATATGAAAATAAGAGAAATAAATAGTTAAATATCCACAACATATTTATGAGTGAAAATTCAATTATTAATTCGTGTTCCAAATTTACAGATTTATTTATAAATGGCCAAGGGATCCTATAGTTCTTTCAGAATTGCTTGTCCTGTATCTTCGGTTCCTCAAGAGCATATGACTCTGTAAAGCTGCTCACGGCCGCCAATCCCCGCCGGGAATCACTTCGGCAGAAACGCACGCTCCTTCTGTAACCAGGAGACTAACCAGTCTTAAATGCACCTGATTTTGTCAATCACTAAAGTGAAATATTTTTACAAATCTTTTTACAGTTACAATATCTGGAAAATATGACAGATACATTTCTTGAAAGTGTTGATTAGAGGGAAGACAAGGACTCCTTGATTAGCGTTTCTCATCACGGCCCGGGTGACGGGTGGTCACCTGTGCGAGGGACCAGGTCGTGACCACGGTCTGTGAAGCCAGGAGGGGTCACGTTACAATTCCCTCGGCGTCTGCGCTCTGCTCCGCCTAGTGAAGGTTTATGTTATTTCTCCCCATCACTTTTTATTTTTTTAATTGAGTTATTTTTTGTAAAGGTAATTCTTAGTCTCATTCTTGCTGTATTTTGAGTCAACCATACGAGAAAGAATTAGTTTACCCAGAATGGAGAGTGGTTAGTGCAAATTCCTGGTCACTGACGTACTCAGGGGGCGCTGTTCAAACAGCGATTAGGGGTTTTCTGAAACCTATGTGTTTCACGTGGCGGGGAATTAACGTACGTGTCTGCTAATTACGTGGTAGCAACGCCACGCATTTCTCAGTGGCTCCTGAAGGCCTGCATGTCTACCACTCGGGAGGTCAGGGTCTCCCTGGGTCTCTGGGGGGGTCCGGCGGCAGGAACGCAGGCCCGCACAGGGGCACGGGGGCCGCAGCAGATTCCAAACACGGCCTGGCTGCGCCCCGTGGCTGCCTGGACATGAAGCACGGGAGCCGGTTCACGGGACGGGCGGGCTGGTCAGCAGCTGGTCAGGAGACCGGATTTGGGGGGCTGGTCTCTTCATTTTAAGTGACGTTGGGGTTTTAAGCGTCATGGGACGTCTTTGAGAAAAATGAACCTCAGGCTCCCCTCCACTCTGCAGACCCGTGAGGGGCAGGACAGCACAAAGCAGCCGCCCGGGCCTGCTGGCCGACGCTGAAGGTCAAGCGAGTCCAGCAGGGCCGCTTCCCACCAGAGCCAAGGGCACCGCCATGTGTGCTCAAGGCTTTAGGACACGGCCGTTGTGAGCGACGCGGGGTCAGGCGGGCGCAGGACAACCAGTGGAGAGTCAGGCCCTAACTGTTCTAGAACCGCAGGTGGAAGGAGCGGGAAGCACCGGGAGGAGAGCCACGTGGGGGTGGCTGCTGGGCTCCCTGGGGCGGGCGGGGCCCAGCACGGGCACTAGCGGGGCAAGGGCCACGGGGGGACCCACGCTCGGTGACTGCAGGCCCATCTTTCCTTCTCACGACAGCGGGAGGGGAGGGCTCCGCACACAGGGGAGGCACCCGGGGGGGTGCCGCAGGCCGGATGGCGCCTGGGGGGGGCTGGCGCCCGAGAGCCGCGCCCGCCCGCCGTCTCTCCCTGCTCGGTCCCGCTGTCCGGCGCGTCACGTGTGAGAGGCCCACAGGCACGGGGTCTGCAGGGAAGCCTTTACGGGGCGACTCCAAGCACCGAGGGGGGCGCTCTGCTCGCGCGACAGCGGAACGGGCTCGCCGACCCGGACCAGGGGCTCAGTTCCCTTCGAACAGACGGCTGCTCTCCTGGGGACGCCGGCCTGGGAGGCCCGGAGCCCGGCTGCTTCAAGCTGCAGGGACTTTGGTCTGCACTCGGGACGCAGGTGGAGCGTCAGCCCCGCACAGGGCGTGACAGGTGACGGCGGCAGGGCGTCGAGCTGAGGGACAGCTGGGGCGGGGCACAGGGTCGCCACGTCCAAAGACGGGTCTTAGGAGAAACGGTTCACAATCAGGAAACTTGCTCAGTCCCTCGTGGGGACACAGGAGACAGAGCGTGGGTCACGTCACCGCTTTGCGTACGTCCTGCCAGAGCTTTTGTTCAGTCCCTTTGGAGTAGGGATCTTGCTTCCGACCTTCGATACAGAGGTCCCTGATTTGGTCACGGCTGCGCTTTTACCTGCTGGACACAGAGACACGTAAGACACAGGCCCCGGGTCGGCAGGGGGCTAACACGTGAACAGAGCACAAAAGCACGTTGACGGCGGGGCGGCCGGGGTGGCAGGGGGGCGGCTAGGGGTGGTGTGGCCCTGGGGAGGAGCAGCACGGCGGCCACTCAGTCCGCAGGCGGCCAGGCCGAGCAGGGCACGTGTGTCCTCAACGGGCTCAGAGGAGAAACCTGGCCCGAGGGTCGGAAGGGAGAGAACTGAGCCATTCACCCCGGGCTGGTTCAGCCTCAGCTCAGAAATGAAGACAACGAGCAGCCCTGTGACTGGAGCTTCTTTTCCGGGCTGAGTCGCCCTGGGCAGCCCCCCCATCCCCTCGACCCCAGCGCCCACATCTCCTCAGTGAGGAAAGAGGCTGCAGGGAGGGGGCGCCGTGAGCCACGCTCAGCCCTCGGCCGGGCACCTGACGGAGCCACGTCTGTCACGCTCGTGTCTACCGCTCTCTCGCGGACCACATGCCCCTGAAGTAAAAATGTCCGTCCAACAGATTTTTGTCAGCAATAGTTTTCTAATGAAAAATATCGTGTTTTCTTGTAGGCATTCTAAACCCAGCATAAAATAAGCTAAAGTTATAATCCATCCAGCAGCAGTGGCATCATCTGTGAGCCTACTACCCAGCTCCCTGGTTTGTGGGAGAAGCAGGGCGTGACCCCGAGGGCGCCCGGGAGCCGGGTCTGCGGACTCGACGCGGCCGTCAGGCAAGAGTGCGGCGCTGACGAGGGCGAGTCTGCTCACACACCGGCCCGCTCGCCAGGAGCCAGAGGACGCGCACGAAGGCTGGAGGGAGGCGCCTCTGAGGGAGAGGCGCGGGGACCCCGCCACGCGGCACCCACGAGCGGGCCCCAGACCTCACCCGGCGGCACAGCTGGCGCCTTGTGCAGCACGTGCGTCTTGCGCAGGTTCATCGTGCAGCCGGCGGGGCCCATGAGGTGAGCCTTCCACGCCTGAAACCAGAGAGGACGTGCACGCTGGTCAGCCAGGCGGCCGAGGGGGGGCGGCGAGACGAGCCCGCTAGAGCTGAAACCAGCGGTGGCCGCAGCCCCGGCGTGTGGCACACACAGCCCTGGGTTCTCGTCCCCTCCGAGCGCAGCGGCCAGGAGGGCTGTCACGTAAGCGCGTGTGGACTCGGGGAGCGCAGGGGCGGGGCCGGCGGCGGCCCCTGGCTGCCGGGTCCTGGAGCGATGAGAGGGCTCTGGCAGAGCCGGGGGAGCGCAGAAGACCCGCCCCAGCCCCGCCCGCAGGTGAGCGCGCGGCCCTGCAGCCTGCGGATCCCGGGGCGGAGGGCCCGTTCCGTTGTGCCCACGGCCCCTGCCCCACAGCAACGGAGAGAACGAAAGGATGCTGAAGCCGCCACGTGTGGTGACTAGCTGCACGGCACGGACGACTGAGAGGCAGAGGCGTAGAAGAGGCCCGATGACGGCTTGGAGCCGAGAGCCGTCGGGCGCCGGGGCGACAGGGCTGAGGTCTGCACCGCGCGGGGCAGGAAGTGACAGCGGCCACATGGGGGACCGGGTGTCTGGTGACAGCGTTAGGGTCACGGTAGTAATCAGAACACGAACACAAAGCCTCCTGAGTTACACACGGAAACGGAGAGAATGCGTGCGCCCGGGGGTGGGGGGGGCTACTCACACGACCGTTAGAGCAGAGCCGGGTTGGGAAGGAGGGGGGAGCAGTGCGCCCCCGTCCACAGACGGCCCTGGGACGTGCGCGGTCACCAAGGGCGCACCACCCTCTAAGAAGCAACCGCGGGGAGATCTAAGGTTTAAGCCTCCAGAGCCAACCTGCAATCACAGGAACCGGCAAGAACGACCTCTAACGGCGCCGGGAGGGACGCGATCAGCAAATACAGCTTACGGGGAACCGGCCGGGCAGCGGCTTCTCCCGAGGCTCTGAGCACACGAAGGAGGCTGCTTAGAAACACGTCTGGGAGTCTCCGTGTGGGGCCTCACGTGGGGCCCAGACGCTCTGACGTGGCCGCAGCACAGCCCCCGCGGGGAGGCTGAGGAAGGCTCTTGAGAGCACTGTTTGCGGAGCTCTGTGCCAGGGCACTTACAGAGGGAGAGACAGGCTGTCTGCCTGCGCCTCAGCGTAGCCTGGGAGGGAGCCGCGGCTGGGTGCAGATGGAGTAGGGGTGTGGGTGGGCGACGGGGCGCAGGGGTACCCCCAGGCCCCTCCTCTTGGCTGCGGACTGTGTCAGGTGCCCGACATTTTCTGCGAGAGGGAGGATGTGCCTCGGACAAGTGGGTGGGTGCGGGGCCGTATGGTGTGGGCTCTCGGCGGTCGAGGGTGAGCATAGAGCACAGCGGGGTCTGAGCCGCCTCGTGGGCACATCCCAGACGGCTGGGGCAGCGAGAGCCCGCGGCGGGCACGTGGTGGACCGCAGGTGCAGCGGCCGAGCGGGCTGGAGAAGTGGCGGAGCCAGAGGCAGGTCCCCAAAACTGCCCTGCCCGGCACGTGGAGCGCATCGCCACTGTCATGTCAGCTGAGCCACCGACAGGAGCCTCAGACCCGCTCTGGTCAGGGCAGCGGGGCCCGGGGTGGGGGGGGGGTGCACTGTCACTGACACGGGGAAGGGAGCAGAGCTTGCAGTCGCCAGCGAGGTAGAATTTCCAAACTGCGTGGGGCTGTGGACTGCAGTAAGGAGAAGGGACCCGCGTGTCCGGACGCCATTCGGGGCCCCCGCACGCTGAGGGGCGCGGCGCCTGGACAGAGACGAGAGCCCCTCGGGCTCCCCCGCCCAGAGCCAAGGTCCCACAGAGGCCACGGCGCCAGAGAAGGAAGAAAGGACAGGAGCAGGCAGGTACCGGTAACTGTCAGCGGACCTCAGACAGACGCGGTGCTCCCCGAACGCCCGCGGCCCCGCCCCGCCCTCCTCGTCGCCCCGCTGGCTGCCCCTCACCTCCTCTCCGGGTGAGAAGTTCTCATGGCACAGAGGACACCGGTTGGCCAGCTTCTCCGGTTTGGCGGCTGAAACGGTATCAACAAAACAAGGCTCAGCGCCTCCTGAGAGACCCGTACGAGGAGCCGCAGACTCGTGAGCGGACCCCCTCCCACGGGGCCTCCCCAGGCCGGGCACGAGGGGCACAGAGGGCTCCGAGGGGCCGGGGCCGAGCGGCACGCACGATTACAGTCCTTTGTTTTTATGTGTCTGGGCAACTCTTCCTTTAAGACGGCCTCGCTGCAGCGGTAGCACCTGCGGAACCCGCCCTTCTTGTCGCACTCGGTCAGCAAGTGCTCCGTCAGGCTGGAGACCTCGACCACCTGCGGGAGGAAACGCGGGAGCAAGCAGGCTGCTGAGGCCTGGGGCCTCCCTCGGTCCTGACCCCCCGGCCCCACGGGGCTCCCTCGGGCGTCTCCAGACCGCTGAAGACCCGTGTCCCCCGCGTCCTCCTCCTGGAGGCGCCGTGGTAGCACACAGAGGCCACAGCCGAGGGCGTGGATGCAGGGGCGATGGCTAACCGCGGCGGGGCGCCCACAAAGCTGCAGAACAGCTTAGCTGTGCGGCCTCTGGGTGCAAATCCCGGCTCCCTGACGCTCCTAAGTGTGCAGAGATGGGGTCACTCTCGCCAGCCTGGCGTGGTCGGCAGGAGTGACCACACACCTGCTGGAGAATGCAGCCACCAACGCGGGGGTGGGGTGGGGGAGGGGCCTGCCCTGCCAGGCTGAGGGGGGTGGGCCCTGCCTACTCGGGGGCTTCTGTGTAGCCGGCATGAGCCCCAAGGTAGAGGCCAGAAGTCCGCTCTCCTCGTGTACGAAGAGGAAGGCTTTCCCGCACCAGAGAAGGAGTTCGACTCGGGGGGCAGGAGGTTCTTGAGCAGGACACGAACGCGCAGGCCCCAAGCGAGACCAACAAGGTGGGCGGCGCTGGGACCGCAGACAGGCCAGACCCTGGGGGCGCGGGCGGCTACGCGTCAGCTCGGCGGGACCCGCAGCGCAGCGGGGGACGGGGCTGAGGCGCTAGGAGGAAGTTTACAAGAGGGCGCTCGAGTGGCTGACAGACGACGGCAGGGGCTGCACCTCACCGCGGGCTCAAACCCCGGAGCTGCCCCCCACGCCCCGGAGCCCCCTCCGGAGCACGGCCTGCGTCAGCCCCGCAGCCCAGCCACCTGCCCTGGGGGTGCACCGGAAGACGGCTACGGGAACGTCTGTGGCAACATTATTCAAGGCAGCCTCAGAGCGGAGGCAAGATGGAGGCACGAACTGTGGACTGCTCAAACAGCACAGTATACAGCACGCGACACGAATTAGTTACGTTTTGTAGGATTCCACTGACAAACCCCAAGCAAGACGCCCTAACTTGCAGTGTCAGAAATCAGGACAGTGGTGACTCGGGCCGGGTGCTGGGGACGCGGCTGTTACTCTGTGGGGACTCCGCGGGCTCTCTCACTCATGGCTTTATGGACAGGCGCGCATCCTGTTAGGTGCTTCGCAGGTGCCGTGCTCCCTGCAGACGGAGGGGCTGCGGAGACCCTGCACTGACGGGGTCTGGCGGCACCGTTTTCCCGCCGGCACTGGCTCACTTTGTGCACCCGTTTTGGGAATTCTTGGAACACGTGAAACTTTCATCGGGGTGGGCATGGCGCTGACCTGTGATCAGTGAGCAGGACTTAGCGTGTTTAGTTTTACGCACTTCTGACGTACGCACGCTGTTTTCTAGCTGTGGCGCCATCATGCACCGAAGGGACCATGGCTCATGTGACCTCTGTGCGCCCCGGGAAGCCACAAAAGTCATGTGACTCGCTTGCTCGCGGCATCCGTGTTCCCGGGGCGGCCTGGACAGGACCCTGTCACTGACGGCTGCCTGTGACACGGCTCAGCTAAGTCAGCAGGGAAGAGTAGGAAGGCGGGTAAGAGCCATTCAGCTACTTTTCCCACAACTTTTCCACGGGGGCGCTAACCGTCGGGGGCTGAGTCGGGCTCCCGAGGGCGGGAGGGCGGCTGAGCAGCTGACCTGCCTGCAGCAGGTGCATCGGGTCAGCATGAGGCACTGCTTCCAGTAGTGCAGGTCGAGGCCCTCCTCCGTGAAGGACTCGCTCCGCTCCCCACAGAAGATGCATAAACTGAAACGAGACAGAGGCGGGAGGTGAGGCGCGGGGCCGAGACGTCCCGGCTGTCACCCCCGGAGGCTCCGTCGGGGGAGGGCCGCCAGCGCCGCAGGGAGAGTGGGTGCTCGAGAGCAGTTCGCTTCGGGCCCCTGCCCGCCCTCACCGGCCGGCACAGTCAGGCGGAAACGGTATCTGAGTCAGAAGAAAGGAGACAAAGACGTTTCACTGAAATTCCTAGCGCATCTGCTGTGGCGGCTGCGCACGGAGGCGCTTGGCACCTTTAACATCGCTTCTGACAACCTGGCGCCAGGCGGTGCTGGGGACGGCATGGGAAAGCGGCTCCCCCACACTTAACGCCCGTCAGTTTAAAGGGCAATTTTCCAACTGTTACGAATGACCGACGCGAGCCTAATCATTCTACAGGCTCACGGTGCGCTGGGGTGAAAATGTCTACCGAGTCACGTTCTATGTGGCTGGTCCCTTCCCTCTGAGGATGACCCCAACTCACTTATCCAGGTAGTGAGCGGCGGGAATTTCCGGGGCAGGACATGCCACTGCTTTCCCTTCTCGTGTGTCTGAAATGAAAAACAAAAAATGAAAAAAAGAAAAGGTTCTTATGTATTTTAATGTCTACTTGTTTTTGACAGAGACAGACAGACATACGCAGGGCAGGGGCAGAGAGAGAGGGAGACACAGGATCCGAAGCAGCTCCAGGCTCTGAGCTGTCAGCACAGAGCCCGACGCGGGGCTCGAACCCACGAACCGCGAGATCACAACCTGAGCCTAAGTTAGACGTTTAACTAACTGAGCCATCCAGGCCCCCTGAAAAGATTATTTTTTAAAATAACTTTTTGTAGAAATTATTTTCAAATTTTTAGTAACCAGTTTGGAATGAAATACACTTCAAAGCGCACGAGTTAACCAAGGCCGTACAACGTCACGCCCTCAGCACTGGCCGAGTACCTACCCTGACTGTCCTCCAGCGTGGGGCCCGCCGTCTCCTAGGACACAGGAGCAGAAAGGTCAGGGACAAACGGCTGCACACAGTCCGTCCAGGGTGTTTTGGCCCCAAAAGTAAATTCTTCTGTTTTCAGACTTTATTTTTTTAACATTTATTTATTTTTGAGAGACAGAGCTTGAGCAGGGGAGGGGCAGAGAGAAGGAGACACGGGAATCACATTGCCATATGCAGCCTTAGTTTCCTCCTTTGCCCCTGAAGGAGCTGGGAGCTCCGGAGAGGAAATCTGTCCCTGTAGACGCTGCGAGCGGCACATGCCGCTGCCTGGGAGGCGAGGGGGGCCCCTGAGCCTGACACAGACCACCTAGCGGGAGATCCCTTTATTTACCCCCAGACTCGATTTCCAAGTACTCTTGGCAACAGACATCCGCCTGCCTGAGGCCGCGAACAGTAAGGGAGCTGGCCGTGCGCCTGCCCGCTGGGGCTGAGGGTGGGGGCCGGGGACGCACACGGGGGTCGGGCCTACTGACCTTGCTTGGCTGCGCTCCGGCCTGGATTTCGGTGAGCGCCGCCAACTGCCCTTGTAAAACTTTAATTTCTTCTTTCTTTTGTTTCTCTGCTTCTTCTGTAGCCGCTTTTCTCTGTGCCTGATGTGAAAATTAGTTTTCTGTCAAAACAGCTTTTTAGGATAGTCTCAGAGACGGGGAGAGAACTACGGCACATGAATTACATCTCTTGTATGTTGTAAGGGTCACTAACACTATAACGAGGGTTCATTCAAAGTAAATTCGCCAGATTAGCCCAAAAATGTTTACTGGTAGATAAAATCACCACCGTGCTCTGGGCTTTCATCACCCCGGTTTGCAGACGGGGAAACTCAGGGTCTCACAGGCAGAAATTGCAGGAGCCTGGACCTGAACTCAGCGCGCCAGCTTCCTCTCCGTGAGGCTCCGCTGTTGCTTTATTCGGGGACCAAGTAGCTCCCTCAGCACAGAGTCAGGTCCCAGTTTCACACACGCTAACTTACCTTCACTTCGGCATCTGTAGGTCTGCCGTCTATTTTAGCAAATCCCTCAAAAATTGTTTTATAGAGAACGTTCTTGCGCGTGGTGTTGTCGTCTGGAGGGAGGTATTCTAGAACGAAAGCCCGGTGCTGTTTATACATGTCCAAAATTACTCTAACCGCTGTTTCTCGAACCTCATACACTCTGTGCTCCAGGGCACTCACTGAAAACTAAAAATAAAGTTGGGAGGGGTTCTTGTGGTTACTGATTCTTACAATAACAGAGCATTTTTCCACATAAAAGAAATATGGCACATTATAAAAATTTGAACGAGAGACCGCCGCCCGCAGAACCCCATCATGACACAGTGCTCCCCACGTGTCTGGCACAGTTATGTGTACATAACTTCGTGTTTTGCTTTTTCCCATTTAACCCGCTAACAGGCATTTTTTATGTTACAACCATCCATAAACTTCGTATTAAATATTACAAAATATTCCAACCACAAAGCAGAGCAAAGAAACGTGATACACTTCACGCATCTACCATCTAGTCACCAAAGCCGTGATTTTGTCGTGTCTGCGTCGGACCTTCGTCTTTCAGAAACAAGGCAGCGTGGTGACGGCGTGGGTCCCCTGTGGAAGCTTCTCGGCCCACCGTCCTCCCGCGCTCCTGGGAGGCGTGGCTCCCCTGCGGCTCCTGCAGCCCACGTGCACTAGTCCACCAGCGTGTCTGTGCGCGCGCACCACAATGTGCTTAACGTTCTACGTAGCATCCCGCGCTCTTCCTTCTGAAGCTTTATCTCTTCCGGCTCGACACTCCGCTGTCAGGGACACTCCTCTGCTTCGGCTGCGCCGCGGCCCTCCATCCTGAGGACCCACGGCGACACGTTCACCCCACTACAGAACGGCGTCGCCGAGACAGTGGACCAACGTCTCCCGGGGTGCTCTGGGCGCCGGGCTGCTCACTTCCCACACGTCAGCCTGGCCACAGGCTCTTCGGCTTTACCCCGAGCCCGGCCCCCGAGGCAGCTCGGCCCCAGGTCTCCTGGCCTTCCCCACCCTGACGGCCACGCTCCCTCCCCTGACAGCTCCTCAACCCCACCGGGGCTCCAGTCGGTCCCTGCACCCACTACCATCTCCCCATCCCCTCCCTCCAGCCTTCCCCACCCTGCACGTCCAGGCTGGACAGTGCGGTCCATCGCCAGGTCACTTCCAGCACTCACGCACACCCTCAGAGCCTGGGACCCCGTCTCCTCCTGCGTAGTCGCGGGCCGCGGGGACCGTGCCTGCAGACTGAGGGGCGTGCTGACTGGCCACCGCAGGCGTCAGGAGACCCCAGTGCACGGCACGCTGACCCGTGGCTTTCCAGTCACTTCACCTTCTCAGAGCTCAAGGGGGCATTTCATATTCCTTCTTGTCTCCTGAACCTCCGTTACTGCTCTAGCTGTGAGCAGACTTCCTCCGCGACGCAGATGCGTTCCCTACGCCAGGCACAGCCAGCCCGCTGCGTCTGCGCCAGAGCCTGCTCGGGACTTTGCTCCTGCGGTAACTGACCCCTCCTTCCCACTTCTGTTCCTTTCTCTTTCTCCTTTTCCCTCCATCAGGATCACTTCTTCCAGCATCCCGATGGAGCTGGATGTGGCGATGTGCTCGACGGGCCAGCTTCCTTCCTCAGTGCACACAGCCACGGCACCTTCCCAGGCCCCGTGTGCGCGGGACGGGCCATCTCGGTCACGGGGAGTGTGGCAGGGGTGGCCTGGCCCGTAAGGAGCCCCTCACCACCCTCCAGTTGTTTCTTCATTCGGTGGCCTCCGAGGTCGTGTGTGAAAGCTGGGTGTTGTCCAGGAGGAAGCGGCGGCCCTGAAGGCCTGCACAGGCTGGAGCGCTGTCTCTCCCCCAGAACTAGAAGCGCACGGGAGAGCCGGGGCGTTTCCCCCTCACGCTGCTGAGATGTTGGCACCCGCTGCTGCCACACAGCTTCCAGAACTGATGCTGGGGTTGGCATCGTGAAGTGGGCCCGGCTCCGGGCTCCGTGCTGGGGAATGAGGAGCATGAACTTGGGGACGATAAACGTGGTGGTCCCCGTGGGCGCCGCCGGGCTGCTGCCGCCAGAGGTGGTAGAGGCGGCCGGGCACAGTGTTCGAGGGCAACCACCGACTGCCTCTGGCAGTTTTAGAAGAAGAGACAGGGGCTCAGGGGCGACTGCTGACGGCTGACAGGCTGCAGGGCAAGGTGGAGCTCCCATGGGAGCCAGACACGTGGGGTCCACGGAGGAGGGAGACGGCACTGAAATCATAATGCAGATGCCCCTCCTGCGCGACAAGAGCAAGTATGGAGCGGCTGCCCGGGCTGCCCAGGCGCCGTTGTCTCCGCGTCTGGCCACCGTGCTGGCGGCGTGCACATGCTTCCGTGCAGCCCACGTGACGGCAGGGGGAGGGGCTCTGCTGGTTCTCTCCAGGGGCCGTCCAGGCGCACAGAATCCCTGCACTTCCGTAAGCCCGATGTTCTCGAGGACACGGCGTTCCCCTCTCTATGATCTGTGCACCGCTGGCCAAGATATGCACAGATCACTCACCAACTCGGGGCGCAGCGAACAGCGGGGAGATTTTCGGTGCGTGCATTTGTTAGATCAAGCAGTGACTGTTTTTGTGAAGTCATTCATTCATTCATTCACCAAACACTGACTGGACGCAGCACACTCCAGGCCCACCTCTGGTGCGGAGGCCACGGCAGCACGGGCCCGGTGCGCACTTACCTCCATCACGTTATCGATGGTGAAACCCGTGCTCCCGGTGCCCAGGTCCTTCAGGAGCCGGGCCAGGAGGTCCATCTGACTCACTGCCAGGTGAGCCGAAGAGTTGGCTTTTAATGGCTGGACCAAGTAATGGGGGATAATCTGCAGACACCTAACCTCCTTAAACAAGGCCATTTCCTGTAAAAACCAACATAACTTGTTAATTTTTACTGGAAAATGTTAGAGACAACTTAGTATAATTTAGCATGATCCTCAAAGTAAGCACTGAAGGAAAAAAATAGGGAATCAAAAATGGTAGTAATATCATTTACCGATAATAAGCTCACATTTCTATTTAAGGGGTACTGATGAAAACTAAAACCCTAAAGGAGCCTGGGGGGCTGTCGGTTCAGCGTCCGGCTCTTGATTTCAGCTCAGGTCACGAGCCCAGGGTCATGGGATTAAGCCCTGTGTCGGGCTCTGTGCTGAGCACGGAGCCTGCTTCAGATTCTGTCTCAGCCGCTCTCTCCCCACTCACACTCTCTCTCAGAAACAAAAAACCCTAAAGCATAAGAAATAAAGCCATGATCACCCGGAGATAAATGAAAGATTTATACAAAACATGTTCTAAACCTTAAGATTTCTCTTCTCAGGATTTCCCAACTTTAAGTAAAAGGCTTCCTAATTTCTAAAATTCTAAAAGAAACGGGTGCCATATTAGATTTAAGGAATGCCAACAGAGAGCACAGGGTGCAGGCCGCTGGCGGATGTGGCCCCCAGCGTGTGTGTCTGCCGGCAATTAACAAGTCTTCCTGTAATTAGCCTATTTATCACTTAGCGGCAGGAGGAAAGGTGATAAGATAGCGGAGCATGTGGGCTGCAACATAGAAAGAGATCTGTTTTCAGCAGTCTGCGGCCACGTGACCCCAGCCTCCCGTTTTGCCAGCAGTTCCCTTCATGTCTGGGCCCCGGAGGGACTCCGCACGCAAACAGGAGAGAGAAGAAAAGTGGGAGTGACCTAAGAGCCGTGTGGGCGGCGGACCCCTGCCCACGACACGTTCACGGCCGGCCCGCCATCCACTCTCATTTTCAACAGACCTTTTGGAGGCTGCCATCTCCCCTGAACCGAGTCACAAATAAAGGCAGTGTCTGTTGGACTGAGCGTCACTTTTACCTCATAGTGTAACTCCCTCCTCTTTCGTTCTCAACAACAAACTCGTGTTTGTTAAACAAAACGACAGAAGCGGTTCTTCATGCTACAAAAACGATCCTCTGAGAAACTACGACCGCTCTGGACTCCTTCCCGACAGAATATTCATGCGATTTGTAGACCTGCTGAAGCCCGAACGTGGGCCTCGGGGTGAGAGCTCCTGGGTATTTCCCACAATGCCTGGCCCAGGGGAGGCGCGTTTGTGGAAAGAACACAGCTACTTAGATCAAGGTCATGACACATCTATTACCTCCTTGCCCCCAACTTCCTATTCTGTTTTCGTTTCCCATCTATTTCTACCAGAAGTTACTAGCGTGTGTCAGGAGACCACCGACCGCACTTCCCAAGGCTTCCGTCTGCGGGAAAACTCAGCATTCGGAGCACAAGGAGCAGAAGGCAGGGAGTCACGGAGGAGAGTTGGTAACGCAGGCATCAGGGAGGGCCAACGGCTGTACCGACACGCCGTCACCTACCCTTCAAGTGTCAGGGTGGAGTCGTACCTGAATGAAATTGGAAGCCGTGACCCGCAGGCGAGCAGAGGAGTCTCCCGTCCTGGTGAGCAGAACGGGAAGCGTTCGCTCCACACAGTGGGCAGTTTCAAGCTTACTCAGTTTGTGTTTGGGAATATACTGCGTAATTATCATTTTCAACAACCTCAGAGAAGCCTGGAAGACCTAAAAGAAAAGTGAGAAGAGTGGAGCAGCGGCTGTGACACGCCCCGGGAACGGTGCTCCCCGGGAACGGCGCTCCCCGTGAACAGAGAACATGAACGTTATGTAGAAGACTGCGCGCAGACGGAGGGGCTGGAGAGGGCAAACTGCAAATTGCTTCCTCAACACGGCGCCTCGGTCAGGGAAGATGTGTGCTCGCACCTTGCGGGTCAGGAAGCACCCCGCTTTGCCCGGGCCCAGACGCCTGACCTTCCTGTCCGGCTGGGGAAGTGCAGAAGGCAGTGCAGCCGCGCGAGCTCACGCCCGCGGCCCCGGCAGGCTCAGTGGGTTCAGGAGCAGCCAAGTAAAAACAGGTGGTGACACATAAAAACACCAACCGAGTGGCAGGCACGGGGAAGTGGCCTCGGCGAGCGCTGGCTTTAAAGAGCGTGGCGGAGCTGATGTGGTCCGCGAGCTGGAGTGCGGCCAGGCGGAGGCAGGCGCCGCAGGCCCTTCCCTGAGCTTGCCTCGTGCTGGAGACCCAGATTCCCAGCGACGCGCGGCACCCCCTCCCGGGCTACCCCCAGCCCTGGGGCACCCCACTCGCAGAGCCGGGGCCGTCGAGGGGCGGAGGGGCCTCACCGGGGTCACGAGGTCTCTGATGGCTCTCCTGACGAGGAAGATGGATGCTCGCAGGACGCTCTTCAGCTCCTCCCTGGGGGTCCCGGCAGGCATCTGCGTCAGCTGCTTACACAGCGCGAGCAGCGCATCCTCCCGGCACGACCACGTCTTGGAATAGGCCCCGGCGACCTGCCACGACCGAGGCCTGCCTTACTTGGAGCAGACGCTTCAGGGACGGCCCCGCCACCCCAGGCCCTGCGACCCGAGCCTCTGTTTGTTTCGACGGAGAAAAATCTCTTGTAAGAACAGAATAAACATGTGCGCTTAAAGAAACAATTTCCCTAACGTGGAACCCAAAGGCCCTGATGAAATACCGACAGTGTCAAGTTCTACCAGGAGAAATACCGTGAGGCTGGGGGGCCTGGGGACCAGGGGGTTAGGGGACCAGGAGGCTGGGGGGTTAGGGGACCAGGGGGTTAGGGAGCCAGGGGGGCCAGGAGGCTGGGGGGCCTGGGGACCAGGGGGCCAGGGGACCAGGGGGTTAGGGAGCCAGGGGGGGCCAGGAGGCTGGGGGGCCTGGGGACCAGGGGGCCAGGGGACCAGGGGGTTAGGGAGCCAGGGGGGCCAGGAGGCTGGGGGGCCCGGGGACCAGGGGGGCCAGGAGGCTGGGGGGTCAGGGGCCAGGGGGCCAGGGGGTTAGAGGGCCAGGGGGGCCAGGAGGCTGGGGGGTCGGGGGACCAGGGGGTTAGGGGACCAGGGGGGCCAGGAGGCTGGGAGGTCAGGGGGACCAGGGGGGCTGGGGGGACACCCACTGGGCTCATTTCAGTAAGGAGACTCTGCCACCTTCTGTTTCGCTTGGCTGTCATCCCCCCCAGAATCAGCAGGTGTTCCGGAAGGGGCAGAGTTTCAACACCGGCTGGGGCAGTACTAGACAGAAACACCCAGTCTTCAACACTCATTGACAAAATCTTGATTCTAGCTTACTTTCTGCTGTTTCGTACAATTAACAACTTTCGGAAGACTTCGACTGAACCATGAGGACGACAGAGAGCCAAGGACGTCTCAGACGCGGAGCCCCGGGCACTTCCCCGCCCTCGTCCCTCCCCGTGACACGCACCCGCCCGCGTGTCCCCTTGTTACCAGGGCTTCTCCGAGCACGTCCACGGCAGGGCCGGCCTCTCTCAACGCCTTCTCTGTCAAGGGCTCCGGCTCCCCGGGAGCACCTCCTCCGGGAGGCTCGTTGCCATCCGAGTCACCCTTCTCTGGCTCCAGGGCTGCCGCAGGCTGCTTCCGGGCAGCAGGAAGGGGCCGCTCATCATAGGGCACGGCCTGTGGCTGCGGGAGAGGAAGGGCGGCTGTGGTGCTTCCGGGGCCTCCCCTACTGCCAACACCGGGTCTACACTGCAGGCTCCCTGCCCTGCACTTAACCTGGTCCAAATGACGGTATGTCGCTAAGTATCAGTTTCATCAGATTAGAATACTTTATGTGACAATTCAATACAAACACTAGACAGGGTCTTGATTCCTTTCTAAGCTCACTGTAGACCTAACAAGAAAGTGACACATGTTCTGCGTCAACTGCTATTTTCCGCTAGTAATTACAGTTCAACAGACATGCAGCTGACTAGGGTACAAGTCATGCTTTCTTGGCAAGCCTTGTTTTTTCTGCACTTTATGACATAGAAATAGTGATCATGCCTCACGGTAAACGTGTTCATCACCTGGCAAACTTCTACGAAAGACAGGCAGCCGGGCCCACGGCTGTGACAGCCTTCGGTTCTGCCTCCTGGCGCTCCAGGCGGGTGCCCGGCCTCACAGATGCCCCTGGGCTGCCAGCCCAAGCAGTGGGCCAGATGGACTCCCGCCTCCCAGGGCGTCCATCCCCATGCGGAGACAGACACACACGCAACAAGTTGTATGTGGCAGACTTTTGGGAAATTAAGTGAGAACAGAGATTCCGCACTCACTTCCTGAGGCAGGTGTCACTGCGACACCGACTGGACAGGGGACTCTTCACTCACACCTCACACCCGCTGAGACGTGAACTGGGGGTACACCGTGTGCGAGGCAGGTCCTCGTCTAAGATGGACTCCGCTGTAAAGCACGCTGATGCGCCAACAAGGGGACGTTAGAGCATCATGCACTGAAGCATAGGTATGACTTAAAGTGGTGATAAAGTTACAGACAAGATGCTCCTGGGGAGGGGTGACAGGGACCCTCAAAGTCCTGCATGGGGAGGCAAGCCACACGAGTGCTGTCCTCTCGAGCTTTCCTGGGCCTCGGGCTGCAGCAGACACTCCCTGCCTCCCCTTCCGGAGGCCACCGGCCACACCACCCAGCGCACTGGCAGGAGCCCTGGCGAGGCCCCCTCTCATCCGCTTCTGGGCTAGGACGTGACAGATATGTTCAGGTGCATACTCTCCCCTTGGATGGGGTGCTGGGCGCACCTGAAGCCACATGACGGCTCCAGCCACAGGGCACCTGGGACCCACAGGAAGCAGGGTTGAGACAGGAAGGCAGTGGACATTGAGGACCCTGCCGAGCTGCTGAATCAAACCAACCCCAAATCCACACGACCCCTCAAGCCCCTCATTATGGAAGCCAGCAGGCCCCCAGGCTGAGCCGGGTTTTCTGGTACCTATGACACAGAAGCTTTTGGAAGTACAGTAACCTTGCACTTGTGACAAGCACATGACTCGTACTGTGGTTCTACTGAAAGCAGCTGAAGTTAGGTCTGTGCAAACACCATCTCATTCATTCCTGGAAGCAATCCTGCCAGCCGCTGCTTGCGCCTCCTCACAGGTGAAGCAGAGGCTGAGGAGGCTGCGTGTCCCAGGCCCCGGCAGGTGGGAGGCCTGGCCAGTCCGAGTGCAGACAGGGCCTCCCCAGGAGGGGTGATGGCCTGCTGGCTGCTTAGGCTTCGGACTGAGTGACGGGCTTGGGGGGGGGGCGCTGTGCGCTGATCCCCATATCCCGATCCCCATGCTGGGGGAGCCCCAGCACCACGCGGGTCCTTATGACGTGTCAGGTGAGCGTGCTGCACACAGCGTGAAGCCGAGTTACCTACGTGGGTCCTGAGGTGAGGGTTCGCGGCGGGTGGTGGCTGGTCCACTGCAGCGGGCTGGGGGCCCAGGGGTTGTGCCGGAGGCTTTTCCTGGAGGAAGGGCTCTGCCCGCCGGCTTTCCGGCGCTCTGTCCTCTTGCGGTTCAGGGAGCACTGGCTGCTGGTGGCGGGGACTGCCGGAGCGCGCCAGGGGCTGCAGGGGCGGGGCGGGAGGCCTTCGCATCTGGGGAGAAACGGGACCCTTCATTCCCAGGGCTGCTGCCACACCATTCTTGTGGGGGGGAGGGCGCGACAGTTGAGGAAGGCAGAGCGACCGTCTGCCCGGACGGTGGCCCCCAGTCTGTCACACCCCTTACCCGTCTCTCGATGGCTGTGCACCACGGAAGTGGTGGCACGCCGGAGCACCAGTGTGCCTGGGGGGACAGTGGCCGGGTCACTCCAGTGCGGAAGGGCGCATGCACACCGGCCAGGGAAGAGAGGTGCGTGCGGCAGGAAGCACCTGGTGAGACCCGAACCCGGCGCTGGCGTGTGCTCTGCAGCTGCGAAAGCTCATCTGTGTCACCACGACATCAGCACGCGCCTGGCACGGAGGGAAGTGTGCCGGACAACCTCCTCTAATGTGCGCCACTTAAACAGGATCAAGAAACTGAGGCCCAGGGTGGCCAAGGAATTGCCCTGAAATCACACTGCCAGCAACGGGGCCGGATCCGAGCCCCGCTCGGCCGTGGCAGGGTCTGCACTCTGACCCACGGCTCCACCGTGAGGCTCGGGACCTCAGTTTCCTTCCCGGTACTATGGGATGAGCACCACCCGCCCACAGGGGCTCTAAAGATCCATGGCACCGCGTCTCCCAGGAAACAGGCTGGACAAGCCAAGGCTGTCAGGACTGTGCACGCTCGACACTCCCGGGCCACAAGACAACATGGGGAGGGCTGTCATCGGTTCATTATACAAACCAGGAAACCGAGCCGGGGAGACGCAGCGAGATGTTGGGCCTGCGCATTCCCACCGCCTCTACCCCGAGTCTTCCCGTGCGTCCAGCACCTCCCACCTCCCACCTCCCACCATAGGCTGCAGGAGCTCAAGTCACCTATCTTGTTTTGATTTTTTAATTAAAAAAGTTTTTTTTTTTTTTTTAAATTTTAGAAAAGAGCAGGTGCGCGCACATGCACAAGCCGGGGAGGGAGGCAAAGGGAGCGAGGGAATCCCCAGCAGGCGCAGCGACTGGCACGGAGCCGACACGGAGGGCCGGCGGCGTCTCATGAGCGCACCCTGCCGGTGAGCGGACCCCAGGGCGGGGCTGCCCCGCGCACCCACCAGCTCGGCGTCCACCAGGCTGTGCAGCCGCAGCTGCTCGTACACCTGGCCGCGGAAGCGCTCCATCTGCTGCTTCTTCTCCTTGGCGCGGTCGTAGTCCTCCTTCTCCACCGCGCAGCGCTTCTCCACCTCGTAGCGCCCCAGGCGCTCGCCCACCTGAAGCACACGGGGTCCCCCTGAGTCACGCGGGCCTGCAGCCGGCTTGGGGGCAAGGCTCAGGTGACGGGGCACCGCTCGCAGGGGGCAGCGGCCACGCGGGCCTCGGGGTGGGGGCGCTGCTTGTCCCTGCGCCAGCGTCTTAAGAACCTCTGAGGCTCCCTAGCACTTCAGGACGGCCCGTGGCCTCCAGGACCAGGTCTGGAGAGTCCCCCGTGCCTTCACTTTCGCTTTATCTAGGGGCTGGAATGTCCCTAACTTCATTTTGCTTATGTATTTGGACCCACCCTAACGTCCGCGGGCCTCTGTGGTGCCTCGTCGGGGTCACGGAGGGCCCTCTCACAGAACGGAGGGGACCGCTCTCTCCAGGAGCAGTACCTTTTGCAAATCAGCAATAGCTTGTTTTAGCTTCTTGGCATAGTCGTAACGTTCCTTTTGGACAGCTTCGCGTTTTCTTTCATCTAGTTTGCGTATAATCTGGGCAACTTCGGGATCTTGGTACATATCGAAAGCTAAGTCATCTAGTGGAGAAATATAGTCGGATTTCCTGAAGGAAAGAAACAGGTATTTCAGAGCGGACTTGGCAGTGGCAGAGGGAGCCCTGTGGGCCCAGGGCCGGAGGCACATGCACACACGCGGGCTCCCACCACATCTGCTCCTGGAGCGTTCCTGCCTCAGACAGCGGAGGCTCAGAAAACCTGAACGGGCTTCAGGTCACCCAGCTCTCAGCGTGAGCAAGCATTTCTGACTCCACAGCTTATGCTCTTGACCATTAATTAGACTGTACTTTTGGGGCATCTGAGCCCTTACTGTAGTCATTCTTCAACAGATATTTCTAGTGCAGACTCTGTGTCCAGCTCTGTTCCGGGGACTGCGGACATGAATGCATGTGAATCATCTGAAGAATGGGGAAAACCTGTACCACAACAAACAGACTGCCAGTCCCCATCCTTAAGGTGTCTGACCTGGTGGGGCCAGGAGTCCAGGCTGACAGCTCAGAGCCTGGAGCCTGCTTCAGATTCTGTGTCTCCCTCTCTCTCTGACCCTCCCCTGCTCACATTCTGTCTCTCTCTCCTTCAAAAGTAAATAAACATTAAAAAAAAAATTTATATATAAGTACATTTTGATGAAAATATTATTTGTCATAAAAACCTGGTTGTCTGATAGCCTCAAATAGGTCACAGGACAACACTGTCGTTCACAGCCCCCTAGCCCTTCCCCACGCCCTGGAATTCAGCACACCACCAGACCTGGTGGGCGGGGTCAGCTTTAGCAGCTTAGAACAATGTCCGTTAATCTCAATGATGTGCAGGGAGAGAGGACAGCCAGGGGCACCTGGGTGGCTCAGTCAGTTAAGCACCCAACTTTGCCTCATGTCTTGGTCTTATGGTTCATGAATTCAAGCCCTGTGTTGGGTGAACTTAAGCCCCACTTTGAGCTCTGCACAGTACGGAGCCTCTATGGGACACTCTCTCTCTCTTTCTCTCTCTGCTCCTTGCTCACTCTTAACCTCCCTCTCAAAAAAAAAAAAGTCAGTGACGACCAGGCAGTAACATGCTTTGCTACTAGTACAAAATTAACTACTTCCACCTAAACGTATTATATACTCTTCAAAGTTGCTTTGCCCCGAAGTCCTAGAGATGAAAGCAAAGACTTCATCTCACTATGAAAATGCCACAAAGAGAAGCGTGGCACCTGTCCTTTGGGTCTGTGGTCACAATTCCAGGGCGCTGGGCAGCTTCAGGAGCACAGGTCTCCCCATGGCCCACAGCGTCCCTGGTGGTGACCTGGCCACCTTCACATCTGGCGCCGCCGCTCGGCACAGCACACAAGCTTCCCACGGACCCCTCTGCACCTTCAGCAAAGCCCTGAGGGTGAGTCAGGATGGGCACACTGCAGTCTGCCGCTCCAGCTGGCTAACTTGATAAAGAACTGATGTAACAGAGTCCACATAACCCGAAGAACTTCTGTGGGAGACACTAATGCCCCTGGGTGGGTATGGCTGCCCCTGTTCTACACCTGGCGCTTCACTGAGGGCAGAGCCGCGGAGCTGTCCGGGGGGGGGGGGAGCTGACAGACGCGGAGGGGTCGCTGTGTCCGTCCTCACCGAGAATGGTAAGGAGGGCCCCGTTGTCACTCTGTGGGCGCAGGGAGCGTCTGCAGGAGGCCGAGCGGCCTGTGGAGGTGAGGGGTGACTCTCCTCACTAATTTTATACACATGAAGGGACAGTGTCCCTACTCACACCCACCCTGTGACAGCCAGGCGGCGGGCCCGGGAGGCTCCGCAGGAGGCAAGCCAGTCCAGGCTGCCAGCACAGAGTAACTCGTTCCCAAGCCAGACTCCTCTGCCTGTGTACATACGGACAGATTCCCTCTGTGGCTCAGGAGGCATTTGTGAGCCAAGCACACACACTGGTGGACGGTGAGCCTCGCTCCCAGGGGAGCCTCCCCTGGGCCTGCAGCTTGGCCGTCACGGGGTGCGTGTGAGTGGGGAGTGTTTAAACCAGACGTAAGATGAAGGCTGCAGAACTGATAATCCGGATCAACTAATTCCTTTAATTCTTACCTAGGAAGTTGCCTGTGCCAACAAAATATCAAAGGGTGGCTGACAGCTCTTTTACCTGCTTGCATTTTAGGAGCTTTCCAGTAATACCTGAGCACACGAGGAAGGAGGGTGTCTAGAAAGGGCAGTAAATGAAGGTGTGCTAGGAAAACAGTGACCTAAGTCTGTAAGTCAATCCCATCAGGGGTCTAGCTCAGAACTGAACCGGAGAGAATCCTCTGGAGGTGACTCACGCTTTGGTGATTCTGTGGAGCGTCGTAAGAGTTGGTGGCCTTGGGAGGAGGGACTCTTACCCCGTACAAGTTCCTTCCAGGGCTGGGTCCTCGGTGTTGTGACCCAGATAATGATCAATCAGCTTCTCTCTGGAGGTCTTTGGGAGCAAAACATTCTGCTTAGCGCCTCAGAGGAAAACAGGAACAACATGAAACCTTAACTAAGAGGTGACGTGATAGGAAGGTGTCAGTGGGCTTCAAGGGCCCTAGTCTTTTGGAAGGACAGTTCAAATTCTTGAGTAAGAGGAACTGCAACTGCTAAAAATCATCTGCTACTTATTCAACAATTTTATAGAGATTTTCAAGAGGGCACTTTCTGTGGCAAAAGTGATCAATCCCCTCTTGCTAGACATACATTTTCTTCTCCAGGAATGAAACTTCCCAAACTTACAATATTGCTTTCATCACCAAACTCTGCAGGGTCTCCAATGATGTTTACTGCAACCAAAGCAACCTAAGGGAGAGTTAACCAACAGAAATTAAGTATCCGATGCTTGCAACGCCCCCCCCCCATCACAAGCTGCCCACTCACACGTCATTAAGTAGGATGATGGACACCGAAACACCTTAACTATAAAATGTCAAGCTACCATATAGAAGCATCATGAATCGTTTCTACAAATTACGTAAGTTAATATTCTAACGCCAAATTGAGTGGCTATTTTTTTTTTAATGTTTTATTTATTTCTGAGAGAGAGAGAGAGACAGCATGAGCAGGGGAGGGTCAGAGAGAGAGGAAGACCCAGTATCTGAAACAGTCTTCAGGCTCTGAGCTGTCAGCACAGAGCCTGACGCGGGGTTCGAACTCACGAACTGTGAGATCATGAACTGAGCCCGTCAGAGGCTCAACTGACTGAGCCACCCAGGCGCCCCCATGTGGCTGTTTTAAGGTCTAAAGTATATTAAAACAATAAAGGCTAAAAAACCTCCACAGTTTTAATGTAGCCTCGTGTTGAACTGTCCGCTCAGTCAAGTACGGGGGCCCATCTATACGATCTTGGTAAACTAGACAATGAACTGAAAGTCTACATTAACATAGCTCAGTTTGTCTAGGGCAGTGCTTCCCTGAGGGGAGGAGTCCCCTTCCCACATCTGCTGAGAATCACTAGCAGAATGAAGTGAGCTGGTTCATGCACACAAGACAGGGTGGAGGAAGTAATCAATCTTCTAGTTTATGGTCAAGCACAGCTGCAATGGACCAAGTAATGTCTCAGAGCTCGCCTCCCAGTCACTGGCTGAATATAAAACTTTGATTTGGTGGAACATTTCCATTCCTCTTGGAGGGGGCAGGGAGTATTGAAAGTATCTGCACTAATTAAGAGTCTGCCGTGGACAAAACTGATTTCTACTACGTTAATCAGGCCAAAAAACAAAACGAAACTAAAGCAGAGAAAAGAAAAAGAAAAAGAAAGATGGGAAGGGAGAGAGGAAGATGAGAATGAGTATCTACTTGGAGCTTGACTACATGCAACATTTAATCACACCCCCAATTTCTACCAGGGGATTTATCTTGCAAAATCTACTGGGTTTATCTAGAAGAGTGTCATCTAACAGAAACAGTGCAAGTCACATAGGTAATTTTAAATTTTCTTTTCTTTTTTTTTTGAGTTTATTTATTTATTTTGTGTGAGAGAGAGAAAGCACACAAGGGCGAGGCAGAGAGAGAGAATCCCAAGCAGGCTCTTCACTGTAAGTGTGGAGTCCCACACAGGGCTCAATCACACAAACCGTGAGATCATGACCTGAGCCAAAACCAAGAGTCAGATGCTTAACTGACTGAGCCCCCCAGGAGCCCCAGGTTTTCTAATGGACACAGTAAAAAAAATGTAAACAGAAGCTGATGACGTTTTCTTAGCATAGCCATAACACTAAACTTAGCCTAACCATAACAGTATCATTTCACTGCGAAACTGATTCTTTTCCTCACGTGAAGCCTCTGAACTCGAGTGTCCAGTTAACCCATGTGGCCACTTGCACTTGGGCGGCCGGGCCCCAGGGTGTACCATCTGCGGGTAGCAGTGTCCTGATGGGATGGCGTGGCTCTGAAGGATTTACCACCCTTCCACAGAAGTTTCCATCTTAAAGAAAGACTTGAAAGCCTTTGCGAAAGGGTGCGGGCCCACACCACATGGCCAGGAGGCTGGGGGGGCGGGGGGGCGGTCAGGGGGCGGGTCCGCATCTCACCTGATTATATATGTTGTATTTGTTGATGTGGTTTTCGTGAAAAGTCAGCTTGAGAAACTGTCCCACCGCATCCACGTAGACGGACTTCAGCTCCCGGGCTCTGCAGCCTGTCTTCTCGTTGTCACAGAGAGAGACGTAGCTGAAAGAGAGTCACGCCAGAGTCACACTGACAGGGACCGTCCTGACCACTGAACTCCACAGGGTTAGAGAAACGCTAAGTCTAGAGTGGACATGCTAGGAAAAACCCCAAAACTGTACTCTAACCAGTCTTCTCACACCAGGTTCCAGATCTGAAGGCGAAACGAGCACCACGGACGAAGTGACAGCCCTGCTTACGGAGCGCATTGTACGTGGGGCCACTGCTCAGACACGGGGAACCCCAGCACCAAACGCACGCCTGTGACACGGGACCGGCCGCAGGGGGTGATCATCAGTCTGCATCGCGCTGAGGCAGGGAGTCAGGTTCACGGTCCGCCCCCCCCAACCCCCCAAACCTTCCACGGTGTCCTCACCCGAGCCTTCGAAAGCGCTCCGCCTGATAGGGCGCCAAGTACTCGGGCAGGCTCTCGCTGACGTAGAACTCCACTTTGCTGGGGATCATGTACTGGTGGGCGAGCAGCTGCAGCTTCCGTACCCGGCACCTCTCCACCATCTGAAGGACGATCTCTTGTGGAAACTGACAGAATCTGAAAGCAAACGGTCGTCTTTCCCACACGGTTATGGCAGCGGTTTCCAGCCACCTGCGTGGCGCTCCCCACGCGGCCAGGCAGACCGGGTGCTGACGTGAGGGCCCCACGCAGCGCCGCTGCCCCCTCGAGCCTCCAGCTTCACCAGGTGGGGCTGAAGCTCTAGTTCCCACCCGAACTGCCTGAGTCAGACTCTTTGCAGCTAGAAAACGGTCCAAAATGAAGCCTGAAGTTTACCACGGGATCAATACTTCAGTCTAAGAAGCCGTGCTGGCGGGCAGGACACAGGCCAAAGGCTTTTCCACTGGAGCCGAGACACTCTGGGAAAACCACCTGCTTCGCAAATCCTGAGTGAAGAACACTCTGCAGGAATCAACACTGAAACAGCGCTGCGCCTGCCGGTGGTCCACGGGAGACGCCGACGACTCACCACTGCGGAGCCTGTCATTTTGCTCAGTGAGCGCCACAGAGCATTAGAAACCTACGGGGAGCGAGTCCGAGAACCAGTGTCGCACAGACCTCGCGCTGCGGGACCCGATACCGATGAGCAACAGAGCACAGCGTTCAGGCAGTAGGTGCCACAGCCGCTGAGCTGGCCCGCCCTGGACCACCACAGCAGTGGGGCATCGGGGCCCTGGGAGGGGCGCATCCACGGATGGAAGGACTCGGCGGCCTCTGGGTGTGCTCCCCAATCCTGACCCCTGGCCGTGCTCCCGGCCCCTCTCCACCACCTCTCCCAGCAGCCTCCATCTCCACTGAGAAGATGGGAGCCTCAGATGGGGCTGTCCGCACCGCTCCCTGAATGGGGTGGCGCTCCCCGAATGGGGTGGCGTCCTGCTGGTGCCCCGCCCCCCACTCAGCCCCCTGAACTGCGCTAGAGCAGTTCTCCCAGTATCTCCCAGCAGCACACACTCTAGAAGCCCCCATCATCAGGAAGCCCTCCTGTGACCAGGCATCCCTCTCAGCTCCCGCGCCAGTGCCTGGCTGCCAACGTCCACAGGAGCCGTCTGTGGCCACCAGCCCGGCTGTGTCCCGCACGCCCTGCCCAGCCCTCCAGGGCCTGGCCCACACTCCCACAGCTGACTCACCAAGGCCGCCTGCGGCGCGGCCCCTGGCGACCTCCTACCTTAGGGCGCCCTCCCCTGGGCTGGGCTCCAGGCTCCTTGCTCCGGGCGCTCACCATGGGGGCCTATCTGACCAGTCAGAGACCTCCTGCTTGTTGAGGAGCCCCAACTCTGCGTCCCCCAGCCCAAGCCTACGACCCGGCTGTGACCTGGTGTCCACCTGACACCTGACAGGCGTCATTAGATGTGACAGACAAAAGCTCCTGACCCCCTGCCGCCTCCCCATCCCACGCAGCCAGTCTCCTAGGCCCCCTGCTTTGCCAGCTGGGGCCGCCCTCCTCCCCCCACTGCTGCACAGAGTGCCCGCCTCGCAGCAGCGCGACAGAAAAGAGGAAGGAAGACCACACCAGGCCAAGCGCAGGAGAGTCTGCTCGGCCTCTACTCCAGTCTGAGGGATGGGCAGGGGTGGTGGGGGCGGGTGAGCACAGACAGGATGGACTCTGGCCCCGCAGGCACAGTCCCCAGGGATCTGCCAGCACCGAGCTTGCCAAGATGGAAAGCTCGTGAGAGACGGGTGCATCTGGGGCAGGAGGGCCGCTAGCAAACCGAGCAGCTTGCGACTCGAGCCTCCTCAGCCCTTCACGGCGCGGCTTTCAACACTGGACACAGCTACAGTTTTCAACCGTAAGCACGTATATAACAGCCAGCGGAGAGGTCATTCGGGACATAAGGACACTCTGAAAAATCCTATATTAGAAAGAAAAAAAAAATCCTCCAAAATTATTTAAAGAAAAATGAGAAACCGAACAAAAATGAGAAGTTCTACACTTTTTAAAATCCTTCAAAAACCGGGCCCATGACCCAGTTATTCAAATGTAGCTTCTGTTTCGTGCATGCATCAAAGCTGCCCCTGAAGGACGCTGAAGAGGTGACCAACCTGACTGAAGGGCGAGATGAGAAGCGTCACCACTGGGGGGGGGGGGCGCACGGGGGAGCCAGCCCTGCAGGCAGGAGGCCTGTCGGGCGCTTGGGCTCTGGGACAGCTATGTTCCACCTGTAGTAGACACTGACGCTCTCTGGGGAAAAGGCTTAGTTTCAGAAAAACACTAACTCGTACTCTGTCACTCAGGCACTGGATGGTTTAAAAGGTGTACGAATGTTCGAGACGATCGTTTGCAAGGGACGTTCTTGGTTGAAGTTGGGGGCTAACAAAGCCCTAACCACAGGCACTCAGCGGTGACAGCAGGGGACCTGCAGACACACAGCTCGGCACAGGGCACCGGGCGCGGAGAGGGCGCGAGGCCCGCGGACAGTCAGGTGAGACAGTTACAGCCACGGCGGTCAGGTTGCCCTCTCCCCCCACCTGTACGTTTCTGAAGCCAACGGCACTGAATGCTTTGAGGGGAAAAGGTCCAATAGATTTTCTTTACAAACAGAAAGAGGAGACTGTCCACCATGTCACCACGCGGACGGCCCCGCGGCATGGACTTGGCCGTGTGGTTCTGAGGCCCAGGTTGGAATAGAGCAGAAGCGCAGCAGGAAGGGAGCCCGCCGCCCACCCGTGGTCCCCGGCCCGGCCCACCTGGGTGACCTCCACCCGCTGACGGTGGGTGCGTGGACCATGAGTTCCCGGGCACTGAAGCCGTTCTCGTGTCCAGAGGAGCTGACGACGACGAAGCCAATCTTGTGCGGCATCCTGGGCGCCGGGCTGCTTGTAAGGGCGGAAAGACTTCTTTAAGAGACAGGACTTGGCGCCATTTCAGAACATGGGAAGAGTCTGTTCGTGCCTTGCTAACAGGCAGCATAATTCACAGCACAGGCAGGGTCTTCCCGTCACTTAGAAAGACTCTAGTGTTTTGTTAAGCGTTTTTCATATGACTCTCTAATTCTACTTAAGGTATCATCTACCTTTACTTTTTCTAAATATATGTTCTCAAAACGTGATCGTGTTGTGGGCTAAACTGTGTCCCCCCCCAAAGACACGTTGAGGTCCTAATTCCCGTGCCTGCGAGTATGACTTTTCTTGGGAATAGGGTCTCTGCAGATGTAACGAGGTTCAGATGCGGCCGTGCTGGAGCAGGGCGGCCCCGACACGGCAGCAGCGGCGTCCCTCCGGGACAGAAGCTGGGACAGGCAGGGGTGGCCCTTCCCTGGAGCCTTCGGAAGGAGCGCGGCCCCGCCGGCAGCTGGATTCCGAGCCCCTAGCCACCAGAGTCTTGTTGTTCTAAGCCATCTGATTTGTGGCACTTTGTTATGGCAAAAACACAGAGTTTTGCTAAGATACAAATACCAAGTTTTTCTATCTGAGTTAAGAAAGTGGGGGCGCCTGGGGGGCTCAGTCGGTTAAGCGCCTGACTTTGGCTCAGGTCATGATCTCACAGTTTGTGGGTTTGAGCCCCGTGTCAGGCTCTGTGTTGATGGCTCAGAGCCTGGAGCTGCTTCGGAGTCTGTGTCTCCCTCTCTCTCTGCCCCTCCCCTGCTCATGCTCTGTTTCTTTCTGTCTCAATGATAAATAAACATAAAAGAATTAAAAAACAGAGGGAAAGCGATATAACCAGTGTGTTATACAAAAGTAGCAGCATGGTGACTGCGGAGAGCGGGTACACAGCCGCAGAAGGGAGGGCAGGGCTCCAGGGAGACGGGCCGGATGCAGAAATGGCACCCGGGGGCTGCCCGAGTGACTGACTCATAGCAGATATTTAAATATTGGTGGGATGAATGTTTTATGCCACTTTGTGGCGAACTGCTCACAGCTGAATATCATCTTGAGGGTGGACGTTGCGACGTCTGGTTTTGCCTGCCCAGCAGCCCTCCTGTCCCCTGTGAAAGCAGCACCTGGCTGCAGTTTCCCCCACTCGCCCCATCCCTCCCCTGCAGCTAGCTCAGAGATGGGAACAGGAGAACAGGACCCAACCTGGACCAGGGAGGCTCTACCCCAGAACTCTGGGAATGATAAGGCTTCTTCTTGCTGGGGCTATGGCCGCAGAATATTTCTGGGGGGGCTACTGGAGGCCTCTGGTGGGGAGGTCCTGCCAGGGAGTGGGCGGACTTGGGGCAACAGCCACCTTGGGAACCCTGAGGTTCAACCACATTTAAAGCCCAAACTACTCACAAACTTCCAGTTATTTTCGAATCACTGAGCCAATCAAATTCCTCTCCAGTAAGCCAATCTGAACTACGTTTAATTATCTGCAACAAGAAGTACTCACTAAAGAGTCTTCCCTAAAATAGAAAATAAAGAATTCTCCAGAAAGTTCTCTGGGATAGAACATACTGTCAGTTGAAATTCTGAATGGGAGGTAACATATAGACACATAAATAATTAATATGTGCTGGATGCATGATCTAGATCTTTCTTTTACTTTCATTCCGAACCTGAAAAGGCCCACATACATAAGCTACTGGCTGGTACTTGCTAACATTTCCTGGGCTGTGGGAACAGAAGATTCCAAATAGAAAAATAACCCAGCACTGGGGAGCCTGTTTCTGATGCAAGCTCGCTGCAGGTGTCACAGCACCGGAGGAGGGCTGAGGGCAAGTCACCCAGAAGGCAACACAGGACAGTGATTATATGTGGGGCGTGCCTGAGGGGCGTGCCTGAAGGGAGCCCCACCTCCAGCCCCACCAGGGATGGGATTTGTCTTCCACACCCGCAGCTCTGCCCTGCCCTGCACTGGGCTCTCAGCCTGCACCCATACCCCACTCCACCCCTGCACTGGGGCTCTTAGCCTGCACCCATGCCTCAATCCTCCCCTGCGCTGGGGCTCTCAGCCTGCACCTGTGCCCCACCCCTCCCCTGAGCTGGGGCTCTCAGCCTGCACCCGTGCCCCACTCCACCCCTGTGCCGGGGCTCTCAGCCTGCACCCATGCCCCACTCCACCCCTGCGCTGGGGCTCTCAGCCTGCACCCGTGCCCCACTCCACCCCTGCGCTGGGGCTCTCAGCCTGCACCCGTGCCCCACTCCACCCCTGCGCAGGGGCTCTCAGCCTGCACCCATGCCCCACACCACCCCTGCGCTGGGGCTCTCAGCCTGCACCCGTGCCCCACCCCTCCCCTGCACTGGGCTCTCAGCCTGTACCCATGCCCCACCTCACCCCTGCGCTGGGGCTCTCAGCCTGCACCCGTGCCCCACTCCACCCCTGCGCTGGGGCTCTCAGCCTGCACCCGTGCCCCATCTTGCCTTCAGATGGCTGAGTATGACTGACTCCCCTCTTCTCCTTCCCACAGCCTTTTCTAGAGGAGAACTGTGGCCCGTGGCCAGGAGCACTCCTCTCTCCCCCAACTATCCTGTGCTCCTCCTCACACCCAGCTGGGGTCCTCAGTAACTGTGTCTTCACTCAAGAGTTCCCGATGTACTCCCTATCCTGGCCTGAAAGGTCACCTGTGTCCTGACCCAGTCTGCTGTCTGAATCCCCACTTCTTGTCATGAATTCTGAAGTCCAGTTAAACGGAACTAAAGCTCTGTTTTCTCTGCTCTGAATTCCTCAAATCCCTCTAACATCTTTTTTAAAAAAACTTTTTTATGTTTATTTTTGACAGAGAGACAGAGACTGTGCGCGTGCAGGTGTGAGTTGGCGGGGGGGGGGAGGGAGGGGGAGAGAGGGAGAGAGGGGGGGAGAGAGAGAGAGAGAAACAGAGGATCCGAAGCAGGCTTCTCGCTGTCAGCACAGAGCCCGACACGGGGCTTAACCCACAAGCCATGAGATCATGACCTGAACCAAAGTCAAACACTTAACTGCCTGAGCCCTCCAGGCGCCCCTAAATCCCTCAATCATCTTTAAGGGCAGGGCCCGCTACTTCCTGTTCCACTGCGGAATTAGTAGGTATCTCCGAAGTATCTTCAACTGAATGTGATTACGTGGACACCACCCTTCAAGCACTGTGCCAAGGACTGTTGTCAGCCCTAGACACACTTACACCTTCCTGACACTCTGACACAGGTTTGTGGTCACACCAGCTTCAGAGATTACGAAACCGAGATTCAGGGAGGCTCTTGCTCGAAGCTGCACGGCTCATAAGCCAGTGTAGGCAGAACCTGTGTTTAGCTGGTCGGGTTCTGGAGTCTCTGATCTGGACCAGTCCTCTCTGCTAAGGTGCTAAGACTTAAAGGCAAGACTTCTGAAGTCCTAATGAGGGGTGTGTCCGTATCCTACGCTCCCTCAATGGCCGCAGAGTACGGGCATTCAGGAACCAGGCAGGAGAAGTGCCCGACCACTGTGAAGACAACATTACCCTGCTATTTGAAAAGGATTCCTTTCTGTCCACCTTCTTCCACAGCCCTTCCGCCCTGCACCCTGGGGTCCCCTCTGTGGGAACCTTCAAGTGTTACATGACACCTGGTGTTCTTACAGAACGCTACTATTAGACCCTACAACATCACGCTGATATTTCGGGGAAAATCAAAGCTCTGCGGAATACTGGCTGCTCGCCTGCGCGACCCCAGGCAGCAACGGCTCCCCACCTCGGCCTCGCTGCGCACTAGCGGCTGCGAGCTGGAAGCTAGCTCAGGGGCAGCCTCGCCAAATCTATCAAAATGCAACTTTTCAGCACTTGTCAGGATCACTGACATCCATCAATGAAACCGAAACAGTTCTACGAGATTGGGAGAGAAATCTTGTTTCCACTTTTCTTTTTATGGAAACCTAACTGTTACGCGAGTAAAGAATGGTTGGTCAAGTAATCTTACGGGCTGCTCCCCGCAGAGCACACCCGAACCTGGCGGGGTGGCGGGGTGGCGGGGTGGGGGTGGGGAGCGGCACTGAACCCGCAGGACCGCACAGCCGCCTTCCTCACTCACTCGGGTCACCGTCAGTCGTGCGCCCCGAACAGGGAGGTCGGGACGTGCAGGCCGGACCCCGGGCTGTGGCGGGCGGACTGCGGGCAGCTCCCACCCCGGCCGGGGCACCCCGCTCCGTACGCAATCCGGGACCCCCGGACCCTGCCCCCCAGCCCCTCGGCCCCCGCCCTCCGGCCGCGCCCACACCGCCCGGCGTCATCCGGACTCGGGGTACCTGTCAGGACGCAAGGCCCGCCCGGACCTCGGCGCCCGCACGGCCCCGAGGGCCCTCCGCCGCCCCTCAGCAGCGCCTTCCGGAGCTCAGGCGGCACCTCCTCCACCGCCCCGGGCCGGCCCGCACCTCCGAGCCGTAGCGGCGGTGGCCGCCGAGGAGCAGCCCCGGCCGCCTGCGCCCAGCGCCAGGCCCGCGGCCACCGCTCTCATGACAACCAGACAGGCCGGGCTGGGCCGCGCCTGCGCACAAGGCGGGTCTCCCCACGTCCGCTTCCCCGGGCCTTCTGGGTAATGGAGTCTCGGGGAGGACTGCGCCTGCGCACAGGCAGGGTGCCCCCGCCGCTTCCCCGGGCCTTCTGGGTAATGGAGTTTCCGGGAGACCGCGCGCGGCCTGGATCTCGGTCGCAGAGCCCACCCAGCTCCGCACCCCCGCCGCTCAGCTGATCTCTGTGTCCTGGGCGAGCACCAGCCTGAGCGGCCGGCCAAGCAGGTGCCGTCGGCGGGGCCGGAGGTCCTGAGGATGCTTACTATGTTCCAGAAGCCCAAGACGTTCAAGCTGCGGGCTCTGCACGGGACGAAGAAGTTTGGGGTGGCGGGGAGGACCTACCAGGAGGTGCTGCGGAAGGGGTGCTGCCACTTCCAGGTGCCTGGGAACGGGGTTCGCGGGCCGCCACTCGCAGGTGCCCGGGTCCGGGGTCCTTCTCTTCCTGTAGTCGCTCAGCCCCATTCGGCGGGAGTTTGTGGAGGGTTCTGGGGCAACACCTCCCTCTTCTGACCATGAAGATCATGGCAGCTCCGGCCCGAGGTTCTGGGACCCCGGTTCTGGGGCCCATCTGCTAACTTGCTGTGTGCTCCAGGGCACAGTCACTATGCCTCTCTGAGCCTCAGTTTCCTCTTCTGTAAAACGCAGGAGCTGCGTTCGCAGGCCCGTTAAAGGCCCTTCCAGTACTGCTGCTCCAGGGACTACAGTCCTCATTCTTACTGGATTCTCACTGTGTTTGTTTTCCTGACTGGCCTTGGAGCCGCGCTGGTTGCGGTGTGTGTTGGTTGCGGTGTGTGTGCGTGTGGGGTGCCGGGCGTGAGGAGTTGCCATGAACTCCCTTAAAGCTGACGAGTGTGGAGCAACAGTGTTAGCAAACTGACAGTGCGGGTGCCGGTCCCACGTCGTCAGACAGAGGCAATGAGTCTTTGTCAGTAAGATGTTCTCCTTACTTACTCATCGCCCAGGAAGACGGAGGGTGCTGAGTGCCCGTGTGCTGACACCAGTCGGGTGATGTGTCCTCATGGGTGGGGGTGTGTTTAGGGGCATCGTTTTCTGAAACGGGCTTGGATGTTAAGTGCCCTTAGGAGCTCGTTTTGAAAGGATCTGGGTGGTGAATCCTGCAGAGTCGTCACCACCATGTATATATTTTTACGTGACTTGTCATATTTTAGAACGACCCGTAGCCCCGGCATGATGCTTTATTTATTAAAAAAACTTTTTAATGTTTTATTTATTTCTGAGAGACAGACACAGCGTGAGCAGGGGAGGGTCAGAGAGAGAGGGAGACACAGACTCTGAAGCAGGCTCCAGGCTCTGAGCTGTCAGCACAGAGCCCGACGTGGGGCTCGAACCCACGAACCGCAAGATCATGACCGGAGCCGAAGTTGTACGCTTAACCGACTGAGCCACCCAGGCACCCCCCAGCTGTGATGCTTTAAAACAGTGTTTTCTGGTTGCTTGTGAGGACGCCAGGTGGAAGGGCCACCTGAGACCCGAGACTTTAGCCTCCTGCCCTGCCCTCCCCCTCCGCAGCTCCCCATTGCCGGCTCCCGCCTGTGCCTCTACGAAGATGGCACTGAGCTGACTGCAGACTACTTCTTGAGTGTCCCTGACAACTCGGAGCTCATGCTTCTCACCTTGGGCCAGACCTGGCAAGGCTGTAAGTGGCAGGGACGTGGGAGAGTGGCGGGGAAGCTGGCCTGGCTTTGGGGGTGCCAAGGGCCTTCCCTGGACGCCAGCCTGGGAAGGGGAGGGTCTTCTCGCTCTGAGCTCCCAAGGGGGGAGCCCTGAGTCGGGAGCCCGGTCGTCCAGTTGGGTGCTGTAGGTTTCTTCTTTTCTGAGTCATGTAGATTTTGTTTATGTTCATTGGAAATGTCCTAGTAACTCCGGAGGGCAGCGGGGAGGGGCCTGGGGGTTGTGCCTGCACAGGTTTGTGGGTAAGGCAGAGCCAGAGCCACACGCCATTCCCTGCCGTCAGACCGTGCGTGCTCCGAGGGGAGGGGTGGTGGCCCAGGATGTGCTTCTTCTGCTCTGTCGGTGCTGGCATGTCGGGGGCCTCATCAGAGCAGTTGCTCCCGGGGGTGATTCTTTAGGGACGTCAGGATTTAAGAACCAGCTCGATGACAAGCGGCACGTTGGAGCCGTAGGCTGGTGGCAGAGCGTGTGTGCGCTCCTGGGTCTTGTGAAAAGTGGCTTACATTTCAGAGATGCTGCTGGCGTTCCGGGAAGGAAGTGGGAGCCGTGAGGACGGAGATATCGGCCTCTTCGACCCAAGGGACAGACGGGGCCTAAAGTAGCCTCAGTGTGGCTTTGCCCTGCGGTTGGGACTCCGGTGTGAGCAGTCTTGTCTTGTGTCTCCTCCGAGGTCGCCCTTTCTCTGTGGAGCCTTGTCCTTCTAGAGGAGGCAGACAGACAGCAGAGTCACCGTGATGGCTCCTGGGATGGCCCCTTGCAGGAGGCGGTGACTGAACAGGACAGGGCTGAGGATCTGCTGGCTGTCCCTTTTCTTTCCCGTTTCCTGGTATAGTTGGGAGCAGAGCAGGTTGGGTTGCTGTCCTGGCCGCTCCCACCTGCCCCCCGCCTTGTCTCCCTCCGTCCCTCCCCTCTGTCTCTCTCCTTCCCTTCCTCCTCTCTGTCTCCCCCCTCCCTCTTTCTGTCTGTGTATCTCTTTCTGGCACTTTAGTCCCCTCTCCGCCGAGACCACTAGTCCTTCTTCTTGGTGAACTTCTTTAAAAAAAAAAAAAAAGAAGTTTAAATTGTTTATTTTGAAGTAGTGATCTGTGTTGTGTCACCACGTGGGTTTATGTATTTGCCGCTGCAGGCGAGATTCAGAACCGCCCCGTCCGCCGCCGCAAAGTCCTCCCACGTGCTGGCCCTTCCTAATCATGCCCACCCTTCCCACCCCCGCCACCCCTGGTCCTTGGCAACCACTGATGTGTTCTTCATCTCTGTAATGTTAATCATTTCGAGAACATTAGGGAAATGGATCACACAGTGCATGATCTTTTGAGATGGGCTTTTCTCACTCAGCAGCAAGCCCCTGAGATCCATCCAAGTGGGTGTGGACCGGGAGCCTGTCCCTTTTTATCACTGCGAGGCATCCTGTGATGTGGCTGGGTCACAGTTCCGTTATCCACTCCTCTATGAGAGGTGTTTTGGTCATTCCCAGTTTGGAGCTATTACGTATAAAGCCCACGTGGCCAGCTGTGTACAGGTTTTTGTGTGGACGTAAGTTTGCATTTCTTTGGGACAAATGTCTAGGAGTACAGTTGCTGGGCCAGATGATGAGTGTATGTTTAGTTTTTAAAGACAAGGCTGTCCAGTCTTGTCATCTATTTAACATTGTGCAGAGCAGTTGGTCAAGAAAAATACAGGCATCCAGGGGCGCCCGGGTGGCTTAGTCGGTTAAGCGTCCGACTTTCGCTTAGGTCATGATCTCATGGTTCGTGGGTTCGAGCCCCGCGTCGGGCTCTGTGCTGACTGCCAGCTCAGAGCCTGGAGCCTGTTTCAGAGTCTGTATCTCCATCTTTCTCTGACCCTCCTCTGTTCACCCTGTCTCTCTCTCTCTCTCTCCTAGAAATAAATAAAAATATTTAAAAAAAAAAGAAAAATACAGGCATCCAGATTGGAAAAGAAAAAGTAGAGCTACCATTATCAGCAGATGCTGTCATCTTGTGTGTAGAACGTTCTAAGGAATCCAGTAAAAAACTATTAGGACCAGGGGCACCTGGGTGGCTAAGTCAGTTAAGCGTCCGACTTCAGCTCAGGTCATGATCTTGTGGTTTGTGGGTTTGGGCCCCGCATCGGGTTCTGTGCTGACAGCTCAGAGCCTGGAGCCTGTTTCAGATTCTGTGTCTCCCTTGCTCTCTGTCCCTCCCCCACTCATGCTCTGTCTCTGTCTCAGAAATAAATAAACTATAAAAAAACAAACAAACTATTAGGACTCATAAAGGAGTTCAGCAAGGTTGCAGGATACAGGGTCAATACCCAAAACCTACTTTGTTTCCATATGCTTGGAATGAATAACAAAAATGAAATTAAGGGAACAATCATATTTATAGTGGCATCAAAAAGAATAAAATTCTCAGGAATAAACATAACAAAAGAAGTGCAAACTTTATGCTCTGAAAACTGTAAGACATTGTTCAAAGAAATGAAGGACTTAAATACATTGGAAAACATACCGTTTGTGGGTCAGAAGGTTTATCATTGTCAGGATGTCAGCACTCCTCAAACTGATCTACAGATCAACCCAGTCCCTATCAGAATTCCAGCTGGTTCCTTTGCAGAAATTGACAGGCTGATTCTAATCCATAATTCTTATATAATTTCAAGGGACCCGGAACAGCCCAAGTGACCTTGAAAAAGAACACAGGAGGAGCACTCACTTCCTGATTTCAAAAGTTATTACAAAGCAGTGGTACTCAAGACATTAGGGATGGACATACAGGTCAGTAGACTGGAAGAAAGTCCAGAAAAGTCCAGAAAGGTGTCTGTGATCACAGGGTGCCAAGGCCATTCAATGGGGGAAAGAATAATCTCTTTAATAAGCAGTGCTGGGACAACTGGACTTCCACATGCCAGAGAATGGGTCACACCTTCACCTCGCGCCATATGCAAAAATCAACCAAAGTGGGTACATTACTGAGTGTAAGAGCCAAAAATATAAAATCCTTAGAAGAAAACACAGGGATAAATCTTCATGACCTTGAATTTGACCAAGAATTCTGAGGACACCAAAAACATGAACGATTAAAGGAAAACGTAGATACATTTGGCTTCAGAATGTGCTTGTGACACCATCAAGGAGCTGAAAAGACAACCCACAGGATGGGAGAAGAAATTGGCAAGTCATGTATCCGGTAAGGGACTTGTATCTGGAATAAACAAAGAGCTCTTACAACCCAACAGTGAAAGTCAACCCAACTTAAAAATGGGCAAATGTTCTGAATAGACACTCCTCCAGGGAAGATCTTTAAATGGCAAATAAGCACATGAAAAGATGCTCGATACTGTTAGGCATCAGGGAAATGCCAACCACATGAGCAGTGCAGTGCCATCTTGCAGCCGCTGGGCCAGTGTCCAATGCTGGTGAAGGTGTGAGGGAGCCGGAGACCATGCACGCTGCTGAGCGGGGTGGGCCAGGGCCCCCTCCAGTGACTCAACAGAGTGCTCACATGACCCAGCAGCCCTGTTTCTCGCTCTATGCACACCCGAGAAGAGTGAAAGAGCATGTCCACAGTCTCTCACGTGATTATTATTATTAAAAAAAATTTTTTTTTAATGTTTTATTTTTAAGAGAGAGAGAGCATGAGCAGGGGAGGGACAGAAAGAGAGGGAGCTTAACCCTTAACGCTTAACCAACTGAGCCTCCCAGGTACCCCTCCCATGTGATTATTATGGAAGCTTTACTCATAATGGCCAAGAGGTGGAGAGACAGATGACGCCCACTGACGGACAAATGGGTAAACGAAGTGTGGTGCATTCATGCAGTGGAATGTGTACTGACCTTGGATGGGAATGGGGCACGGATGCCCACTACTGCGTGGATGACCCCTGCAAGCTTCACGTGAAGGGAAAGGAGGCGGTCATGGAAGGCCACGCATCCTGCGATTTTGTTCGTATTGAAGTGTCCAGAGCAGAGAAGTCCACAGGGACAGAAGGGGACTAGAGGTTGTTTCCGGCTGAGGGAGGAGATCCCAGCTGAAGCGTACGGGTTCATTTCAGAGGTGATGAAAATGCCCTGAGTTGGATGTGCAGGCGATGGCACAGCTCTGTGAATAGACTAAGAAACATGCACTTGTACATTTCAAGTGTGTGAATTGCAAGGGTTTTGGATCGCATCACAATAAAGTTTTTTTTTAAATTTATTTATTTTGAGAGAGAGAGAGAAAGCACAAGGAGGGGAGGCAGAGAGCAAGGGGAGAGAGAATCCCAAGCAGGCTCCACACGGCCGGTGCAGAGCCCGACGTGGGGCTTGAACCCAGGAACTGTGAGATCATGACCTGAGCTGAAACGAAGAGTCGGAAGCTTAACCGACTGAACCTCCCAGTGCCCCACGTTGTTGTTGTTTTTAAAGAAACGGGCAGTTTTCCAGAGCAGGAGCACCTGCCCCGCGGCCACAGCTGCCTCCCCTGCCTCTGGTTGCGTCGGTCTGTGTCAGCCATTCTGATGGCGCGCGGGGTGTACCCACGTGGACGGCTTTGCGTTCCCATCAGTCAGTGCCCTTCCCACCTCTCCCTGGGCTGGTGCCCGGCCATCCGTCCCACCCGGAAGGTGCGTCTTCATCCGTTTCTATTTTGTCCATTTTCTAATTGGAGTTTGGACGGTTGAGTTCCGGGTCTCTCTCATCATATGTCCTGGATGCGAGTCTTGGCAGGTGCGTGGCTTCCAGGGATTTCCTCCTGCTCCTCAGCTGGTTTTTGCATCCCCAGAACAGGCTCCTTCACGGAGCAAGGTTTTCCATTTCGATGAAACCCACGTTGCCCGTGCCTTCCTTCTGTGCTCATACTCTCCACGTGAAGTCTGGAAACTTCTCACCAAGCCCTGGGCCCAGAAGAGTTTCTTTGCCGGCTTTCCCATCAGCGGATATGATCATGTGACTACCTTTAGCCTGTTAAGGGCAGATTATACGGATCGATTTTCAAGCATTGAACAGCCTCTCTTCCCCAGAGCGACCCGCCGGGCCGTGGGGGCACCACTTCTGTTGGCCGAGGTGTCACGAAGGGTCCCGTAGACCATGGCCCCACTGGGTACTGAGCGCTTGCTGGGCCGCAGTCGGGCATGGCTCCAGGAGGCAGGTCTGGAAGGAGGCCCACAGACGTGGGAGGTCTCACCGGGAAGAGAAGGGCAGTGACTCACTGGGTGCCGTCCCCTCTGCATCCGACCCCGTGCCACGCTGAGGGGTGGGCGCCCAGGCCAAGGGCTAGCTGGCATCTGGGCAAACACAGGGGCCCCGGACGCCCTTGAGGTCCGGCAGGTCCAGAAGCGTGGCGGTGCTGGGTGTGTGGAGAGCTGCTCAAAGGACTGCTGGTTTTTCTCTGTCCCCCCTTCTGGTGGCAGATGTGAGTGACATTGGTCGCTTCCTCCACGCATTCCACAAGCCACAGGCGGGGCTCATCCAGGCTGCCCGGCAGCTGCTCTCCGGCGAGCAGGCCCCACTGCGGCAGAAGCTGCTGGCCGACCTCCTGCACACGGTCAGCGAGAACACCGAGGCCGAGACCAGGGCCGAGGACCCGCCGTGGTTCGAAGGTACTGCGGGGCCGGAGCGGGAGGGCTTGTCGGGAGCCGGCTGTGCTGGGGAGGCCAGGGCCCACTGCCGTTCCCGGGCGCCGGGCCTGCCTGGCCTCTTTGCACCAGCGGCCCCGGGACCGGCCCCCTTATTTATCTGTCAGCTGTGGGAAAGCATATGTGATGTAACGTGTTCCACTTAAATCTTTCTAAGTGTACAGTTGATAGGGTTGAGCACGTTCCCCGTGGTGTGCAGCCTGCACCAACATCCGACTCCAGAACTTTCTCATGCTCCTCAGTGGAACCTGTCCCCACATCCCTTCCCAGCCCCCAGCGCCCACTCTTCCCCTCTGCCTGGATCTGACTCCCCTAGGGGCTGCCCAGGGGTCACTCAGGACCTGGCTTCCTGGCCTGCTTCACTGGGCACCGTGCCCTCGGGTGCACGCGTGCTGCCTGTGTGGCGGGATCTCCCTTCTTCAGGCTGGGTCTCATCCGTGGTGTGGCTGGAGCGCATTGTGCTTGCCCATCATCCGGTCATGGACACTTGGGTGCATCCACCTCGGGGCCCCGCCTTCAAAGCTGTCAGAACCACCCTTGGACTGCAGGAGGGGGCTCGGGTGCCCAGAGCCGAAGCCCCTCTGTGTGTCTAGATGCCCACCAGGCAGTTGGGCCAGAGAACCATCCCCAGGCAGAGGACCAGAGCCCCAGAGCAGGACACCATCAGCACGTTTCCGGGATGGGGCGGGTGGTGCTCGCAGCCTGCGACCTGAGAGAGGACGACCGGGGTCCAGGGGTCTTGTCTTCTCTTGCTCACGGCAGGTCTGGAGTCTCGATTCAAGAGTAAGTCCAGCTACCTGAGGTACAGCTGCGAGAGCCGGATCCGGAGCTACCTGAGAGAGGTGGGTGCGCCTCTGCAGATGGACGGCCTGGCCGGGGCCGCCTCACGGTGTCCCTGGGGTGCAGCTGGCAGCCGGCTCCCCAACTCCGCATGGTGCTGGCATCTGCCCCGAGCTGACGCCCTGTGGGACTGTCGAGGCCCCACCCGGGCCCTTGGCCCCCTTTCGTTTTGTACTGAAGCCTCACGTGGGTTCTGAACAGAACCGACCTGTGAGTGTCGTCACCCATCAGGTGGTTGGATTTTGACGTGAACTTGTCTTCATCCAGCACTGGCTGTGACAGACACCCAGGTCCCCCCGAGGACACTCCTTTCTCTCTGCGTGGCCCTGGGTCGAGGTCTGACCTCCGAGAACTGGGAAGGGCCAAGTTGTGTCTGCTTTTGGAGCTGCTCTGAGCAGTTGTGGGTCTGAGCTCTGACTCCATGGGCCCAGGAAGGAGACGACATCCTTCCTCCCCTGAGAGACTGAGAAGTGAACACCGATGTAGATTTAAAGCTCCGGTGCTCCCACGGGACATGGCGCTCCGTCCCCAGAGAAATCCGTGCCCGATGTGGCCTCTGTCCTGCTGCCCTTTCAGTGAAGATGGAGGGCGGAGCTGCAGCGGTGTCCGGTCCTGCTCGGAGGATAATTTGGTCCCGTGGCACTCGCCTTTTGCCGCGAGGGTGGGGTCTGTGCAGCTGCCGTCCGACCTTGTATGTTGGGACAGAGGTGGGGTGCGTTCCCCAGGCGCTGACCTCCGTAAAGATCAAAACACGCTCCTCAGAGAAGACGAGAGTCCAGGCCAAGGCCTGGCGTGCAGGGGTGAGGTTGGGCGTTCCCAGAGGGCTGTGGAGGGGTGGCGCCCCTGCCTGCGTGCTGGAAGGCGGCCCCGAGGCCGTCTTGCCTCCTAACTTTGCAGATTTCTGCCCTGCCCCCTCCACCTCCACGCCTGCCCGTGGTTCTAGGACTACAGATCGCAGGGCCTGTGGCGCGGGACCGGCTATGGCCACGCAGACCCCGCTGGGCCCTCTGTGCTCAGTTAACGTGTCTGCTGTCCTGTCACTCGCACTTGACTAGGAGTCCCGCGGGGAGGGGTGGGGGTCTTTCTCTGCCCCCCCCCCCGGGTGCTCAGCATCTCGCTGCACGGCTGTGATCTCCCTCCAGCTTGAGTGGGCGGCGGGGGCGGCAGGTGGGTGACATTCCCCACCTGCCCACCTCCTCTCGAGTTTCTTCCCCTGTGGCGGCAGCGAGTGCCAGGGAGACGGGTCCAGGACTCCCGGAGCTTGAGTTTGTTGGGTGGCCGACTGACCCCAGCTGCACCTCACGGGTCCCCCGCCAGGACCGTGGGAGCTCAGCCGCGCTGGGACCCCAGGTGGCAGGGCCCCCGAGGGCCGTGGCGTCGAGTGGACTGGGAGCCCCCCGACCGCGCCAGCCTTCAGCGATGGCTCTTGGTCTCTTCCAGGTGAGCTCTTACGTCTGCACAGTGGGCACGGAGGCTCAGGAGGAGTTCGTGCGGATAGTTGGCATCATGTGCCGGAAGCTCAAGGCGGAGCAGTACCACAGCAGCTACTTCGACCGCGGAGCCGAGGCGGGCAGCCGGCTGTGCACACCCGAAGGCTGGTTCTCCTGCCAGGTGAGCCGGGGGCCGGGGCGGGGGCGCCCCCCAAGTCGGCTCAGCCCGCGGGTCTCCGGCTTCAGTGGCACCGGAACCCCTGGACGGTGCCGGAAAAGACCTCCCGCCTCCCGGCCCCCAGCTGCTGTCACGGGCTTTCTGACCGCTTCCCAGGGACGCTGATGCCGCGGCTGGGCCCTCCTTCCAGAACCGCTGGGTGGCAGGGAGTACGCAGGGCGCCTTGGGAGGAGGGTGGAGGGCGGAGGAGAGGGCGGTTTCAGAGCCTCTGAAAACGTGGTGTGTCCCTGGGAAGCCATCTAGATGGCAGCTCAGGTTTCAGGATTTGTGGCCAGATGTGACCTTTCGGGCATTAGTTTGGCCTGACTCCCTGGTGTGGTGGCCGCAGCTGGGAGCAGCGTCCTGGGCCTCCTCCTGGACACTCGGATGAATGACGGAAACACCACTTCCCAGCAAGTGCTACCATCTCCGGGGACCAGGGTCACGGTCTGGGGGCTTGGAGCTGATGACCTTTGCAAGGATGGGTGGGGGCTGTTGCACTGCCCACGCCTCCTTCTCGACCTCCTGGGCCCCATGCATTTCTAGTAAAATCCCCTGTCCCTACTAGTGGCTTTTCTAGTGCCACTGAGGGTACAGAGCAGGCCCTGGGGGCGGGTGTGGCCTCCCTCCCGTTGACGGGCTCCCTGTGCGTCTGGGCGGTTCCTTCCGTGGGTGATGGGCCTGGACTCGCAGGACGCAGGACGCTGGTCCTTCTCAGCCACCGCACCTCAGGCTCCATGACCACAGGTACTCACTGTGAGTGTCACCAGAGCCAGGTGTTTCACGGGGCAGCAAAGATGAGAGACTTCCCCCTGACATTGGGAGGCCCAAGGTCAGAGGCCTGTAAACAAGTGAGGGTAGTGGGCGTGGAGCTGGGAGGCCTTGCGGGCCCTCCGGGGACCCACCAGTCCTGGGTCAGGTGAGCTAGGGGCTTCAGGGGGCAGGTGACGCTCTGAAGCCCCATTGGGTGATGTGGTGCCAGCAGGCATGGGACCCTTCGAGAGGACAGGGATGGCCCTGGCATAGACGTCGGGGCAGCGGGCTCTGCTGGGGGGCTGTAAGCCTTGGGGGTGACCGGGGTGTAGGATGGTGGGGGTGCCGTGGCATGTGGCATGTGCTCGGCAGAGGTCTGCGGGGAGGGGGGGTGCCTGGAGGCCAGGAGCACCGACCACACGCCTCTGATGGCCCGGCCTCAGTGCTGGGATTACAGGGAAGTATCGGGAAGGTGCGGGAAGCAGATAGAAAGGAGTAGCCAGTGCGTGGGTGGGCCTTTGTGTCACTGGGTGGGGTGGTGGTGTGCCATTGCAGGGGTGTGGGGAGGGCTGGGGGCTGCGGGGCTGGGTGTGGGACCTGGGAGGCGCTTGGTTGGGAAGCTGGCATTCCTAACAAGTATCTCCCTGGCCGGGGGCGGGGGTGGTGTGGGATGGGGGGCATGGGAAGGTCCGTTCCCAAGACAGAATTCCTAATTGCCCCAGGCAGCACAGTGTTTACCAGGACCAGATCCCCCACTGGGGTCCCCTCCTGCGCAGGCACCCCCCCCCCCCCAGCTTGCTGTGAGACCGAGTCCCTTCGTGGGCCTGAGCTTGCTCCCTGTTGGCCCAGGGCCCCTTCGACGCGGACGGCTGTGCATCCAGGCACTCCATCAACCCCTACGGTAACAGGGAGAGCCGCGTCCTCTTCAGCACGTGGAACCTGGACCACATGTGAGTACGGGGTCCGCGGAGGCCAGGACTAAGCTCACAGACCCACAGAGCACCTGCCGGGGCCTGGCCCTGCCGTGGCGTCCGGGCTCCGACGGGCTGGCCCAGGTCCCTGTCCACATCCCTGCACCCTGGCGCCTCTGTCATGTCCAGCTCCCGTCTGTGGGGCCCAGTGGGCAGCTGTCACGGCGTTCCACGCTGGGGGGGGGTCTCCTGCCCCAGCACGGGCCGCTCGGGGCAGGGGCTCTGGGGGATAGTAATCGCGGGATGTTTCCTGCTCTCGCGGGAGCATGGGGGGCCGGCAGCGGTGTTCTTCCCTGTGCACGAACTCATTCTAGGAAAAGGGCCCGAGTAAGATTGTGTCAGCTTGACTGGGTTGCTTTCCTGGAAGGCAGTGGTGTCCTCGTCTCCGCTTTGTGACGACAGAGGTCTTGCAGTGCCGTCCAGTGGCGCTGCCGCCTCGGGGATGGGGGGCCGTGCTCGCATGTAGGAGGCACGGGCAGCTGAGGCTCACTCCCCACCCCTGCCGGACGCGCCCCTCTCCTCAGCCGGAACTGCCCCTCTGCCGTTTGCCGCGTCCCTCTGACGCCGTTTAGACCTTCACGCTGTAGTATGATCTGCAAACGGCCGTGAACGGTATCGCACATGCTGATTCCACACTGGGCTCTTCTGTTCTGCATTGTGCTCACGGGGGTGCGTTTGTGGGTTTGCGACCCTCATCTCACCAGGTGCCGAGTGCCTCGCTCCTTGAATAGAATATCATTTGAATATCCGTTTCCACACCGGTAGGTGCTTCTGCTGTTACAGAGGCCCCTGGGCTGAGTGCCCACATGGCACAGACCTGCGTGGCCAGGTGGCTGTGGTCCGTGGACTGGCATCATCAGCACGTGGGGACTGGTCAGGAACGCAGATTCCCGGGCTCCACACGCCGTTGCCCGGGTGCGGGGATGGGGGTGCCCGTCCGGGTGGGAAGGCCGTCCCGGTGCCTGAGCTGAGGAGCTGAGCTCCCCTCTAGGCAGGGTGCTGGGTCTCACCCCTTCCCACGTGCACTGAGCACCCAGCACCCAGAGACGATCGCCGGGTTCTGCGGGTCGTCCCTCTGCGGGGGGGCGTGGGGACGTCGATCTGGGGAGCAGTGCCAGCGTTCGCAGGGTGCAGCCGGCCAGCCTGCGGCAGAGCACCGGCGCAGCGGCAGAGGCCCGAGCGGTGCTCTCTGAAACCTCGGTTTTCTCTCCCTCTCAGTTCAGCACTTCCGTTTTCCAGCAAATCCGCCTGCTTCTCTGCACGCGTCTGACTTGCGGTTTTCTGTCCGGTTTCACACTCGTTTCTTCCAGGAGGGTCTGTGGGCACTCAGTGCTCTTTGGTCTTGGAAAACGCTCCTCTGGCTTCACTCGTGCGGGTTACTTAGTGACACTGGCGTGCCGCCTCGGAACTGAAGACGAGCTGGCACCGTCTCCCCCTCCCCACCCCCGCCCCGGGTCTGCTGCAGGAATCCTGCCCCGTGTTCTGCCTTCTCTAGGGACCTTTTAGATTCTCTCCTTCTCTGAACGTGGCGTGTGTGCAGGTATAGATCCTTGAATTCTGCCTGGGCTTGTCTTTGTTCTGAAGACAAGTTTCTCTTTTGTTTTGGAAGACGCCTAAGCATGGATGAGGTACTGCTTCTCGGATTCTCGCCGTCGGCTTCTCTGGACTGTTGCCGGCCGCGGGTCGGACCTGCGTCCTGTCTCCCTTGTGCTGCGGGGGTGCTGTCGGGGAGCCCTCCCTCCCTGGCCCCTCAGCCGTCCGTCTCAGCGCGCTCTGGCCTGGTCCTCCTCGGGGGTCCTTGTCCTTTGTGGTGTGCTCCTTGTGACGCCTGTGCGTCTGTCCGGACTCGGAGTCTGTCCTCAGTGGGGACTGTGGACCCGTGCACTGGCTTGTCGTGTCCCCACAGGCTGGTTTCACATTTGTTCCTGCCAGACCCTTGGGGCTTCCTGCGGCCCTGAAACAATGGGGCGTCCGCTTGTGGCTTGGCTCCCGTCCCGCGTGGCAGTGTGCCGTTGGGCTGTGTGTCCGTGCGAACCGTGCGCCGCGGGTCCTGGTTTTCCGAGTGACCGTGGAAACAGCCGCGCTGTTGGTGCGCCCTGAAGCACACCTCCTGGTGCCTGTACCTTGTGTGTCCTCCCCGCCCTCCCGTCGAATGAGGCTCGGCCGCGTGACGCCAGCGGACAGGACGCCAGCGGACGGGACCCGTGCTTGCACGCTGGGGCGCTTCTCCTTGAGCGCTGCCATCAGCGGGGGCTGGGGGGGCGGCCCTGGCCCGGCCTCCTTGAGGGTGAAAGGCATCATGGGGAACAAGGCGGCCCCCAGCCAGCCCTCCAGTGTCGCGCAGCCCCAGGGGTGGGTGGGGGGCAGCGGGCACCCTGCTGATCTGGGGCTGGGCGGGCAGCAGAAGGGAGAGGACAGGACGGCACCCCCCCCCCCCCGAGCCCCGGGCTCCCCTGCTGCTTCTCTTCCTGCTTTAATGGCTGGACGGGGTCTCAGTCCCACCTCCCCGGCTCTCGCCTTGGGCCTCTGTCGGGACGAGAGCCCCGGCGGGCTGCAGGAGGGGGCTCGCCTCTGTGGATCAAGCGTGGACCTCAGTGTCTGGAAGCGGGGAGCCCTCGACTGCCCAACTGCCTACCCCTTCTCCCTCTTCTTCAGTGTCTCTCCGCCGCAGGGACGGGGCCTGCGCAGCGGGCCTACTGGCTGTGCTTCTGCGCCCTCCGAGCTTTAGCTGTCAGTGCACGGGCTCTGAACGGTGCGTGAGTGGGACAGGCTCCCACAATGCAGGATCATAATGGTCTTCAGTGGACGCACACACTCACACACACACACACACAAGCACAAGGTCAGGTTGGAAAGACAGACGTTAGGCCCTTTCCAGAACTCTCTCCAGGGAGGACGAGGGCTCAGCTTTACTTTGTGGGTCTGTGGTCCTGTGTCCCCACGAGGACAGCTGTCGCTGGGGCCGGACGGCCTCGGTCCAGCCCCCTTTCCTTCCGTGTGCTTCCCCGCGCTGATAAACGTGCAGTGCCAGCCGTCCCCCGTGAGACGTCCACGCTGCTGGCCCCGGGCCGCGCGCGGTGAGGACGGTCCCCCAGCTCCTGACCGTCGCGGCCAGAGGAGGGGTCACTGCCCCACCGCTCCTCGGGCATGTTTCCAAGCGTGGCTCCTTCTGAAACCTGAACCGGTGTCCACATGTCCTGCTATAAAGTCCCCGAACGTCCACTCACATTTATTGGGGCCACGGCGACCGGACGGAAGCCCTACTGCGTGTCCCTGGGCTCCCAGCGGGCGCAGCGGGCGGCCAGCGGCAAGCGTGACCGTGTGGCACCTCGCCCTGCAGAATAGAAAAGAAGCGCACAGTCATCCCCACGCTGGAGGAAGCCGTGGCGGAGCGGGCCGGCAGGGAGGTGTCCTGGGAGTACTTCTACAGCCTGCTCTTCACCGCACACAACCTCAAGCTGGTCCACATCGCCTGCCATAAGAAAACCACCCACGGGCTCAGCTGTGACCCGCACAGGATCTACAGACCCCAGACGAAGCCGAGGCGGCGGCGGCCTGCGCGCAAGGGCCGGTGACACACGTGGTGCCTCCCCCCACCCCTGTGACACACGTGGTGCCTCCCCCCACCCCTGTGACACACGTGGTGCCTCCTCTCCGCACTCCCCCGCCTGCCCTCAAGGGCCAGTGACACACGTGGTGCCTCCCCCCACCCCTGTGACACACGTGGTGCCTCTTCTCCGCCCTCCCCCGCCTGCCCTCAAGGGCCGGTGACACACGTGCCCCCCCCCAGCGGGCATGTCCTTCCAGTGGGTGCTGTTACTACATTTTTGTCACTGCACTGGTTCCTGGAAAACCTTCTCAGGGCCCTCTGAGCTCCCTAAATTTCCAAATCTGTGCTTGCACATCTGACGGCCCAAGTGTCTGAGGACAAGCTTGCTGTGCCCCTGGGAATCACCGTCGGCAGGGGTGGAGTGGGGAGGGCGGCTCCACCCTCGGCTCAGGAGCCCTTCCTTCCCTGCCCGACCGGCCACACAGGGTGGCGCCCACAGGGACGGGCATTCTGTGTCCGCTCTCTGCTGGGTCTCTGCTCCCGGGCAAACGTGAGGCTGTATCTTCTGGACTTTTCTGAATGCTCCAAAGAGTAGCAACCCATCGGGGGAAAAGCGTTTGTAAAGAACACGCAGGGACACGCGCTGCTGTGGGGTTTATGGCGGCAGAAAGCGGGAAGCCCCCCAGCTGTCTGTCACTGGGGAATGACTGGCTGTGGTGTCGTGTTGAACCGCAGGGAACCGCTGGGTTTGTAGGTCAGGAAGCGTCAGATGTCATTAATTTCTGGATTCGTCTTACACACGGACATGATGCAAAGCTACGTAGCAGTTCTGTGTTCCACATGGAAAAGGGAAGCCGTCGAGGGCCCAGAGTAGCCAGTGGCTTGACCATGGAGTACAATCTGGTGGTCTTATAAGAGCCCGCGAGTGTATGTCACATGCGTGTGTCGGCGTGTCTAAGAGCCCACAGGAAGCACGCCGTGTGGACAGCTGTAGTCCTGGGGGTTAGGGTGGGGGTGCACTGGATTGTAAGGGGCCAATTTTCTAAATCATGTACTTTATAATACTTGAAGCTTTTGAAATGATCATTTACTTCATAATCCTTTAAAAACTGACTTTTTAAAGTCACACAGATTATATCTGAATTTTTTATGATTATTGTATAATCATGAAAACCAATAAAGATTTTTCAGAAAGAGACTTATTAAAAAGTTTGCACTCACTGGGAATGATGAAAACGAGGATAAAAATAATGGGTTAGTAGCACTCTCAACAATAGCTAAAACATGGAAAGAGCCTAAGTGTCCATCAACGGACGAATGGATCAAGAAGATGTGGTTTATCTATACCATGGAATACTACATGGCAATGAGAAACAATGAAATCTGGCCACGTGTAGCAACATGGATGGACCTTGAGGGTGTTATGCTGAGCGAAATAAGTCAGGCAGAGAAGGACAAATATATGTTTGCACGTATAGGAGGATTAGGAGGAACTTAACGGAGGAACAAGGGGAAGAAGGGGGGAAATGGTGGGGGAAAGGGAGAGAGGCAAACCATGAGACTCTTGAATGCTGAGAACAAACTGAGGACTGATGGGAGTGGGGGGGAGGGGAGTGAGGGAGATGGGCATGGGGGAGGGCACTTGTGGGGATGAGCACTGGGTGTTATGTAGAAACTAATTTGTCAATAAACTATTTGTAAAAAAAAATAATGGGTTAGTGATTTTTTTAAGGTTTTATTTATTTTTGAGAGAATGAGCAAGCGAGCGCGAGTGGGGGAGGGGCAGAGAAAGAGAGAATCCCAGGCAGGCTCCAGTGCTGTCAGCAGAGCCCGACTGAGGGCTTGAACTCACGAACCGTGAGATCTGGACCTGAGCCAAAATCAAGAGTCGGAGGCTAGCTGAGCCACCCAGGTGCGCCAGGGGTTGTGATTTTTTAAATGACAGAAACCATTCCATTTTCTAAAACAGAGACCTTAGGGTGAGCCAGTCCTGTGTGGGACCGCAGAAGTACCACCTCGGCACGTGGCGCTGACCTGGCCGGGCGGGGTCGCCTGGGCCGTGGGGAGTGGGGCCCGCGGGAGGTGCACCCTGCTGACCTGGGGACCCGCCTCCTCCAGCCCAGCAGCAGCTCAGCCTCTATGCAGAATGGGTTCATGGGCTGTCCGTTTCCAACAAAAGGGTTAGAACCCACAGCTGGGAGTGTCGAGTCTGGTGATCTGTGGGTGCAGGAAGGCGGGGCGGTCCCGTAGGTCCCTCATATGTGCACTTGCTGTGGGCGGCCCTTTGGTCAGCAAGGCTGCGGAGAGAGGTCCGGGTCCAGGTCCTGCGGCTTGCAGGAGGGCGGCGGCCGGCTGTCGCCTCTGCCGGTCTGAAGGCAGCTGCGGGGCAGGGGAGCCGGCGCAGGCTGCAGAGCGAGGGCAGGGGGGCCCAGGGAGGGAGCCGGCCCTGCAGAGCGGGGGGAGGGGACGAGGTGAGGGGTCTGCGCTGGAGACCACGGACAGGTGTGAGCAAGGCACAGGGGCTCTGGTGAGGTGAGGCCTGGGAACGGGGGCGTCGCAATCCCAAACACTAGGAAGCCCCTGAAGCAATTTTGGAAGCGGCCCGACTGCCCGTTGCCAGGACGAGCTGGTCTCCGGGCTGCCCGTGGCCCCAGGAGCGGCCTGCCCTGGGGTGTCTGTGCACCGGCCAGTACCTGGGCAGGGCTGGGGTCCAAGTCCCAGGTCCGCGGGTGGGCGTTCCAAGCCTGTGTGACCCCAACAGGACCCTGGGCGGCCCCGAGGCCTGGGTGGGCTTCCTGGGTCTCCGCCATCACCGGGAGAGAAGGCTGGAGGCTGTTCCTCCTACACTCGCCCCGGCGCGTCCTTCCTGCGATAATCGGGGACCGGGAATCTCTCCTTCCTGAGCCCTCGTTGCGGGCATCGTCTGGCCTGAGGCCGGTGGGGGGGGTCCCCGCGCAGCAGGCGTTTAAGACAGCAGGGCGACCAGCCACCTGAACGTCATTTTGTGAAGACCAACAGTAGGGACGCTTCTTAAAAACCCTGTCACAGGGCCTGCTAGACGGCGGAGCGCTCACAGTAATTCTAACACCTAGTTATACTCTGCCTTCTCAAACTTTATCGTCCCCAGGGCTTAGTCTACATTCTTTCCCTACTGCCGAGGCCATCCCCAATGCTTGGCCCCCAGCCCGCGGGCACCCGGTTTCCCCAGCTCCGCGCTGTCTGCCATCTCTGCCGGGGACACCTGCTCTCTTCCCGCAGCACCCCTCACCCCAGAGGAGCCCTTGGCCGCGCGCTCGCCACTCAGGACGCCCCACGGCAGGAGCAGGGGTGGGGCCCTAGGTGCGCGCTCGGTTCTGTTCTGCATTGTGGTGGGAACGCGGTGGCACGTCTCTTCTGCATGTCAGGCTGATGCTTCTCGCAGAGGCCGGTTCATAGGATAGACTCCTGGCACCCGACGTGGCCCGTTCACCATGACCTCAGGTGCCAGGGTTACTAGTTAATTGTGCAGTAATCCCGAGTGGTTAGTGGTTTCCCCGGCTGCCATCAAAATGCCTTTGCAAGCAACAGTTTTGAGTTACTAGGTAGAGTCGTTTGTTGACCAGGAAACCACAAAATTATCCAGAGTTGTTGGTCATGGCTGTTCATGGGGAAACGGTCACATTGGCAGTGTCGGGGGGGAGGAGGAGGCGCCTGGAGGGCGACTCAGCCACCTACCTGCCCCTGAACGATCCTTCATGCGAGATCCTTCCGTGCCTCACAGGACACGGTCATAGGTTAAACGTAGCTGCTGTTAACTGAGCTGGGGCGCCTGGGGGCTCAGTTGGTTAAGTGTCCAACTTTGGCTCAGGTCACGATCTCACGGTTTGTGGGTTCAAGCCCCACATCGGGCTCTGTGCTGACAGCTCAGAGCCTGGAGCCGCTTCGGATTGTGTGTCTCCCTCTCTCTCTGGCCCTCCCCTGCTCATGCTTTGTCTCTCAAAAATAAGCATTAGGAAAGAAAAAGAAATAATAAAAAAAAGAACTGAGCCAGAAAGTCTGTTACAGCAGCGCCCCTCTCAGCAGGGGTTCCTTCCAAGACCCCAGTGGATGCCCGAAGACAGGTGGTCCTGAAGCGTCTACCTGCCAAGTTCTCTCCGTTCTCACCTGTGAGAAAGCTGACACGCCTCGGGCACAGGAAAGGAACAGGACAGAGCAGTCACGACAACGTGCCGCCCTGCACTACTCATGCCGATGCCTCCGTACTCGGAGGTCAATGCTGTGGGCGGGCGACACGGAGCTGGGCTACTTCCGACCTTCTGACCTTGTGTCACAGGGAGGACATTTGCTTCCCACCCACAGGTGAGCGTGGGCAGCTGCCCACTGATGCTCACGAAAATCTCGTCGTCCTGAGTGGCAGGGAGCTTCCTGGTTGGTCGGTCGTGGGGCTCCCTCGCCCGCCCTGTAACTACATGCCCCGGGCAAGGCCGGTGCTGGCCGCCGCCATCTCAGGAGCCCCGTGTTCTACACAGGGGGGGCCCTCCCTTCGATGGACGGCCTCCCCTCTGCCCACAACCCAGGAAGCAGGGGCCAAGGCCGACGCCGCCTCAGACACAGGCCGGGAAGGACTTGCTTTCTCCACTTGACTCTCAAATATTGTAAAAAAGAATGGAGATTTAGGAATGTGAGACTTTTTAAAACATACTTTCAAAATATATTTTATTTCTTAGTCGTATGCGTTTTGCAAAATTCCCAAGATAAACATTAGCTTCATGTACAGAAACAAAGGAGAGTTCTTTAAGAACTGGCATTGACTCAATCACGAGAATGATCGCACTTTGATAATGGAAAATAAACGGGTGTTATCAAAACTAAAAAGCTTAAGTGAGCACTTTCCTTTAGAAAGATCTGCCATGGAATCTCCAGCCCCCTCAGGGGCTCAAATCATCATCAAACGCACACAGACACCAGACACCGCACAATCGCAGAGAAGGTTCTTGGCCACACGCGCACATGCTGGCATTCTGCACTAGTACTTTCATGGTGACAAACACATTTTTCTTGGGAGATAAAGTTTATATGAATCCCACATCCCGTAACCTGCTGAACTGTCGGAGCACGGCCCATCAGATTCCTGCTTTATTCTCTACACTTCTGCACCGTCATCATCATCTTCATCGTCTTTGGCTCTGAAATGCATCTTCCTGAATTCTCGTCTGCTCATTGAAGGACAAGACGAAGACGCCGGGGGGAGGTCCTTGGAGGAAGGAAACGCTCCCCTGAGCCACCGCCAGCCCGCCGCACCGGTCAGCGCTCTGGGTGAGGGCTCGTCCCCCACCGGCTGACTTGGGGGACGTCAGGGTTAAACACCAGAAGACACCCCGCAAGTGTGGGCAGCCGCTCCCCACCCACGACCGTGCGGGGAGGCCCAGGGTCACCTGTCAGGGGCTCCGGCCCCCACCCCGAGGCTGAGCTGGAAGGAGGCCTCCCAGGAGCAGCTGCACCGCCTCGCAGCCTCTGTCTTCTTCTCACAGGGACGGAGCCTGTCCCGAGGCAGCACCCCACGCAGGGAGTGGGGGGAGGCCGGCCAGGTGTGCACCCTGCGTGGGGGCGGCCGCGGGTCTTACCTGCATGAGCTCCACGTTCCCGAAGAACCGGCCCACGGGCATCGGCTGGTTGCTGTCCTCGTCCAGGAAGGCGCTGTCGTCCATGGGCACCGGCGGCCTGGGCGCCTGCTCCGTCTGTAGTGTTGTACCGGCCCGCGCGGCGCGGCTGCCGAGCGGCTCCTCTCCCGTAAGGGGCCCGCGTGCCAGAGGGGACGGGCCGTCTTCAGTCTCTGGGGGGCAAGCGTCGCCCACAAAGGTGCCGTGCCCAAGGGGGGCGCCCACAGCCTCCGGCTCTGAGGGGGCACCAGCTCCCTTTCCTGGAGGCAGCGCAGGGTCTTCCGCAAACCCCAGAGGGTCACTGTCACAGGGGCGCTCGGGTGCTGTTTTGGGCAAAGCAACACTATCGCTCTTGGGGATGCGTTTCTGTAGTTCTGATTTCACAAGCTGGCCTTTGTCATACTTGAACTTCTTGGAAGTTCGCCTGTCGGCCACTTTGTGTGATGAGGAGGTCTGTGGAGAGACAAGCGTGAGAGAAAACCAGACACACGCAGGACTGTGAGGCAGATGGCGAACGAGAAAGCCTCTGCCCCAGAGGCTCACCCTCCTCACACCTTAAGAGGTGCTGTTGCCTCAGCTTCCATGATGGGGTCACGTCACCGCCTCCCTCCAAAGTGACAGAATTTAAACTGGTGGCTGGGGAAGAATCTAGACACGCAACCAGGGGGCCTTCTGTGTCCTGAGCAACCTCAGAGGCACGTACTGACGCACTGTGACGTTGTGACACAGGACTCTGGGTCGCACGCATTTGCTGGGATGAAGCTGCTGCCCCAGCACCGGGGCACCGAGCAGGTGCTCAGCAAGATGTGCTAGAGACTCCGGTCTTGAAAGCAGCGTCCGCGAGTGGAAGTGTGCCAGCTGTTGGTGCAAAACCAAGTCCCAGCCAGACCCCGGAGCGTGGCCCGAGGCAGGTCGACCTTCCGGCGACTCCATGAGCTCGGATCGCTGGGCACGGGTGTAGGCAGACCTCTCAAAGCCGTCAGGGGCGAAGCAGCGTGGCCCATGGCGGCCAATGCCGCGCCAAATGCTGCAGAGAATGACTAGCAAAGGTGCGTGGGGGCATGGGGTCAGAGACACCCCTGCCCGTGGAGGTGAACTCTGCAAAAGCACGCCCCTGGGCCCGGGAGCGCCCCTTCCTCTGAAAGCAGTTACACGGTTCCCTTCTCTGGTACAGAAGCACCACAACCGTTTTCTAGCGCGGTGCATCTCAGGGCAAAGGCGTGTACACACACGGCCCCACCGGCCCCACCGGTGCTACCCGGGCTCACCTGACATAGTGTCCTGGCAGACGTGGCGACGCCGGCTTCCCGCGCAGAAGCCAACCTGGCCGAGCGACGGCAGGCTCTCAGGCGCGCTGAAGACCGCACTCCACCTGCGAGCTAGGGCAGCACCCGAGGCGTCAGGAAATGCTCTTAGGAGACGTGAGCCTGGACACTGCCATTTCCCGACTGAAGAAAACCCGGGGGAGTCCCTCCCACCGCCATCTTCATCGCTTTTCTGGAAAGTCACCTGTGGCCTCGTGCAAATTCAAACTAAACTGTTTTGGATTTAAGATGCAGATGTCTTTCCAGCCTTCTCAGAAGCTTGGAGGCAGTTTGTGACCTTTACCTTCTACATTTCTAGGGGCCCCCGTTTGTAAGTTAACACATTTAACACACGTAACTTCAGATGTTTAGAAGCAGCCTTCTCAGAAGGTTCTCTAACTTTTACATGGTATCCAAGTTCCTGACTAAAGGTAACATGAGAAAACAAAAGCCATCCTGACCCCCATCACTCCCTCCTTCAAATTATAGGTGGAAATATTCCCAGTTCTACTAGTTTAAAGCAGCGAACTTCTGACTAATCTTTTTTTTTTTAAATGTTTTTATTTATTTCTGAGAGAGTGAGAGAGACAGCGTGAGCAGGGGAGGGTCAGAGAGAGGGAGGGTCAGAGAGAGGGAGATACAGAATTCGAAACAGGCTCCAGGATCTGAGCTGGCTGTCGGGGCTCAAAACCACGAACATGAGATCATGACCTGAGCCGAAGTCGGACGCTCAACTGACTGAGCCCCCCACGCGCCCCACTTCTGACTAATCTTAACATCATCACACTGGTCTGTGTCTGCTTTACCCTGAATGCAAGAGTCTTCTAATAACAAGAAAGGAATTAATGAGAAAGCAAAACTTATAACGCACGGTGCATCTGGCAAAATCAGCACTGGTGCAGCCACTAAACTACTTCCACCCGTTTTTGTTTTTGTAAATAAATTATTTTTGAGAGAGTGCATGCATGTACAGAGGAGAGGCAGAGGAGGGAGACAGAAAATCCCAAGCAGACCCTGAGCTATCAGCAGAGCCCAACGTGGGGCCTGAACTCATGAACCACGAGGTCATGTCCTGAGGTGAAATCAAGAGTCGAATGCTTCACCGATGAAGCCACCCAGGCGCCCTCACCTTTTTCCACTAATTCCTTTTTCTGTTCTGGAATGGATACCAAATGCACTCAGTGAGCAAGGGTGGGTGGGCATGCAGGTGGGAGACCAGAGGGGGACGGGCTCGGGAGGAGGGCAGCCTGCTCAACAGAAGGGGAAGCCAACGGGAAAGGAGACAGCTAGCTTAGAAATCTCTACAGTGCCCCCCCCCCCCCCAGCCACCTGCACACCTGCGTCTCCAGAGGCCCCTGGAGATGGAGGCTCACCCAGGCAGTGAGACCTCGGACTGTCCCCATTCAGAATGGAAGGAAAAGGAAAGGCCATGGCCTGTGCACACGGCGGGGACAAGGCGCTCCGGGCCAGGTGAAGGGCCTGCTGGGTGGGTGCACCAGGGTCTGGGTTCACAGCCACTTGGGGGGGGGGGGGGGGGCGGAACCTGTAGCTGTCCCGGCATGCCCCTACGACCACTACCTCCCCGGAGGGAACGGAGGGAACGGCTACCCTTGCCCCAGGCCACCAGGCCACCAACTGTCCTCTCTTCGCCTACTCCCAGCACCCGCCCCCGGGGTGCTGGCTCTGGCTGGGGGCCTGATGCAGCTAGCAGGTGCTGTGCTCGGTGCATGCACAGCTTCCCAAGGAGCAGCCTCCTCCTGAAGATGGGGAGGCTCTGGTGGGGGGCCTGTTTGAGGTGACACAAGGGCTGTGTGGCCTCAAAGTCCCTGTGGCCCTGCCTCATCACGCTCGGCTCTCCCCGATCGGAGCTCCAGGAGCCCCCGCCTGAAGGGACTGAACAGGGAGGGGAGCAGGTCCTGGCTCTGCCGCTGAACCGTTCAAGCCCTTCACACAGCAGTGTGCTCCCAGATGCCTTCTACCTTCGCCTCTGAGGCCGACGGGGACTTGACAGTGTCTGGGGGGGGCGGGGGGGGCGGCTTGTGGGTGGGCACAACGCCCAAGAGCTGTGGTGGCTCCAGGCCCTTGAGCTGTGGCCAAATCCAGCAGCTGCTGGTGCCAGCACCCACGCAGGACCTAGCAAGTTCTTCTGCCCTGGAGAGCAGGTTGCTTCCACCTGGTTAAAAACGGGGACGTCAAAGGCAAAAACGCAGTTTCCCGGAAAGGGCAGGGCAAGACCGACTTCCAGGACAGCACAAGGCACCCGCGGCCCCACAGAACCAGCAAGAAGTACGAAAGACTTTTGGAAATAGTCTTATGGGCGGGGGGTAAACGAAGAAAGTTATTCAAGAGCACCTACAAAACTCTGGTAGGTGAACGTCAGACTGCCCCCAGACCCCAGACTGCCCCGCAAGAACACGGGGGGGGGTCAGCCCCCAGACCGCCTCATGAGAACTCGGCAGGAGGCGGCCCCAGGCCAGGAGAGGCAAGCCTTCCTGAGAGCACCCGGCTCCTGGGCAGAGGTGTCAGTGTTGAAGGCGCGGATTCCGAGATTTGCTTTGCTTGGGGAGGGACAAATGTTAAAACAGAGCTCTCAGTCTCTTCAGTAAGGAACCGATTTCTTTTGGATGGAGTGCGGATAAAGTTCATGCCTAAAGGGGCTCTCAAGAACACTAGAGGCTGTGGAGAAAGGCCCTTAGAAAGAGACATCAAGATAAACTCTAGGTCAGATAAGTCTGCGCCAGGATAACAGAGCTGGAAGAACCCTCTGAGGGGTCGGCACAAATGTCCACCCCTGACCCCAGGAACTAGGCCTTCAACAGAAGCCACAGTTTCAGGGGATCACGCTGCAGAGCAATTTATGCCCCAGGCTATTGCTGAAAACAATTGAGCAATCAACTAGCATTCAATGGGAGTTTAACAGAGAGGTGTGGTCAGGGGAGGGGAGGAAGTGAGCCAGCCCAGGGAGAAGGTGGGGGGAAAAGAAGAAATCTACCTAGTCACTAAAGAAAAAGCCTATAAATAACAATATCCCGTGGGGGTGGGAGGCAGGTACCCAGAACTGCTACATTATATAAAATGTCTAATTTCAACAAGAAATTATGAAGCATGCGAGGAAAGAGCAAGGAAAGAGAAAAGCAGACGTCTACACAGGAATAAAAGTCAGGGATGGAAGTGCCTGTTGTGACGGTGACTGGAGTGGAGTTTATCAGAAAAGCCTTGAAGGTGGCCGGGATGACCATGTCCGAAGGCTAAAAAGAACCCAATTCAAGAATACAAAATGTGATGACCATGTTGCATCAAATACTTGATGATGATAAAAAGAAATTATGAAAAAGAACCAGAAGGAAATTCTGTAGTTAAAAAGTACAAGAACGGAAATACACACTTCGCTGCAGGGAAGCAGAAGAAACAGCGAGCAAACCCAAGGCCACGCTAGTCAAAGGACAGCAAGAAGAAAGAATGAAGAAAAATGAAGAGTCATCAAGAACAGGGGCTCAGTCAAGGACACCATCGTACCAACATACGTATAATGGGAGTGTCAGGAAGGCGAGGGAAGGAGAAAAGATACTCAGAGAAATAATGGCTGAAACTTCCCAAAGCTACTGATAAACACACCACTTAGTAGGGACGATGGTTATGGTCAAAGACAGTCAAAGTTCTCCAAGAAGAAATGTGCCAACCAAGATCCCGGTACCTAGCAAAGCTTTCCCTCAAAAATGAAGGCAAAAGAGACACTTCCAGATAAGCGGGGAGAACGTTGCCAGTGTTTCTAACCAAAGACGCTGGAGGGAGGGCGCTGTGTAGGCCACAGCAAGTGGCCCGGGACAGGAATTCAAGTTCACACAAAGAGCGCGCCGGTGAGGGGAACTGGATGCTTAAGGAAGAGGGTGCACGCGCACAGGCGCCTCCTTTCCCGAGTGATTTATAAGCAGCTGTAGAAATAACATTATAAAGTTATGCAGGAATGTGCTTTGCTTGCCAGTCACAGCACAAAGGACGAGGCGGGGGCGGGACTAAAGGGCAACCCGAGGACTGGGGGCAGAGAAGAGATCAGAGCAGGTGGCTGCGTTCTTAACACGAACAGATGTAACGAGTCTCTACCAAGAAAGCGGGTAAAAGGAAGAAAGGTGCATTTTTACGTCTCACTACAAATCTGGAGCTTGGTGAGGCCGCCTTGAGGCAAACAGGCTTGAGCAACGGGATGCAGAAAGGGTTCCAGGGCACACCAGTCTGAAAACAGGCCCCAGAGGCGACCCCGCCCCAAACAGCCATAGGTCACAACTGACCAATGGGCTACTTATAAGCAAGCACAGGTCCCCCAAAAAGGAGAACCCCATTGGCCGCCACACCTCTGCATCCCCCGCCTCCCAGCAGCCCCTCCTGCACTCCGCACTCGTAGCGCCCGGGCTCCGGGTGTTCGGGGTTCAGCCTCGGGTGATGGTTCACGTTAAGTGCCACTGGCTGACTCCCACCGACCTGACACCCCACTTACACACCTCAAAGCTGATTCCACTAAGTTACAATGCATACGATGAAACGTGGAGCAACTGCTAGAAAGAAAACACAAATGCTACACTAGAAAAAGTTCCTTTCCATCCATCTACACAAGGAACAGAGAAAACAGACGTGTGTACACAGAACAAAAGTGGAATGGCATGCGTGCATCCAACCATATCAGTAACTTTAAACGTGGGCCACAAGATCCCACCAAAAGAGAGGTCAGGCTGGTAAGACAGCCCCCAGCCCCCAGCCCCCGTGCACGTCTACAGAAGACCCCGCAGGGTCAAGCTATGTAAGGACAGTAGAAGGACGGAGCCAGAGTGGGCTCCTCCAGCAAACTGGGAGAGCCGGGGGTGCTCCCCGTCCAGGAAAGAGGGGCCCCCCTGGGCACTGGGTGCTCTGGGTCCCAGGCCATGGCCAGGTACGGAGTGGCTGGAACCGGCTCCCAGTTAGTCCTCTCCACCCTCTGCACCCAAGGTGACTGGGGCCGGGCTGAGGTCACATGCTGAAGAACAGAGGGCTTGGGTGGCGCAGCTGCACTCAGGGATCCAGACCAGTCCCTTTCCTGGGATGTGGTCTGGCAGCCCCCTACCCAGAAGGGCAACCCAGTTCCATCTACCTGCCCGTAATCCGGGAGCCCCTCTACCCAGAAGAGCAACCTAGAACCCCCCATCCCCCTGCCCGTAATCTGGGAGCCCCCCTACCCAGAACTGTAACACAGGAGCCGGCCGCCCCCCTCACTCAAGGCCGCAATCTGAGAGGCCCCCTACCCAGAAGTGTGACAAAGGACCCCCCCCCGCCCCGCGGAACGTAATCTGGGAGCGCCCCACCCAGAAGAGCGACCCAGTACCCTCCATCCCCGTGCCTGTAATGTGGGAGCCCCCCTACCCAGAAGGGTGACCAAGGTCTCTCCCCCGCCACCCACCCCCCGGCCCGTAGTCTAGGAGCTCCCCAATCCAGAAGAGAGACCCAGGACCCGCCCCTCCCCCCCGGTCGTTTTCTCCGACCCCAGACCCGAGGGAAGGGCAGCCCCCGGCCCAGGGCATACCACGGCCTCCTCAGCTCCCCAAACAAGAGGTGGCCGGAGCCCCAGCCTCAGCCCACAGCTCCCGCCCGGCCTCGGCGCCTCACCTCGCGGCTCCTCATGAGTGTGAGCGGCGCGCTGCCGCCCCCAGCACCGCCAGCCCCCGCGCCCCGGCCTAACGCCTCTCAGAGAGGCAGCAACCCGGAGACCCGCGGCCCGCGCCCGGCGTCTGACGCCACCAGACGTTTGGCCAATCACAGCCCGGCATCCTCTGGCACGTGACCCAACAAAGTCGGCGCTGTGCGTAATGGGCGGGGCGGCGGCCATGTTTGTGAGGGGCACCTTCCTGGCGGCCCTCGTGGCGGCCACGTTTAAGAGGGGCGGCGGCCATGTTTAAGAGGGGCGGCGGCCATGTTTGTGAGGGGCACGTCCCTGACGCTCCGGCCACGTGTCTGGGGGAGATGGCGGGAAGTGGTCGTTCACAAGAGGCTGGTCTCTCTCATCCTGGCCCCGGAGGCGGGCTCCAGCCCCTGGCGTGTGAGCGCCCGGCAGGGCTAGGGTGCGCCCTGCCTGGCGGCTGGCGATGCCCCTGCGCTCGGAGGTGGGCCGGCGAGGCCCTGCGTGGCTCTGCCCCCAGCTGCCCGCAGGGACCCCGGTTCCCGGCCCCCCCCCGGCCTCGAGCCTTCCCCCGGCGGTGGTGGACTGCAGCTGGCTCTCGGAAGGCCGTTCGTCCCGGGCTTCAGCCCTTCTGGCCCCGCTTCTCTGCAGCCCTGACCTCATGGTGACGGTCCCAAAGGCGCTGCCCTCTCCCTCTCCCCAGTGTCCTGGCTCTGGGCAGCTCAGGGACTGTGCATTAAAGACTGACGTGAAATGCTGCCTTGCCTTTAAACACCCCAGGCCCCCAGCTCTGGGCTCTCGGACTGGTGCCTCCGAGAGGGTGCGGTGGGCCCCTGGGGGCTGAGGGCCGCCCAGCCCTGACTTCCAGCCCATCAGCCCCCGTCCCCAGGCCTGAGGGACGCCCAGCCCTGTGGTCTACCCGGGCTTGCTGGTGCCCCTCCCGATGGTGCGGCACAAAGACAGGAGCTGCCACTGTGCTTTGCAAGTCCGTGGCAGTGCTGTTTACTTTATTGTCATGTTTTTACAGGTGAGAACATTTAAATCAGGCAGTTTTGTCAGAAGCATTAGATCTTGCAGTAAAGTGTACAGGGTGAAAAGTGACCTGTGTTGTGCTTCGGCCTCATGTACCGCTGGAGGGTCCCCGTGTGAGCTGTTCCATGGCAGAGGGCGATTCATATTCTCCAGAAACAGGAATGTGCTCCGCTCCTGTGGAATGACTCCCTCAAAGCCTGGAAATACACTCGATGCCTCTTTTTAGTGCATAAAATGTGGGGATACTTAAGGGTCCCGCCAGCTCTTCCCTCCTTTCAGACTACCCTCTCCTTAGAGGTGCAGCTCTGGGTAATTAGGTGGAGCCCCTTCAATTCGGCCTCACGTGGGGTCTGCCTTTGGCCATGAGTGAAAGCACCCGCAGTGTTAGTGCACGCACCCACGCTTACACGCTCACACGCGCTTGTCCCCTGGCTGCCCGTTTCCCATGGTGTCCGTGGAAGGGAGAAAACAAATGTGGACTGGCAGGAAAATCCATTTGAAAAGGAAACTAATATAATCACTGCCAGCTGTTGAAGAAAAACCCAAGGCCAAACTGTGTTAAACACCGAAACTGTCCCATTTTCACTGAAATTGGTTTCTGGATAAACTAGGTTCAGCGGTTTTATTCTGGGGTCCATCAGAACTCCGGTTCTCATAAACTAGGAGCTGACTGTCACCAGCTAGCGTCTGCCTCCAAGGTGACCATGGTGGCGGCTGAAGTCGGTACCGCCGCTCGAGCGCGTCTGACTCGGTGTTGCCCGAGCCCTGGGTGCTTCTGGAGGGCAGCCTCCCAAAGGGGGACGCTTCATCTCTGTTCACAGATGTGCCCTGCGCCCCCTCCCCTGGGTTTGCGTGAATGGCATTTCCAGCCCCCCAGCTACTCCGACCTGATACCCAGGCCCCCCCGGGACAGGTCACACTCCCTCAGCGCCTGCTTCCAATCAGCGACCGTCCCTGCACAGCCACGCAGCTGCCCAACCCCCCCCCCGCCCCCCGCCCATGCTGCCCACAGCAGCGGGGTGGTCACTTACCAGTGGTGGCCGGATCCCCTGCTGAAGTCCCCCGGAGCTTCCCCGCTGCTTCTGGGATCAAGAGCCGGTCCCTTTTTCATTTTAATACTTTTTCTTTTAAAGTTTATTTATTTAGAGACAGAGAGAGCAAGAGCAGGGGAGGGGCAGAGAGAATGGCAAGCAGGCTCTGCGGTGTCAGCACGGAGCCCAGTGGGGGGCTCCAACTCATTAACTGTGGAATCATGACCTGAGCCGAAATCAAGAGTCAGCAGCTGAACCAACTAAGCTACTCACGTAGCCCAAGAGCGGGTCTTCATAGGACCTGTAAGGTAGGCACATAGTAGATGCTTAGTGAATGCTTGTTGGACAAATGTGTAGTAGGTGGGGCGCCTGCTGCCCTCTCCCCTTACCCTCTGCCGCTCACCCTGCTCCCTGCCTGGCTCTCAGAGTGCGGCCGATCCCCTTCCCTCCTGGCCTGGGGCTCTGCCTGTCTCTGGAAAACCTCTCTCCAGCTCCCCCCCCCCCACCCCATCTTTCAGGGCAGATCCATTCTTCAGACCTCAAATCAGCTTACGCTGAATGTCCTCAGGGGCAAGGGGACTTTACCAGCCATTCTCCCACCACCACAACCTGAGTCTCCTCATTATGGCTTTATTTAGCTCTGCTTTTCCCGCAGGGCAGGGGTGGTTAGCTCTTTTCTTTCTCAGAGCATGGCACGCACTCACTCACTGGCTCACTGACTTGGTATGAGCGTGCTGAGCGCCTCATGTGTGCTGAGCTCCTTTATTACTGAGCGCCTCATGTGTGTACTGAGCCCCTCACATGAGCTGAGCCCCTCACGTGTGTGTGCTGAGCCCCTGATGTGTGCTGAGCCCCTCACGTGTGTGTGCTGAGCCCCTCATGTGTGCTGAGCCCCTCATGTGTGTGTGCTGAGCCCCTCACGTGTGCTGAGCCCCTCACGTGTGTGTGCTGAGCCCCTGATGTGTGCTGAGCCCCTCACGTGTGTGTGCTGAGCCCCTCATGTGTGCTGAGCCCCTCATGTGTGTGTGCTGAGCCCCTCACGTGTGCTGAGACCCTCACGTGTGTGTGCTGAGCCCCTGATGTGTGCTGAGCCCCTCTATGACTAAGCCAAGCCCGGAGTTTACAATGGTGGTGTGCTCAAGTGAATCACCAGGCCTGCCATTCAGTCCAGCGGGGATGGGAGGTGGGGTGGGGGTGGGAGAGATGGGCACTGGTGGAATAATCACACAAGCAATGGTAAGTCTGCAGTGGTGATAAGAGCCACGGGGAGAAGCAACATCAGGGGACAGCTCATGGGGGGGGTGTCAGCTGTGCTCAGGGAGTCGGGCTTCTTGCAGGAAGTGACGGGCAGTTATTCAGGGTCACCTCTTTCCTCTGGGACGGAGCCCCTTCCGGGCCCTGCGGGAGGGAGCAGGCGGGAGCCCACACCCGGGCCCAGGCCGCCCCTCCTGGTGGGGCCGGAGGCCGTGAGCTGCCAGAGGAGCCCTTCATGGACCCTCTGGCTCCTGGCACTGGGATGCCGCGAATCCCGCGGGGCACAGAGACAGACCAGAGCCCAAGCTCACGGCCCCACATGGGTTCTGCACACGCACTTCATTTCCCTCTTCCAGATGATGTCCCCCCGCCTTCCCGGGAGGGAGTGCAGTGAGGGCCGGCCTCACAGCAGCAGGTGTATGATGTGTTGTGGTCCTGGGTTGTGGTCAGTCCCCCACACGGATCGGAAGCTCCCTGAAGGCCAGGACTGTGTGGTGCTCACAACCGCAGCCCCGGAACGCAGCTTGGTGGCGGCCCGTGCTGCAGGTGCTCAGCAAAATGTGTTGAAGGGATGGGTGGTGGTGATAACGCATACAAAGAAACTGAGGATTGAATATTCCAAGGAAACTTTGTATTCTTGCCCGTAACACAGACTCACTACTCAAACACTGGTGTGTCCACAGCTCGGTGTTTGCCTTTCACAAACACGGGCAGGGTTGGCGAGAAAGTCGAAGGGAATCTTCAGTTGATTTGGTCAGTGGATTTGTGACCTGAGGCCGTCCTGGCCGGGAGCGTGTCTCCTCACTGCCAGCAGACGGTGGCCCGTGTGATGAGGGCTTGTCTCTTATACGCTGACCCTTTAAGTTTAAAAGACATGCATAATAGTTTTTTAAAAAGTGAGGGAAAACCAGAGCAAAAAATTCCCAGAAGAATGTGGAACAGCAGTTGCTGGTGGGAATGCAGCCCGGCCCAGCCCCTTTGGAAGACGGTTTGGTGGTTTCTTACAGAATCAAACATGCTCTTCCCATGCGATCCGGCAATCACGTTCCTTTGTAGTCACCCAGGCACTGAAATTTATGGTTTCAGTCGGGTGAGTGTCCGACTCTTGATTTCGGCTCAGGTCGAGATCTCACGGTTTGTGGGATGGAGCCCTGCGCTGGGCTCCGTGCTGACAGTGTGGAAGCTTCTTGGGGTTCTCTCTTGCCTTTCCCCTCCCTTGCTCTTGCACATGCGCACACACTCTCTCTCTCTCAAAATAAATAAACATTAAAAAAAAAAGTTGAAGCTTAAGTCTGCACAGAAACCTGCACAAGGATGTTGGTAGCAGCCTTACTCATAACTCTACTAAAACTCGGAAGCAACCACGAGGTCCTTTTGAAAAGGTGAGTGGATACATAAAATGGTCCCTCCCCACAGTGGAATATTATTCAGTTCTGAAAAGAAACGAGCCATCAAGCCGTGAAAAGACATGGAGGAACCTCAAATGCATCATGCTAAGAGAAAGAAGCCAAACAGAAAAAAATACATGCTGCGTGCTTCCAGCTACGTGAGGTTCTGGAAAAGGCAAAACTAGGTGCACGAGCAGGTCAGTGTTGCCAGGGGCTGGGGGTGGGGCGGGCGGATGAGCTGAGGGCAAGGGCGCCTCAGGGCAGGGGAGCTAGTCTGCATGAGTGGCCTGTTTTTGTCCAAACCAAAGAATGTACAGCACCAAGTATAAACCGTGGGCTCTCGGGGATGGTGACGTGTCCACGTTTGTTCACCAATGACAGCAAGTGTCCCGCTCTG